CCTCCAGTTAATATCTGACTTTTCTGTTTATTCTCTCCTTATGTATTTTCTGTTCTGTTGTTGTATTCTGTTTATTACAATAAGATTTATGTAATTTGTTTTTTGTTTTTTGTATTATTTCACTCTTTTTACTATATTGGAAGCCGCCTAGAGTGGTCTTTTAGACCAGATGGGCGGGGTATAAATCAAATCAATCAATCAATCAATCAATCAATCAATCAATCAATATGGTCCAGGGCCCATGGTTTGTGGAACAAAACAGTTCAAAACTAGAACAAAATTTTGGCCTAGGTTTGGAGGAGATAAGAGATGGGGAGTGCACTAAACATGTTTTGTATGAGGTCATAATAGTGTATGGTAATGTATACACATCTAGCACATCCTATTTAGAACTGGGAGGTCCCATAGTTTAGTAACAGAGCATGAGTCAAAGAGTGCCTTAGGTTGTACACTTGGATTTTTTTTTATCTAAAGGAACATAACTAGCAGGTGTCTGCTTAACATCTTGAAGAATCACTATGCGTTGAAGTAGACAGTGCTGGGCTCTGAGGCCTACAGTCCAACTTGGTATAATGTAGCTTCATATGAGTACATTATGTTTCCCTCAGGACAGTGAAATATAATTTTGTCATATTCATGATACAAAACTTGACAAGATACATAGCTTTCAAGATGAAATAAACAATACCTTGAAGCCCCCACAAGTCAACAATTAAAGCATTTTTTTGCAGATAGTTCAGAAATTCATGGGATGTCTTCATGGCTGAAAATCTGACAACTTCTTCTATCTTTGGATTCACATTTTTCCAGGCAGGTTTTGTGTATAATGAGTATGGAAGGTCATAAACTCTGTATCTAAGGATGTGAAATAGCAACAGCCAATTAAAACTAACAGGCATCCCAAATGGATCAACTGCCAAACGTGGATGGAGACTAGTTAATTTGCCCCATTCATTGGCATGGCCTCCATCAGTGGAATAAGAAGGAGGTGAATCCCACTAACCCTCCTCTTCTCCATGTTCCTTCAATGTCTCATTGGGAAAGTTGACAGCAACTGCCAGAGCAAGTTTTGGGAAGGTGCAGGGACCTGCAGAGGTGGGGAAAGGAGGAGACAATCTTGCCACAGAAGCAGAACTTTGTTCATGAAAGATTATACGAGTATTCTGTCCCGTAGAACTATGACAACATTTCAAGTTTAGATGTCCCTTGAATAAATCAACTTACATGTATATACCACAAATACCAATTTTAGAAGTTTCTTAATGTCTTTACACTGTGTGTGTTTTGGTTGCTTGTAGTATTTCTGGTTATGATGCCAAGAGGGAGGAAAAACACCCTGCCATATGCCTTCTTTTTCTCAAACAGATTGACAATATAGTTCTAGTCATGTCTAGCAATTTCAGTGCCATTGATTTCCACTTAAGTAAGTTTATAGTCATTGAACAGGGGCTTGTACAGTATAGGGTTCCTTCCAGCTTTGCACTTCTAAGATTAACAGAATATGATAGGAAGATTTCCTGAACAAGCCCTGCTGAGTGAATAAAAGGAATGAATATCAGTATCCAGGTACTGCTGTGCATTTGAACAGTTCCCACTTAAGTTCAAGGGAGCTTTTGTAAATATGAATGTGTGGTTTGTGCAAAATTAGGAGTTTATGAAGTGTGACAAAGCATGTGCTCGTCTTGCAACAGCCTGTGGAGTTGCTGTAGAGGTGATTATCACCATCAACAGCAACAATATACATTAAAAGTATTAGTTTTAATAATAGTAGTATCGAATAAAGTTATGAGCTTTCTAATCAGCATGGACAGGAAAACATCATAGGCTTAAGCCAGGGACAAAAGTGGATTCAAATACTGATCTGCCACCCTTTAAAATGGCTGTGCAGAAACTCCTTATGTAGACACCATTCTTCAGTTATATTGCAATAGTCTATTTGTTGAAGAAATTCAGATACACAACTTTATCTGAAAAGATTACTCCTCTAGGTAAAATCTGCATGCAAATAAAAATTCAGTTGCAACTTGGTTCTTTAAGAAGTTAGACTTAAACTATTACAAACAAAGTTTAAATATAACAGTACCCAATCTGAATCCCTCTCTGTGCTACGTCTTTAATCCATTTGACTCCAAGACACTGCAAAATATGGATTTGGAAGTCAAGCCTTTTGCCCAGCAGTTCAAAGGGATCAATAACCATATCATCCTCTCCAAAGGCTCTAAGGGAGAGACGAACACAGTAATTAATATGCAGGTAAGTGACATCAGCTGAGCTTTAAGAGAACCATAAAACATTAAATAAGGAAGTCTGCTCCCTCTACCCGCTTCTCTTGTGAAAGGGCAACACAGAAAAGACCAGAAACTATAATTAGTTTAGTTGAGTAGTTTGAATAAATGAAGATATACCATGGTTGGAAATTGACTCAGTACAAATTGTAGTTTAAGCAGTTGGAAATAGACTCAGTATGAATCATAGACTGAATATTAAGATAAGCTTTCCTTAGTTAAGAATACTGTAAAAGAAAATTCTTCTGCCCTCCTCCTTGGGGCCATGCATGAATGCACAAGCATTTATTAATGCTGAAACATCATTAGGGTTATGTCTGAACATGGCCACTGCATAGCAAATAAAGATTAATAAAGCCGCAGTAGAATCAGATTTTGACGGGTTGGACCAAGTCTGGTCAAAATACACACCTAGTCCATTCTCAAATATTCTTTATTATCCTTAGGATTTCTAACAGGAAACAGGTTTGTATTTGAGGAGTTGAGAGTGGTGCAAAAAACCAAATCAGCTGCACTTTTGCCCACCTTAATGGACAGCCTGCTGTATAGCAGAGGGGACTAGAAAGTCTGTAAATAAGCAGGCTGATCTGACATGGTGTGGCACAGAATCTGCATGTTTTCCTCAGTACCTTGAAGCTATTATAGATATACAGTAAATCTTCAAGTTAAACTCTTTTAGCCTTGCTTCATCCCAGTATTTCTATTGGTAACAAACAATGCTCACCTCCCATTTGGAGAACATGGGATTATATTGATTAGTATGATGGCTTCCTCCATTCCTTCAGAATTTAGGACTTCAGTTTGTTCTTCAAGTTTCATGCAGTAAGCAAGGGACTGGAGCCAGATATGAGCAGAACCTAAATGAATTACTTCTACTGGATCCCAAAATGGATCACTTTCTTGGTCAACATGCACATCTTCACCATCTAAGAACCGCTGGTAAAGCTCTTCCATTAAAAATTTCCTATTGATGAATTTCGATTTTGACCAAACCCACACCTAGAGAAATTAAATTGTTTTAAATAACATAATCAAAATTAGCAAATCAAATTCAACTTCCAAAAATGTTTACTATACATGGCAGAACAATATACATGGGGACTTTGGCATCAAAATAAACCATCAAAAGTGGAATCAGTTATGACCCTGCAGTGTTTGGAAGGACTTTTGGTAGGGTGGAGAAATCCCAGCTGGTGTGCAACTGAGCAGCCTATGAAATTTGCATCATCATCTTCAGTCCAACCTTCTGTTCACACAAGAAGGTAACACTAATGGCAGTAACTTTTTACCTGCTTAGTAACTTTGTGTATCACTTTAACTATGATTTCCTTTTGCAGGTCATAGCCTCTAGAGTCAGTGGATGCCAGATTTTTCACTTTCAAATCCAGTTGTAGGTCCTGTTAAATAAATGCATTTTCAATTACAGACTGTTGTCCAACTCAGAAAGACTTTCTGAGTTGAATTTGATGACTCTCTGAGTTGACTTCTTGACTTAATCAGGAATTAAGTTTGTAATCTGGAGAATTGAAAAATATTTAAGTGTTCTAGCATGAGCTAATTTTGTAAGTATACACTGCCAACAGAAGGAAAAGCAATTTAAAGCATTTGTTTTGTAGTATCAGTTTAAGTAATCATATGTTCTAAATATAAAAATATATTGAGATCAGATACATAAATTAGTTATTACAGTTGCCTTCTCTATCTAATTCAGTTTCCTTTTCTAGAAGAGGCAAAATATGAAATGTTGATGCTTAGAATAGATGGGAATTTGTCTCCCTATCTCCGCCTTGCAGACGTTACGAACCTTTGCCGTGAGACATCAGGGAAAAATATGGGATAACAAGACGTGGAATAATATTATCATACTATGAAACATGCAGACAATATAGCTTTTAGTAGGTATGTCATTGCTCCAGACAACAGTATTTTTAGGACTACTGTGACCTGGAGTCCCCACAGAAACAAAAACTGAAGTTGTCAGGAGCACAAAATAACTTATCCAGATGTTTTGAATATATCCTTCTGTAAACAAGGTCTCAAAAGCATCTGCCACATTTTGATAAAGGCATATCTGTTACATTCTCACCAATCCCTTACAAGTTCACAATATGGATAAACCCCTACTCTCAGAAAAAAGAAAAAAAGAAAAAAGAGAAACATACTGCTCTATTCTCAAAGGCTTTTACAGCTGGGATCTGATGGTTGTTGTGGGTTTTTCAGTCTCTTTGGCCATGTTCTGAACATGGCCAAAGACCCAAAAAACCCACAACGAACATTTTGCTTCTTATATATCCTCAAGTTGGATTCTGGTTTGGCCTCACAAAGATAATAGTTGATTGATTAATTGATTGGTTTTCTGTTTTTTGTTTTAATCACCATCTTACATGCAATATCTATTTTGTCCTAAGTATAAACTGTTTGGAACCAACAGGACATAAACGGATTCAGACTCACCTTCTTCAGTTCCACACTCATCTGGTTTGCTTCAGCAACCAATGGCATCAACTTAATATAATCATGAAACACGGCAAGGACGCTGGAATCCGGCTTGCCATCCTTCCTGTTTGCAGCACCTTTGAGGAATGTACTAGATCATCACATTGAAACAAGCGAAGTTTATGAGTGATATATACACATTTCCTGTGTTTTTCCAGTGCCATATTTTGCAACCATCAGCATATTTATTTTCTATGGTGGCAACTATGCAGCAAAATCAGCTAATTGTACTATGGTACTTTAAAGACTAACACATTTATTATAGCGTGAGTTCTCAGGCACTATAGTTCATTTTATCAGCGGCATTTAGTGTACTCCTGAATTTCAGGTGTGCATACAGTACAGTTGGTTTGGAACAGGACTGTATCAAGTTTGTCCACATGAAAATTAAATGCAGGAGGTACTGACCAGTGAAAATACTCAGTGTCAGAACTTGACAAATTAGTTTCCCTTTGACTTCAAAATTTATAATCTTGTCTTCAACTATGTGTACTGTATATGTCCCTGAAAATCTAAATATAACTTTACACATCTGAAGAAATGAGGTGTGGTGTATGAAATTTCCGGACTGTCATGAACTGGTCAGTCTTTAAGATGTCACAGACTATTTTTTTCTTTTTGCTGTATGCTCATGAGACATTTCCTTCAACAGTGTATGGGGGGGAATCATTAAAAAAAGATTGAAGCAGATGCTAATCTGACAATCAGAACTATCTTATACTTTCATTGCAGAGTCTGGGGATAGCAAAACAAAATTACACATAGGCCAAAATGTAGTAGAGCAACTGATATATGGGCCATAACTAGCAAGTGATGTTGGTACTTGAGTTTTTTTCTGTCCTATTGGTTGGGTTTGGCTCAGGTGAGATTGGCACATACAAAGAGAGTACCAAGGAATGGTAACAATGCCTGGTTTTGAGTATGCACTGGCTGTCTTGACTCCACACACTGAGACTGCCTGCTTTTTGTTCTTTCTGTCAAGAGCTGGGAGATGCAGCTAGACGCATTACACATACTCAGTGCAGATGGGTTTACACCTTTCCATCAGCAAATACCAACAGGCGGATTGACATTCTTCCGGCAACAAATTTTGTTCCCTCTAAATTTTGGCCCAGTCACCCTCCTCTAGATACAGCTCCACTAAGTAACTGATATGGCATGGTATGGCATAGTATGGTATAGTATGGTGCATATATTAAGAGGGACTACATAAAACTCTAAATGGAATTACCTCCAATTTTGTTACAAATTGTGGAGCATTGATAGATCTGTGTTGCTTAAGGAGACATAATCTCATTAAGTGTTTTAGAAACAAGTCCACTCAAAAAGTTGTGTATGATCAATGGGAAATTCATAAAATTTACCAAATCGCCACTGATTCAATAGGCTTACTCCAGTTGCAACTTATTACTGGAAGTTCAGCCATTTGTTTAATATATTTTACCATTGAGAGGATCAGTCCCATACCCATTCTATTCAGTCTTCAGGGAAGCCTACAATAAAATATGTAGTAACTATTACATACAAAATGTTAGGAAGAACAAAGCAGAGTAATAACAATACCACCACAACTACAACAGAGTGCTTTACTTACTAAGTTTATCTACACTGAAGCCTTCTGCTGCTGCTAACTCTGACTGGACAAAATCATAATCATATCTGCTCATGTCCTCGTTTGTACGCTCAGCAGGAGGGCCAAAGTAGAGGTATGCACTGTTTGACCCCAGAATAATCCGGTCCTGAAGGGTTGAATACACAACATTTGTTGAAAGAATTTCTGTTTCACAACTGCTGGGTGAGCATTCCTATACAACCTATTTTCAGAGTCTGAAGGTCAGAAACGTGGTCTCTATGGCAACAATGTAACTGATGAGAGAGCTATGAACCAATTAGTATAACTCTTCAATGACTGAGATGTCCTCAAATCATATCTCCTCATCTATAAACTCAATATGTGGTTTTTGGAAACCAGCTGTCACTTTAACACTGAGTTGTGCAAAGCAAGCCCAGCAGGTTGCGTATAGTCTCTGATGGTAGTACTACAATACTGCCAATATTTACACTGATTTTAAAAGGTTCCTCTAGTTGTGGTGGGGATTCCAGTTACTTTCTAATCTGAAAGAAAAGCCTATCTAGGACTAGAACTGCTCAGGAGGCCCTAGAAACCAGACATATACAAGGGAGTGCTGATAAGTCTTGAGCCTTTCCCAGAAAAAATTGAGCTGGGAAGCTATAAATTGCAGGGTGTACTCACCAATTTGTCTCTATTCAATGGTGCAAAAATCAACTACCCATGATTTTAACTTATCTGTCATGTTCAGGTCCAAAGTGAGAACATGGAGCACCTCCAGAAAAGTTCAATGTGGAAGAGCTTAGGACCATAATCAAGTTCCTGTTTCTCCAAGGGAAAGGTGAAAAGCAGACCCATGATGAAATGTCACAAACTATGGGTGACAGTGGCCCTTCATATGCAACAGTTAAACGTTGGGTTGTCAATTTAAAAACTGCCCATTTTGGTGTTGAAAGTGAGAAACCCAGTAGGAGGCCTGTTTCTGTCTCTGCCTGCAAATGTGAAAGCCACCCATGACATAATCATGGAGGACTGCCGAATATCAGCCAAAAGTATTGCTATATATCTGAGAATATCACATGAGAGAGTTGGTGCCATTATCCACAATGACTTGGAAATGAGAAAGCTGGCAGCAAAGTGGATCCCCAAACTTTTGACAAGCAAACAAAAGAGGAAACATGTGGAGTAATTGATGGCTGTTTTGGAACATTTTGCAAGAAATGAGTAAGATTTCCTGGGCAAACTGATAACTGGAGATGAAACATGGATCTACTGTTATGATCCTGAGACAAAGGAACAGTCTAAGGAAGGGAGGCACAGTGGTTCCCCCAGGCCAAAGAAGTTCCGAGTGCAAAGGTCGGTGCAGAAGCAAATGGCAAGAGTTTTTTGGAATAAGAAGGGAGTTCCGCTGGTGGATTACCTCCAACATGGTTCAACCATCAATGAAAAATATTACTGTGCGTTATTGACAAAGTTGAGGCCTCCTTAGGCTTTCAAGTGATGTCCCATCCACCCTATTCTCTTGACCTGGCTCCTTCTGACTATTATCTGTTCCCCAAACTCAAAAAACACCTAAAGGGACAATGATTTGGGAGTGTTCCAGAGGCAACTAATGGTGCAAATGAGTGGTTACACCAGCAGTCGGAAGAATTTTATTTGCAGGGACTTAAGAAGCTGCAGGACAGATGTCGCAAGTGCACTGACTTCCTGGGGAAATATGTGGAATAGTGTGGCAGTTACAGCTTCCTAGTTCATTTTTTTTCTGGGAAAGGCTCACTAGCTATCAGCACCCCACATGACTGCTGCACCCCTAGAAGACACAGGAAGCTCTGAAAGTCAAAATATCATTGGGTTGGGGAGGACACACACTTTCACAGTTCATAGGGCCATGTACAGCCACCAGACATCTCAAAGTTGCATACCCCTGCTTTAGGGCTTCCAGTTTTGGAAGGAAGTTGAGAAGGAGCTTTAGGACTGAAGTATAAAAGCCTCCAGGCCAGCCTCAGACTTTGTGGGAGCAAGCTGTTAAGTTGGAGCTCTCCTAGGTATTGTAACAGACACCTGTCTCATTGCACTGAATTCTGTAGTCATTTCTGGCTAGACATGGCAGGGAGATGGTCAATTTCCTAGGGGGACATAAGATAAGGCAGGAAAGCTGTGTTCAGTGTGGTGGCAAGAAGTGTACTAGTTTACTCACGTTCTAGGCATTTATTTAAAATGAAAAGACATTTCTAGATTAGATTGTCCTAACTTTGCCAGTTTTCCTCAAGATTCCAGTTTGGTAGTCCTAAACTCTCATTTATTCTTAAGCATTCCAGGAAGTGAAAGCAATCGTAAATTTACCAGATGATGCAGTTTTGTTTTCACAGCAATGGGTACTCCATTAACAATAACTTTACAATTATCCCGAGGAGTTATGGTAACTTTGCCATCCGCATTTGTGAAGGTCGCATGCTTATCCAGAATACTGAAAGAAAGTAAAGTGGGTAAATTGATGTCATTATTAAGACTTTTCCTAGGCCTAGAGAGGGTGGAAATGTGTTGACCTGGAGTTTGTGCCTCTCTATCCCAAGTACAGAAGGATTTGGGAGAAGACATCCCTATTCTGTACTTTCCTATCTCTCATCTCTGCTCCCTTTCCATCTATCCAAAACTGATATTCTCAGGGGCTATAATTTTAGCTTCTCACACCTTGACTTCCTTTCTTTTGTCTGTAAGCAGATCTCCTGTCTCTCCTTCAACAATGCCTCCATCCTCAGAATGCACCTTGCTTTTAGTTAGAAATAGAATTTAGACTTTTCTATCTTAAGTGCGAATTTCTCAGTAAAGTTAGTTTTTTTTTAATTTTAGCTGCTTCATACATTTTTATGGGCCTGCACTGGAACTGACCACCCAGATATCTGCAATGGTATAACGCTACTAAATACAAATATTGAACAAAATGTCATATGTTTACATTATAATAAGTATAAAGGAAGAAACAATAGCACTATATAAGGCATTGATGGGACATTATTGGTAAAATTTAAGAAGACTAAATGGATGAATAATCCTCAGTGCTCTGCAGTAGAGCCCATGCACTGCATGGAGTAGGTTTCAGGCTCAGTCCCTACTAATGTCACCAATTTGCATGCCCACTTTTACAAAGCGTAAATAGGACAAATGGCCCAATGAGTGTAAAAGCTTTGCTTATAAAAAAGAATAGATAATTTAAGAAAACTTCCTCCAGTCTTGCACCTTTCATAACGGTTGGGCTATGTCCCTGTATCAGTTGCAAACCAGCAAGGCCAGTCTGGGTTTAGAGAAAGGAATGGATAGTCCAAGGCAAATTAAGTGAAAACCACATGGAGATTGTGTTGCAACATCTTGCAGAATAAATATGTCTATTGACAGAAACAGATGGTAATTTTAGAGAGTGTATTATGATGAATATGTCTTACATTCTCTTTCCTAATAATGATATGGAAATAATCAAACTCAATCTTTCTGAGAACAAACGATGAAATTGCTGTGGGCTCATATATACATACCCCAACCCTCTGAGAGCGATTGCATTTGAGGATGACTGACCAACATCAGAAGAACCTGAAAGGAAATGTTTTGCATGTAAAAATGTTTTGCTTCTTTGTCATGCAATACTACAAGGTAGACAAGATCTTCCCAGTGTACACTATCTACGTCTTCCAGAGCCAGCTGCACTGACTCCATACCACCCCCTAGTTTGCCATGCAGATTGCCAGTGAGACCATCAGCAGATGCATTTTGCAGCTTGCAGATGCCTGATCTGCTGAGTCCCCTGATCCAAAATGGCAGGGGCAGGTAGAGTAGTTTTCAACAAAGGATTTCCATTTATTGCACAGCTGAAATGAGGCAAGATGATTGTACCAAATAAATCTATGCCCCAATCATTTAATGAGACTTTAATGTGAGTAACTTACTTTGTCTTTGGATCTATCTATGTTCATCCTGTTATACCCAAACTGTCAATGTAAGTCATTAAATTAGGAATACAGATAGTATACATATAATTGGATCTGTGCATATTCATCTCTTTTTTACTCTTCTCTCACCTCCATCTTATCTCCCCACCTGTTACAAATCAAACTGAAAATTGCCTTTTTTTTGTTCAGGTTACTCTAGCAATTGCTTGCATCTGATAAATTTCTGTTAATTATATAATGAAAAGCCCATTTAAGTAAAAGCTGACACACAGCATTTAAATAAAATGATACCATTTTGAATGAAATATTTGAGAACCCCTGAAAGCTGAGGGTCTTCATTGATATTCACAAGATAAGGAAATGTTTCCATCATCCACCTTTCCTGTGGAAAAATTAATTACACCATATTTCAGATCAAGTGACAAGCAACAATATGTCAGTGATGAAGAGACTTCGTGCTTGCAAGAAATACTTTGGGGTTTTTTTGGTTGGTGTTACAAGATCCCAAAAATATACTAACTGCAGCTTGGGTGCAGAAGACATAAGCCTAGATCTAAATAATTCTATGACAGGAAATATATTTTGAGTACGAGAACAGAATAGACTTCATAAATATCTTTCAGTTATCCCAAGGTCAGCTTCCTAAGGTCAGTCACATCTTACAACAAATGCATATTTCTTACTTTTTCAATATTATCTCCACAGGCACACAACTATGTGTCTGATAAACCAAAGACACAAACAGTAGGGACTGATGATTCCTGATTTTGTGACAATAATTAGTCTGTCTTGAGTTTTACTCTATATTTTACAGGAATTATCCAAGATGCTGACCTCTACTCTCCAAATAAATTGGGCACCATAAGTTCCTTCTTTAAAGTTTGGACTGAAACACAATACAGAGTCACCAGCCCCATGAAACTGGAGCCACCAGTCTCCACTTCACGGCTAGAAGAAAAGCCAAGCTCATGTCCCACTGACCAACTACAATACAAAATCAGAGTAACTTGCCAAATTCAGACTGAAGCAAACTCATGCTAGAATAAATAGTCTTTTCCTCTTAGGGGATCTCTAGTTCTAATGACATGTTAATAGTATAATCTATGTATTATTCAGGGCAGAGGTAGGTGTGTGTGTGGGAGCTTAAACAACTTGCCATCATAAATTTGCAATCATAAATAGATGACTCTGTGAACTACATCTAAGTCCTGAGCTACCTTCTGCCTATTCCAGTGTATAAGACACATAGCTTCCAAGTAATATATTCCCAGCATCTTTGCTGAGGATTCAGAAAGAGAAAGGGCCAGTTATACATACAGACTATTCTAAAGAATGCCTACTGCATGGTATCTCTCATATTTTTCTACTGATGAAAAGTCTAGGGAAATGTTTATTTCCACCACAGATCCTGTGAAGAACTAATCTTTTGGATATCCCATTCTCTCAATGTTATATTTCTCAGGGAGAAGCAACTGTATAAACAGCTTGTTCCTATGTTTAGAACTCCAAGTATCATGACTGAAGACATATTTCTTCAGTTACTGGTGACATGAAAGTTTCTTTTCCACAAAGCTGCTTTTCAACTCTGTAAGTGTTCATTTGTTGTACTCAGACATCATGTTTTTCTTCTGAACCACAGTTCTACAGTGTAGATATCATCATTAGAGTTGCACACTGTTGCTGTTTACAGGACTTATTTTGAGGTAAACAGATAAATGGTATAAAGAACACACATAATTCATTCCCATGCAATAAACCTGCTGATGGAGATGTCTGATATGGCCACAGACAGCCCCTCCACTAGCAAAAAAACAACAACTCTCATTTGTTTCAAAAAAGGGAAGACGTTTTGAGCAAGATTGCTCAACCCCCCTCTCATTTGTTTCAACAAAGGGAAGACGTTTTGAGCAAGATTGCTCAAAGCTGACAATCATGGGGAAGCTTGCTTGCACAGGAGCTCCATCTGTGTGTCACTCTGCCTTGAAAAGGCATATAGTCCTATTGACTAGATACATTGCTTTAAAATTTTTAGAATCAGAAGGCCTTGCCAGACTGAAAGGGAGGCTAGCACTCTTCTCTAACAGTGACTAAGGCAAGCTAGTGTCTTCCAGATCTGTCGGACTACAGTACCAGTCACCCCCAGTTTGCATAGCCCATGATTATGCTGGCTGAGTATGTTGAGCATTATTGTCCAACAGGACTGGAAGACACCATCTTGGGGAAAGCTGAGCTAAAGAATGATAGAGATGTAGCATCACCTGAGTGACTGCAGCATACTGCTGTTCCCATTCTTTCCGAGCTTCTTCCAGGCGGTATTCCCAAGTTGCTTGAATGGCCTGGATCCGCAGTTCATTTTCAGCCAGCAAACAGCGCAGCTCTTCTGGAAAGAAAGAAAAAACTGGACTAGGATGTCAGGTGAACATCACAAAACAAACCTCTAAGGGAAATATTTGGTGGTGGATTTCCCCTCATGGGATAGATGAATCCATCAAAAGTAAGAGGTTGATGCTCCCTCCACACAGTACCCTCTCCCCCCGGCCAGATTGGCACCCCACAGAAAAGTTCTGGGTGATGTAGTGGTCCCCAACCTTTTCCAAACCATGGACTGGTTGGGGGAGTCCGTGGGGGGGCCGGGCACCCCCTGCTTGCGCGTGGGCTGGTGCATGTGGCACACTCGCACACATGCACAGATGGGCGTGATGCACTCATGGGTGGGCATGCATGTGCAAGTGGGCATGGAGCATGCGCAGGGGCGCACTTACACGCACATGTGGGTGGGCAGGGTACCCGTGCGTGCTGGTGGACGGGCCATGCGTGCATGTGGGTATGAGTGTGCGGGGGGGGGAGAGAGATCTGTCTCCATAGCCCAGTCCTGCGAAGGCTGCAGACTGGCGGCAGGCTGCAGTCCAGGGGTTGGGGATCCCTAATGAGTCACATGGAGAGCTGCAGCAGGGCAGGGAAGCAAACAACATTCTGCAAGCATTTCCACATGAAACACAAAACAAAAGGGAAAAAAGGGGGTGAACATTGTGGCACCTTAAAAGTGAACTGCTATATTTTAATTAAAGCTTTTGTGTAACATGTCCATGTCATCAGACATAAAAATGAAAATTCAGAGACTACATAGTAAAACATTCGTGCAAAGCTCTAAAATAAAGGGAGAGTGGTGTTTGGTTGCCTTTGAGTTAAGAAGTCCTCTGTTTGATATTTAGTTCTTTTGAAGCCTGGTTCTATAAACAACAACAATGATGAAAGGAAACAACCGAGGAACAACAACATGTGGTAAGGTAAAGAATGGCAGACTTTATCTTTGACCGTTGTTCTGAAAAGATGGGTCTGTTTTATTGGGAAGGAAAATAACAGTAAGTAGGTAACATATTACATTTGAGAATGGTTTAAGTAACATTGTCTAATATTAATCTGCTGAGATTAAATATTGACCTATCACAATGGATTAAATATTAGCCAAAGCTTCTTCTGCAAATTCTGCCAGAACATGGCATATGTCCCTAATTTCTAGGCAGCTTTCATTTATCTTGTATATGCAAGTGATAAACTCAGTTAGTGAATATGAGACTGAACCCAAAGCTCCTAATTACTAGTAAAAATTTTCTTTTACACATGATGAAATTGAGGCTGTCATACTTTGGGCACATGATGAGAAGACAAGACTCACTGGAAAAGACAATAATGCTGGGAAAAGTTGAAGGAAGACTGAATATGAGATGGATTGGCTCTGTAAAGCCTTGAGTTTTCAAGAGCTGCCTGAGCAGTGCTGTTAATGACAGGATCCTTTGGAGGTCAGCAGTTCAGAGGGCCAGAGGCAACTTGATGGCATATTAACAACAGCAGCCATGCATTAGTAATATTCCCTAGCTATGATATTAATATTTCAAGGTCCAAATTTTTCAAGAACAGAAAGCCAAGACTATGGTATATATATTAAGGTAAAACACCAATGATACATGAAATTTCTATAGAACCTCTGCCTCCTAAGGACTAGTGTGTAGTGCTGACTTTTTCATTGCATATAAAGGGCTTTCAGTGACACCATCATAGGAATAATTAATTAGGTCTGATTCTCACTTAGCAGCTTGTTTAGTCTTAATTGTTGTTCACATACCCTTATGCATATTGAGAGATACCTTAACCATTGTTAAACTATTGAACCTTTTGTGTAGGGTCAGCTTCAGCGAACAGACTGGCAAGAAAATTTGCTGAGAATGAATGTCAGATCTGAGAATGTGTTAATGCACATAATGCAGTTTTCCTGTGTTGTTACATGCTAGCAGGTCCAGTTTATGGTCGCACTGGGAATTAATGGTTTCCAAAGGATCCTTTGATCAGGCCTTGCAAACTGAAAGCCATAGTTTCCTTTATTTTATTAATCCATTGAAAGCTTTGCCTTCTTTCCCTGCTGCCTTGCACTTTTTTCAGCCTTACTGCCTTTTCTTCTCATTATATGCTGAAACTGCAACAGCTGCAGTTTCCCTATACTCTGTGCATACATTACATAGTTAATGCAATAACAGGTCTGATTTTCATAGACTCTAGGCAAGCTGCCCTTGGCCTTCTGTACCTCCTAGAGGCAGTGTTGGTGCAGCCTCATGCATGGGCTGAACTGGTAGTAGTCTTAGTAATGACACCAGGGAAGACCACTCACAATGAGGGCTGCAGGACAGGGGTTAGCCACCTCTTTGCATTTGCTTATGTGTTTGCATGTGGCTGTGTTGTAATGGGTCACTGTGCATGGGAAGAGGAAACTGGGAGCTTCGGCACTAGTGTCAGTAGAAAATTAAGTAGTGTTGTGTGCTCTGGGGAGAGGGGAAGTCAGGGTTGGAGAGACTTGATATGCTCTATCATTGTGCGCAGGCTCTGGCAAATGCTTCACCATGTCTGGTTCTTATGCTGAGCCTCTGCTTTCATGAGTAAGCAGAGGTGTCTTTCTAGCTATGCTAACCATCACTGCATCCAGATATTTAAACTTGTGTAGTCTCTCAGTAAAACAAATGGCAGAATTACTGTACAAAACTCTATGTCAGCAAATGAGATGTTCTTTACTTCGTAATACCTACTTGTTTCATCTTCTACAGGTCTACCAGAATTTCCAAGACCTGATAATCTGGACAAAAGATTACAGTTTTCTGCCTTCAGTTCATTTATCAGCTTTGCTGTTGGACCTGTGTTTATCACAGCTTTGTTCTTTATCCTTTTTGTTCTTAAAAAAAATGAGAAGACATGCAAGAAGAGAAAGCCAATTACTGTTTTGTCTTGAAGAAAAAGACTCAAAGAAAATAATTCAGTGAAACATACAAAACCAATATTCAGTGGCAATTAGGATGGTATAAAACAACAATTATATCCACATGATTATATGTTGTGTGCTATAAAACTCTTGTTTCTTCACATATGGTAATAAGCTGGTAGGGCTGAGCTCATTTCCCAATAAGAAAATCACACCAATGATTTTCCTCACTCTTCTCTGCATGAATAAATAAAACTTGCCATGAATGATTTGAGAGGTCTTTTCTGATTGCAAGGGGATTCCATTATATTGAGGGATAGCATCACTGTGGTTAGGATTTAAATTAAATGTGCAGATCTTGAGTTTCCTTGCCCTACTGAGAATGCCACCACCAGCCCTCCCTGAATACTAGTCTTCACATCTGTTGCACAATGAGTCTACAAAGATTTCTCAAGTTTCAGAGATTTGCCTCTAAAATGTATGCCACTTGTGTAACTGTACTATAGCATCTCAGCCAATGTCTTACCCCTCTTGGGTTTCCATCCAAGCACTAATCATACAAGATGTCAAAACAATATACCTCTCAGCGTATCTCAGAGTTGACAGTGTCTCCTCATAACACATGTCTGCTGGACTAATAGCTGCAATCTGTAAATATGTTCAGAACATTAAAGGACAATACATGTATTTATTTGTTCTTCCTGAGCATATTATTATTACTCATAGAATAACAATTACTGTAGTAACTACCCATCCTGCTGGTCAGGCTTTTCCCAGCCTCCCAAGGAATGCTGTCCAATTTATATTAAATGGGTTGGGAAAAACTACATAACTTGCTGTGCTAGTCACAGCCAAGTCAATAAATTTTGCTGCCTGAGGCACAGCAACAAATGCTCTCCCCTATCAAGGTGCAAAGTCTCAGAGGTCATCCAAATTATTTTGGAATCTGAAGCATAAAACCTACAAATGCTGAAGTGTTTAATTTAGGTGTTTTATTATATTTTTGTCACCTGTTTATGTGTATCAAAAGAAATAAGAATCATGAAGTATTTATGCTTTTAATGTTCATGCAAGCTTTCTATCCTTCATCTCTCAATATCTCCCATTTTGTTTAACATTCAGCCTGACTGTAGTTTGTGAGGAACTGAAAAGCCTGCTCACTATTTTGTGACAATTTGTTCTTCCTAATTACAATACAGCCCTAATGTAGATTTTTAGATTTGTCATTCAGAACCAGTTATTCTCTTGCAGAGTTCTGTCAGTGTAATGGATGTTCGTTTTACAGTTTCAGGGTGGATGTAGACAGAACCATGCACATCACACATTTTTAAAAGGGATTTCTTTTTATTAATAGTAATTTATCACAGCTGTTGTCATTGTTGCCACTGTACTGACAAGAGTTCTGCAAAAGGATACAGGTTTTCACAGAACTACTGTACCACGTTACCTAGAATTGCCAAGTCCCAGGTTTTGACCCTGAATCTCAGGTTTCGGGTCCATTTTCTGTGTCTCAGATTTTGGATCTTGAATCTCCAGGAACGGGGTGGGGCTAAACTAGCAAGACTTAATCTTGGCATTTAGACATACCTGAAAGCATCCTTACCTTCCTTTCACGATCTAAAGCTGCTCCTGCTTACTTCAGAAATATAATTTGTCTAGTGGAAATGAAAACTGGCCTGTAAGATTGGCCGATCTCTCAATTACTAAAATAAGAGAAAGCCATTAACTCCACAAAAGACCTGTTCTCATTTGCTTATTTATTTAAAAATATAGAATAATCCAGTTGCCTGCATTTTTGGACTCTACTTTATATGGGAGGGATTGGCTGTGGGTGCTGTCCTTTCCACACATATCACTACACTACTCACTGAGTGTGAAACCCATGCTTTCCAATCTGAAATGCATATTCACACATTTTCTTCAAAAATTTTGAACTGATTTTCCTCTGGAATGAAGAACAGTATATAAACTTTGTAATGACAATAAAACAGAGGATGAAATCCTGTGCATTGTGTAGGAGTGATGATATCATCAGCTGTGGCAACTTTTCAGAAAAACAATGTCCAGTTCCTCTCCGGCCCCAAAGGTCTCCTGTCCCCCACAGAATCCTTTTTGCTGTGAGAAAGCTGTTGGAGGCTGTAGGGTGAAGATTCCTGAACATCTCCATTGCTGGGCTGACTTTGCCAGCAGCTGTGAGTTTTGGAAATTAAAGACTCCCCACCCAACCCCATTCTGCAGCCCCCAAACAGTTTCTTCATGTTGAAGGGGATTCCATGGGAACCTCAGGAACTTTGGGGGGGGGTTGGAAATTCACAGAGACCACAAAGAAGAAATCTTATTTTAAAAACCCGTTGCAGCTAATAATGTTATTGGCCTTATGCAGCATAACTGTACAAACAGGATTTCGGTTGGAATGTTGCTTTCCACACATCCCCAATCTCGGGGGGGGGGGGGAAGAGAGCAAAAAGACATTGTTACCATAATAGTTCGGCTGTTTCCTCCCAAAGCAGACTGCAAGAGTTTGGTAAGAACTGAATCCCTATACGGGATGTGCAATACTCTCCTTCCCGTGGCAGCCTCAGCCAGAGCACTAGAAGAAAAATAAATCACTATGGGAAAGCTGTTGAGAGGGACATTACTTCATTCTGATACAATTAGAGTGCAATCTTATATATGTTTACTCAGTTATGAGCCCCACTGAGATCAACAGGATTTACACTTGACAAGAGCATATAGGATTGTAGTCTTACCTTATTTATTTTATTTATTTATTTATTTGATTTATACCCCGCCCATCTCGTCTAAAAGACCACTCTAGGCGGCTTCAAGTAACTGTTGGATATATTGCAACCTACATATGATGCCTTTGAGAGTTTTTGGCAGGGAGGGAGCTGCAATGAATATAAACTAACCCAATAACAGCCAATTGTTTGCTCTTTACCTCAGATTCTTTTTCCCGCCTTTTTCCCCACTCAAAGTTCCGTTAGTGTTAGCAATGTCTATCAGAAGTGGACAGTCAGTGATGTAAGTAATTGTTGGATATATTGCAACCTACATATGATGCCTTTGAGAGTTTTTGGCAGGGAGGGAGCTGCAATGAATATAAACTAACCCAATAACAGCCAATTGTTTGCTCTTTACCTCAGATTCTTTTTCCCGCCTTTTTCCCCACTCAAAGTTCCGTTAGTGTTAGCAATGTCTATCAGAAGTGGACAGTCAGTGATGTGTCCCACTCAGAGTTCTGTTAGTGTTAACAATGGAGTCTATCAGAAGTGGACAGTCAGTGATGTGTTCTGTCAGCTATGTAACCACTCCGTCTGTAATTAAGCTAGTGAACCAATTAAGCTCAATGTAACCAGTTAATATTTCTACACAATATGATGGTTGTTTTTATCTATGAAGAACTGTAAATAAATAGAAATATTTTATTATTTCTTATTACCAGAGTCTCAGAATGAATGGATTGAGATAGTAGGTGTCAGTTGAGGTAAACTAACAAATGGGGGGAGTGTCTACTGAGGGAGACGTGAAGCCAATCTGCTTTGTAGATTCCTGACTGAACCATTGGGTGTCTACTGAGGGAGACGTGAAGCCAGTCTGCTTTGTAGGTTCCTGAATGAACCATTTTATCCACTGCATTAAAAAAAGGGAGTTTATTTTAATTAAGCCACACTAAGTTTCCTTACAAACTCTGCCCCAAGAGTAAGTCCTATAGAATTAGAGTGGATCTTACTTTAAATCAAGAAGTACAGGATTGCGTTGTTATTCATACATGACTAAGTACTACTGTTCTTATCAGTATGCATTTAGTCTACATGTTGCAACATTAAAGGGGAAAAGGTTTCTGTGTAACTGCTGATTTGAGGAGAGCACTACATTTGAAATAGGATAGTGGTGATGCTCAAGCAAACCTACAAACTGGGCCATATTTTAACTATTCAGTTAAATAGTCTCAAAAAAAATTAAAACATTTGCTCTGAAAAGCCAAGAAAAAGCAAAATTCAGTTGCGGGGAGAGATATACACATCAGCCAGTGGGACAACCATAACAGTATATTCCATCCTTTTTTGAACTCCTGTTTCTGAAACTCGTTGTATTATTAAATAAATCTACTTTTTCTGGGAGGTTTCAGGATTTGAAATCAAGTTTGAAGATTTAATAGATTTCTGTAGGTAATGTGGTGCTGTGGTTATACTAGATGAGGACTTGTGCCTTTTGGCCTATACATTTCAGGGTGTGACTGTACAACAGCAAGAATGCTAATGGATCTGTTATGAACGCACACCCAGAAAGTCAGGTTTCCCGGCCTATGGGAATCCACTTCAGCCAAGCACATAGTAGTCAGCAGGGAGTACGGAGGAAACCAGACTAACCATTTTAACCCTCTTCTCCCCACACCTGGTGCGTGCATCTGCTTGTTTCCCTCTTCCTGTTCTGTTCTATTCCATTGCTTTATTTTCTTCTTCTTTTAAAGGCCTGTTTAAAGGCCTACCCTCCCCCAAACCCCCCCAAAGCGGGGAGCTCTGCAGAGAGAGACAGAGAAAAGGATATTTTCACTTCAGATTTCTTTGCAGCTTCTTAAGGTAGTTCTGCTCTGTTCTACTCTAACTGTCCAGATTTGCAGCTAGCACAGTCGAAGCAGACTTCTACCCTCTTTTCTCCTTTGGTCATCCAGCGGCCCAAGCTCTAAGACAGCAAGCCTTGAGAAGACAAGACAAGACAAAAAAAGGAACGAGAAGGGAAGATGAAAGCAGACATCAGATGCAGAGAGGAGAGGATTCAAATTGCAGCCAGTTTTCCCACTGCCCTGCTTCTCTCTCTGTTCCGTTCCATTCCATTGCTTTATTTTTTTCTTCTTTTAAAGGCCTGTTTAAAGTCCTACCCTCCCCCAACCCCCCCCCAAAAGGGGGGAGCTCTGCAGAGAGAGAGAGAAAAAAGGATATTTTCACTTCAGATTTCTTTGCAGCTTCTTAAGGTAGTTCTGCTCTGTTCTACTCTGACTGTCCAGATTTGCAGCTAGCACAGTCGAAGCAGACTTCTACCCTCTTTTCTCCTTTGGTCATCCAGCTGCCCCAGCTCTAAGACAGCAAGCCTTGAGAAGACAAGACAAGACAAGGCAAAAAAAGGAACGAGAAGGGAAGATGAAAGATCTCCTGTATGGAGAATTAGTGCAGGGAAATCGCCCCAGAGGGAGCAGACATCAGATGCAGAGAGGAGAGGATTCAAATTGCAGCCAGTTTTCCCACTGCCCTGCTTCTCTCTCCAGTGCTTGAATGGCTTCAATGACTACATTTCCTTCCACATTGGCTTATGCAATTGCATCTTCTGAACTGATGTGAATGGGTCTGCTGTCAAAAAAGAAGTAAAAGCCCCAGCTGTGGATGAAAATAATATGGATGGGAGTGGTGGGAGTCCAGGCTGATTAATATTGCCTTTTATGTCATGTGATCAATGGAAAAAATGTGAAGCAGGCTGTCTCAGTCCCAGAGCATTTCTCACATTATATGTCAAAAGTAGTTGCAACCTCTCTGAGCCTAACTTACCTCACCAGGTTATTGTTGGAACAAAATGGGCTGGCAGGTGGAGAACCACATACTTGAGCTTATTGAGAGAAAGGCAAGATGGAAACACAGGCAACAAATAAATGCAACAAATACGTAAGTAAATACAGTTACCATTTATGGGGCATTGTCATGGTACTTTTAAAGACTAACAAGCAAAGAAGCAGTAGGTATCATAAACAGTTGCCATTTCTTTGTAATAAAACTCATAAGACACAAATGGATCATGCAATAGGATCTCTTTTGTACCTGATCACATTTCCTAATGTAGTTAAGCTCAGATTTACACGTGACCCTTCCCTTAGTCTGTCTCCTTCTGATCCTGAGGATTTTTGTCTTTCACTTCCTGCCAGGTCCACCAGATTTATAATGGATTGTTTGGTGATGTCATCTTTCAGAAAAATCTGCAAGAAACAGCAATAAGAAAAGACGGGCACAATCCACCAGGAAGTTTTCCTCTGCAAACCCTATTTTCTTAAGGTCTCATAAACTGACATCTGTGAAAGAAACACTGCTAGTCAATGTATCTGACCTATTACAAGTTGACACGGTTATAATCTATCAGCCATAAATTATAAAAGCATGCACAAAGCATCTCGAATGGTACAAACAAAATTAATTTGCAAGCCACATTTTCAAACCCTGGCAATTCTATCTATGGACAGTTATACCAGCCTACTCAAAGTGTCAGTGACCAATAACATTGGTGACAGTGAAGTGAAGTCCACAAACTAAAACTGTCTTCACTACAGTGCATATCCAGGCCTTTTGCTTTGTTGATGCTTTATATCAAAGGCTCACTACCAGCTCCTGGATCTTGACCAAACAGGCCAAAAAGATATGTGACTGCCATTTCTGACTTTTGAGATAAGATGTGATCCATTCCATTGCTTGTCACAGGAGACATAAAATGAGATTTCACTAGAGAAATACGAACCCCACAATTTCATTATCATCCTTGATCACAAAATGAGGTTTCAGTACAGCTTGAAGCTCAAGAGCTGAAAATTAATTCATTGGAATTAGACATCAGAAATGGGGAGAGTAATTTGTTGCTCATGTATAAACATGAAAATGTTTAATTTGTTGAAATGACATTATTAATTAATTTATTAACATTTTTAATTTATTGATGTAATTTGCCAAGGCAAAGAGGCAGTCCCAAAGGCAGCAAAATCAGGGAGCTGGACAGGGAACAGATTGTATTTGTCTTCCGTGTGGAAGGGATTGTCACTCTTGAATTGGCCTTCTCAGCCACACTAGACTCTGTTCCCAGTCCTCCATACAGAGCATGCTACCATAGTCTCTCGAGACTGAAGGATGCCTAAATCACATTAATAATCTGTTAATTAAACTATTATCTTTAAAATAAACAGTGGGGCTCACAGAAAATGGCATGTAAATTGTCACCATTGACACATGGTAGCACATCTATCGGCTCCTTCAAAACAGCTCTTATTGTTAATTTGAATTGCTTTCCCTAGTCCAGCACTTTCTTCCAAGTGGACTACAAATCCCAGGCTGCTCCAGGGAAGGGAATTGCCCTCCTCCTGGAAGACTATAAGTGATGGACAGACAGCTCAGTGATTTAGGTATCTGCCTGTGAAGCTGGAGGTTAGAAGTTTGATTCTTCACTGTACTTCCTGGTCTTTGGGCAAGCTGGGAATGAGAAGGCTAAGCTAAGGGAATGGTCAATCACTTCTGTGCATTCTCTACCTAGACAACCATGGAAAACATCATCATAAGTCAGAATCAACTTGATAGCATCCATTATTTTTGTTGGTAGACTACAACTATTACCTAGGGATGGCGATTCTAATGTTTTGTAAAATTATTCATTTAAGGAGATATGTGTGTCCTAACACAGAATTCTATGTCTCAGTCCACACAGAGATACTGTGTTTCCTGAAAATAAGACATGGTTTATATTAATTTTTGCTCCAAAAAAACCCACATTATTTTCAGTGGATGTTTTAAATTTTTTTTAATGTACAACTATCTACATTTATTTCAAATACAGTCATGTCATCTTCTTCTGGTTGCTGCACAATGGTGGAGGGCGGGGTTTCACTTAACTGTGTCTTATTTTTGTGGTAGGGCTTATATTACGAGCGCCCTGAAAAATCATACTAGGGCTTATTTTCAGGTTAGGTCTTATTTTTGGAGAAACAGGGTATATTCATCTTTCTGGGAGGAGGAGAGTCGACACAGAGTATAAATAATTATTTTAATAACAAAAAATGTATTAGCACTACTTCAAAATTGTGCATTTTAAACTATTAGATATATTGTTTCTTCTTCCCCATTTGATGGGGGAAATTGCAGTTTTAACAGTAACACATTAATTCTAACACACTATTTCCAAGATCTGGATTTTTCTACTGTACCTGTTTGAACTGGATGGTGATGAGCATATGAGACCGACTGCTGGTGGCATTCATGCTGGTTGATGCAGTGGTTCTTATTTTGGTGCCTTGTTCCATTAGTCTCTCAATTTGTGCATAACTATCACAGGGTACCAGTTTCAGCCCATCCACATAGAAGCCTTGTTGCTGATCTTCTCTTACCTTGAGCCCACCCCGCTTCTTGATTCTACATAGCAAATCTGTTACCTTGGAGTACACACAAAGAGCACATTTCAATGGAAAATTAAAAAAAAAGAGGATACAATTTTAGCAGGCTGGACAATTCTCAGCAAAATTTGAAGGTCTGCTCCTCTATACATTTGAGATCAAATAGCAAAAAGGTTTTATTTAAAAAGCATGGTTTTTATTTCTCTTTGTGACAACAGCAATGCCATAAGTGTAAGTCAAACAGTCACTTTCTCATGCAAAGATTTTGCCCCACTGGCAGGAAAGTATTACAGAGGGCCATTTTAAATATTTGTAACAACTGCGTAGAACTGGCAAGCTGGTCAAAAGTATAAATGCTCCTAAGGATGTTGTCTAACTTGCGGTTTTGTGCATATACAGGTATGCACATGTCATGTGCATAGAACAGTAGCCACAAGCTTTGCATTGTACAAACATGGCTGAGAAACTCCCAAAAGTTTTATTTTCTGCATCTATGTGATGCATGTGAAGATAAATTCCTTCTTGCTGCAGCTCACCCATGAATCTTCAAACTGGCTCCAGAAAGCTAGACAAACCCCCCTGCACCCTGGGAGATGAAAGGAGGGGGAAAGGGTTCCATCAAACAGAAGGCTGGAGATGCTTATCCTCAACTGTGATTTCCAGAGTTTAGGGTCACCTTCAAGAGCAGTGCAGCCATGTTTTTTCAATCTTTGTTAAACCACTACTGCCATTATTTTCTTTTTCTTTCTTTCTTGTTGTTGTTGGATGCAGGGGCAGGGTTCCCATTGGGCTGTACTGTCTAATACCATGGCTCAATAGCAAGGTTGCCCTTATACACTGCTGACCAATAAGAATTAAAGAAAGGCATGATTGGCTTGCTGTTGAACTACTCGCTCCTCAGTTCTAGATGAAAGCAGAGCTGAGATTTTGTTGTGAACTCCACTGGGAAATAAATTCTCTTTCTGGGGGAAGCAAAGAAAGGCAAGAAATAAAAAGTAACCTTTATGTAACTTGAGATACATTGTTTAGTAATAATTTAGTGTGCCAAAATGTTACAAATGTAATTGGGGAGGAGCATGGGGAGAAAACAAAAATTAGCTGGGCCTAATTTAATTTACCACTGACCCGGTCTCTATCTAAAGCAGTGGTTCCCAATTTTCCTAGAAGCCTTCAACACTAGCTGTGCTGGCCAAATTCTCAGGGAGCTTTAGTCCAAGAACATCTGGGGACCCAAGATAGGGAAGCATTGGTCTAATGGTTTTGTTATCCATGGCCAAGAACCTTAGCTTAGCCTTCTCATTAACCTCATGCTACTAGACTAGTGTTTGTTTTCTAGCCATGTGACTACAGTTGTACTGGCCCATGTAACACTGAAGGGAATCTTGTTGTAATCTGCAAGATTTACATTTATCTCAGTTAGATACATTTAAGAAATTAATACAGCTTTCTCCCCAGATGTGCTCCACCAGTACATTAAATATTAAGGACTGAGCATGCAAGGTTGCTGCAGTGTCACATGATCAGCATGCATAAACATTGATCTGAGCAATGTGTGTTGGTGCTATTTCCTGATGAGGAAGAAACACAAGCTTATAGAGAGAATAAAAACTTTGAAAACTAAAGAGGAGTTAAATAATTACTCTTATTGTTATTACCTGTTCATTATAAATTTCCAGCATGCTAAACGTAACCTGTGAATTAAAAAAAAGAGAAATAGGACAGATCAAAAGATAATTTGTCACTGTTAAAGATTTAAAATTATTTAGCAAAATTCAGCACTGGGTTCCATTTGAAATCTGATATGGAACACACTTTGTCTCATATGTAACAGATTCTTTTCAAATCTGAGATGTTTTTAAAATAGGCAGCTTTATTTGCATATGCCAGGATAGATGCAGATATTTTGTTCAGATTCCACATTAAAACCTCTGTTCCTCAGCCTCTCAGACTGTGCCCACCAGGAGGTTGTATATGTGGCCAGAGTCCTGTTCAGGAAAGCACACGGTGCTCCACTGCCCCCAGCATAATGACCTTATTGTGAAACCACACACAAGAACAATCCACTTGGGGGAACCACTTGTGGGACTGCTCTTGCACAAGTGGTTTTTCTCAACAGGATTCCGGGCCATGCTTTCAATTTCACAAACAATTGTGACAAACAGAAATAGGTTCAACATCTTAATATTTTTATTAAAGAAAACTAGTGCTAAATATCACAAATTGGTATAGAATGTAACATACCTGATATTGCTCGTTCTTCTCTTGGTTCTGAATTGTTTTAAAGAGTTCTTCACACACCACTGGGATTATTCCTCTGTTTGCATCATATCCAATCATCGAGTAGCTCTTTCCTGAGCCAGTCTGACCATATGCCAAGAGAGTAGCATTGTAACCTTGCCAAGCACTGTCTAGAACTCCCTGTCCAAGGTCACGAAAAACCTCCCTCTATAAAGATATATTTTTTCACACAAACATATATAAGCCAACACAGAAGTAGAAGCTGTGACTAGTAGTGCATACTTCCAGAAGATGCTACAGCCTGCTCTGGTTATGCTTTAATGTAATAAGTGAAAGACATTCTGGATACAGGAAATACCGGTGTATTTGCACATAGTGAGCTGTTACAGATGGAGGGTGGGTGGAATGGGACACTTTCCTGTATTCATTTAGCTATATTTTTTTCTACCACCTTTCTCCATAAATGATAATCAAAGTGGACTCAACAATAAAAGAGTATAAAAGCATATAATGAAATAAAAGCATAATGCATTTTAAACTCAATTTAAAAGTACTCTAGCAACATTAAAATACAGCACCCATCCAGATAAAAGCCCTTTTGGTAGCAAGGTCAGTTGCCAAAGGCCTTTCAGACAGACAAGCAGACATAGGAATGTGTTCGTTTTGGAATACTAAGTATATTAGAGACCTCCAGAAAATCGACATTGAAGCCTTGCCCATAACACATTAGTGGTAGGATACCAAGGCTGAAACTACACTGACAAGCTGAATGGAAGGATTCAGTTTTGCTGTGGTTTGATTCATTCTTACAGTTCAGTTCATTTTCAGAGATCTACATTGATTCCTCAGTGCAATCCACATTTCTGTCTACAACCACCTTTTGAAATAATATTTTAAAGCACAAATGCATGTTACCTGTCCTGAATATCTGCTGTTTGGCCCAGCAGAAATGAGCTTGCCATCTTGGTCCTTTAGAAAGCCATCATGGGACCAATATGCCAGGTCAAAAGTAAATGTTTTTATGTTGCTTGGGTTCTTGGGATCATATATGCTTGTAGAATTGGCATTCATAGAAACGACACATCTGCTGCCTGCATTCTTCTCTCTCTGTTGAAATTGCAGCCATTTAAAATAGGAATTTAGATTGCTGATTTAGGTTTTTACATTAAAGTAGAGCTTAGAAAGTTGCTTTTTGAAAGTAAATGGCTCTCAATACTCTTTGCAGTGTTTAGAAAGTGAACTTGCACCCATTACTTGCCATAACATTAAACTAGTAATTTCTGTTGTTTTGCTTGAGGGGGAGTCAGGGTTAGGATTAATAAGAAAGTAATCTCAGATAAAGGACGTGGTGGCGCTGTGGGCTAAACCGCAGAAGCCTGTGCTGCAGGGTCAGAAGACCAGCAGTTGTAAGTTCGAATCCACGCGACGGAATGAGCACCCGTCGCCTGTCCCAGCTCCCGCCAACCTAGCGGTTCGAAAGCATGCAAATGCGAGTAGATAAATAGGTACCATCTCGGTGGGAAGGTAAACAGCATTCCATGTATAAATCACACTGGCCATGTGACCACGGAAAGATTGTCTTCGGACAAACGCTGGCTCTATGGCTTGAAGAGCGGGATGAGCGCCGCCCCCTAGAGTCGGACACGACTGGACAAAAATTGTCAAGGGGAACCTTTACCTTTACCTAATCTCAGATATGAAAAATATCTGTCAAAATGCATCTAAAAATACTTTTTAGGTGACTTTTAAAAGTAACTAAAATGTTTCTCATCACAACCAACATTGTTCTTACTCATCATTATAAGTTTGAAACATAATTCCAATATGTTTTCATAACCTACCTGTAAGTAATTTGTTACTATTGTTGATGTCTCTGATTTTAACGCACAACTGTGCAGTGGGGTGGGCAACTTCTCTCTCTCTCTCTCTCTCTCTCTCTCTCTATGTTATTGGACTAAGACTCATCTCCTCTGATTTCTGGCCATCCTGGCCCAGGGCTGATAGGAGATGAAATCCAGGAACATGTGAGCCTGACTGGTTGCAGCATGTTTGGCCCAACCCCCTCCCCCCAATCTTGTGTTGCTGATCCCTGAGGGGAAGATGATTCTATAGAGCAGACAGATATTTTGGTTTCCATGAGCTAAACCTCAAAAACATTTTGGGAAAAGAAGCAAGCGTAACTGGAGGCAAAGAATCAAGGTTGGTGCAATAATGACTATCACTAGTCTGTCTAAAGCATACATTTCAAAGCTAAGGTAAACTACAGTACATGGATCTTTGAAAGAGTTCTGGTTTTAATGAATATCATTATGTGACACTGTGAGTTGTTCAGCATCTTGAGAAGCTCACATACATTATGGCAAAAGCTGGAATAGACTGATGTCATCTGAGAACATTAAATAATTTTGTCACTGGGAACGTGGAGGACACAGAACCTGGGATCCATCTTAAAACCCAGACCTGTCTGAATGTGCCTGAGAAATTGTTTAAACTGTAACATTAGTATCTGCTTGGTAACAAGGAGAGGTCACACCTGCAGTATATCTCCTGAGAAAGAGGCTTTCAAGGCCAGGCCTAGCTAGTTTCCTGATATTGTTTTAATTGGGAAAATGACTTCACCTGTGTGTGAGTAAATTCTAAAATAGAAGCTGAAACCTGTGGAAGAAGAAGAAATATCAGCAGAATTAGAAAACACTACTGCAGTATATTGATTACTGGCACATGAGCTTTTTTACATACCACTATATGCAAATACTATTTCAACCAAAGCATTTTCCTACTACAGGCACCCTCCAGATGAGAAGGCACTGAAAGTTATTTGCTTAACAGAGGGCTCATCCAGATGGATAATTTGTTCTCCTGTGTGTGCTGATATTGGCATTTTCCCCACCATCCAGACAACAGAATGCTTAAATCAATACCAGCAGTGAGAATAAGTAACATGCTTTTAGTCCACCTGGTTTTTGTTTTGGTTCTTATTTCTTTTCGCCCCCCCCATGGCAGAGTTTGCAAAAGCAAAAATCTAGCACAAGACAATTCTTTAAAGGCTTCTATAGGTTTTCCTCATCATTTTTGAACAAGTTGATGTGAAAGATAGTTGGTTTTTTTAAGTATATCAGCAATGGGGTGAGTCTTTGCTAGCAAGGGCTTGGGTTGAAGGCCTTCAATAATAGCATTAACAAAAACAAGTAAACAAAACATTGTAGCACAAAAGATAATTCAAAACGTTAAGTGAAGATCACTTTTAAAGCATTTCTTCAGTATTTTGGAAGTATTTTTGAAGTTTATTATTATTGAAGAGGATATAGATGAAAAGTGGGAATAAGTTCTGACAGAGACTCTGATAAGTTCCACATCTATCTGGCATCAACCAGCACAGGGGATGGGTGGGGTACAAATGATTAATCTGGATGACCCTAGAACTAACCTGTATTCAAAGAAAAGCTTGGAAAACAGGTTAAAAATGACCTTGGAGAGAATCAAACTCCAGAAGCTGGTATGCCCTTCTTTCATCACGCTGACTCTTTGGCTCACTGATCCTGAGCAAAATGAATGTGAGTATGCATGTGTCGGGATTGATTCAGCCTGCCTAATGTTGTTGCAGTGATCTACTGGCCAGGATTTCTGGGAGTTGTAGTTCAGCAACATCTGGCGACTTGAGGGTAGGAATGACTGCCTTAGAGAATTACTGCCAGTCAGTACTGGGCTAGAAAGACTAATGGGCAGATTTAGTATAAAAAGCTTCCAGAATTCCTGTATTACACAGAAATGTTTGAGAAGCCTTATTTGCAGCAGCACCCTTCCGTTGGAGGTCCCACTGGTGCTGGTGTTACTTCAATTCAGTGCAAAGCTAAAATTTGGTTATTTATTAGGTTTTGAAGATGTTGACTTGACTACATTGTGAAGTTCTTGATATGGATGCACCATTTTCAAAAACTAGCGGATGTTTTTTTAAAAACTTACCTAGAGTTATTCTGATATTTTAATAAATTAAAAAAACTTTTTGAGATAGCCAAAGCAGGCAGAAAAGGAAGTACTCCTAAAGTAAAAAGCAGCAGAATATTAAAGGAACTTAAAAGTATCTTAAAATGGCAGCTGGGGGTTTAGGCATTACATAATACATTCCTTTATTTTGTGTGAGCAACTGAGTTTGTCTAGATCTTTTTTGATTGCAATTCCCATAATCCTTCATGACTGCCTATGTTGGCTCAGGATAATAGAAAGAGTAAGGCAAAAACATACAGCTTCCAACTTCTCCTTTTAGTCAGTAACATGGCACTATCCTCAGCAAGTCATTTTATGCCAGCCCTTCCCTTTCCAAACAGTTAGGAAACCTGAATTGTTCTGAAGCAGTAAGCAGCTCCAGGACATCTTGGTTTAGAAGAACCTATTATGGAAGGAAATAAGAATGACAAGTCTCTATCAGAAGCTATGGTAGGGAAGCTGCATCTGGGTCTCTGAATCTGGGATTGTTACTACCTTCATAGCATCTCTTATTGCCATCCATCCTTGCTACCTCAGCTTTATCCCTTTTCCACCGAGTGCTGCTCCTCTACGTTCAAAAACTTCAAATGTTTGACAGAGTTCTTGTCATTGCCACTTTCTCTTCACTGAAAGAAAACAGCAGCTGCTAAAATCCTGTCATGTTAAGAAACACAAATAGCCTGCCAGAACAAAAAAGGCAACTCTCTTTGAGGCCTACGAATGGAAGGTCCGTGGAGCTGTGGGCAAATAGTTGATAAGAGCTTGTCCAGGCAGGAGAATTTGGAGCTGCCTAGTTCATGCTTAAAGTATTCTTATCTTCAGTGTGATCTATTTTATCTCTCACTTGGACGATCCTTTTGTTCACACTGGATATGTTTATTCTCCTGTGTGAATTGTTCATACAGGTCGTTGGTTTGCTGGCTTGCTCGTGAATAAGGAGGCAGCTGAGGACAGTGGTGATAGGAGGGGAAAACATTGAGGTGAAAGTTAGGGAAATGAAAGGCAGGTAACTCCAACTTTCTCCTCAGCTGGGGCTCTGCTGAGGTTGTCCTGTCTTCTGGGACTGAAGTCCATGGAGTCAACTTAGCTCCCTTTCCTGCCTTTTCCCGTGGCCATCATTTAGCAGGCTGTGGCATAGCCTGCCAAAACAAAAAAGACAACTCTCTTTGAGGCCTACAAACAGAAGGTCCGTGGAGCTGTGAGCAAATAGTTGGTAAGAGCTTGTCCAGGCAGGAGAATCTGGAGTTCCCTAGTTCATGCTTAAAGTATGCTTATCTTCAGTGTGATCTATTTTATCTCTCACTTGAACGATCCTTTTGTTCACACTGGATATGTTTATTCTCCTGTGTGAATTGTTCATACAGGTCTTTGGTTTGCTGGCTTGCTCGTGAATAAGGAGGCAGCTGAGGACAGTGGTGATAGGAGGGGAAAACATTGAGGTGAAAGTTAGGGAAATGAAAGGCAGGTAACTCCAACTTTCTCCTCAGCTGGGGCTCTGCTGAGGTTGTCCTGCCTTCTGGGACTGAAGTCCATGGAGTCAACTTAGCTCCCTTTCCTGCCTTTTCCCGTGGCCATCATTCAGCAAGCTGTGGTGACTTTCCTTTTTTTATTTTTGTTTAAATAAAGTGCCATGTCAAAAGAGCAATGCACAAACCTAGCATGGTGTTAGAATTGTGCTATGTAAGTTAGGAAAATAAATTTTTTTTAAAAAAAGAGAATGAATGTAGAGGACAAGGAGGTTTCTTTCTCCTCTACATTCACAACCCACCTAATACATCACAGGGTTGTCACCTCAGATAATGTTGACCATAGCTCCATTTGGGTACAAATTAGCCCATCTGCACAGGCTGCACAATGGGATAAAATTAGAAGCACATCAAATCATAACAAGAACAAAAACACCACAGAAGCCCCTAGCACTGTGCCAGAAAGGAGCAGGACAGCTCTTAAAAAGGAAGGATGGATCAATCTTAGCAGAAACACATGTGGATGCCATAATTTGGTTTGAACCAAACTGTACCACCAGCAATCAAATTATCAGTCTATATGCCTGTCTGAAATATGTAATTGGTTACATATTTTAATGAACTGCTTTTCCTCCAGTCAGCTCAAGGCAGCAGCACACATGGTTTTCTTCCTAGCTTTGTCTTCACAACAACCTCAGATATGGGTCAGGGAGAGGCTATGACTTGCCCAAATTAATCCAGTGAATTTCAGGGCTTGAACCCAAGTCTCTTGAACTCTCTTCCAATACTCTCACTGCTACACCAAGAAGCATTACATTTTTCCCTGCCTTTATTTGCACCTTCACAGCAGCCTCACATGAAAGAATTGAACAGATGAAGATCTTCATAACAGGGAGATAAAATGAGGTACAGTACAAGTTTTGGATACAAAAGGGAACCTTTTAAAATCAGAAGAGCCTTGAAACTTGGAAGAGGCTCCTACAGTTTACAATGTTTCTCCTCACAGTATTAACAGGATAAGAAAAGTAATACTGTATGAGAGAAAACTGAATGTAGAAGCACTCTCTAAATTTCAAACCAAAGAAGCACTGGTGCCTCTGGGAAGGTTGGTGATTAGGGAACCACCAATTACAAATTGGGCCTTAGGGGAAAAAAATATAATGATGACCAGGCTGCAGAAATTCACAGAATATGCTGGCAGCACTGCTACCTACCATGGGCTGTGCCTATTGCAGGCATACATGCGTACTTTATTATGGTCAGAGACCAGTACTGAATTAAAAAACCCAATACAGAACACAACTAAAATAAGCAACGTATAGAATGTAAAGGAGTTCAGCTATGTAGTATATAAAGTACTGTGCTAGAAGTATCTAAGAAAAGGGGGGTTGCTGTGTTGCCAGAGAACTTCAGAAAGATATGGAAGCTCTACAAAATCTGGCTGCTGTGTTGGTAATATGGGAGCCCTGCTCAGAAAGGAGAAATGAAATATAAAATTCTTCTGATTCCCCCAGGGACTTTTTGGAAAATAGATAAAAGGAATTCTTGATGAAGGTCACAGCAGAAGGAGCAGCATTATAGGACATGCCCAACAGCTTCCACATCCCCACTATCACAGGGACATTACATTTCTCATTAGGTGCTTCAAGATATCTCCCCTCCACCTCACACATTTTGGGAAGTCTTACAGACCTTAACATGCACATGAAGAGACATGAGGTGCAAGACTGATAGTATGTGAACACCACACTTCATTCTGCCTTTTTGCAATCTATGCTAACAGCAAAAGTGACTCATTACTAAACATTACTGGACTTGCATTCCTCCTCACCTTCACAAAGCTTTTTCCTGCCAAAGCCTCTTTTCTCAAACACCATCGACAAATACAAGTATGATCTCAGGTCTCAATTTTCACCAGAGCACATAGAATCAATTACTAACCTGACTGAAAGGTCTTACACGTACTGCCACTTTCACAGTGTCAGAACTTGGCATGCTTTTGTTGCTAAAACTCCTTCAGAGAATTCAGAATGAAAAAAAAAAGATACAGAGGACACCTATCAGTTCATCTTCACAACCTTGCTTCCAATTAAGTTAAATTAAATAAATGGCCAAGTGGTGTCTAATACAGCTCTTTCTCAACTCTTTAATTATTGATGTGCTCACTCATTAGCTGTAAAAGTTACCTCATAAATTATTTCTGAGAGGAACTCCAGTTGATTAAGTTTACCAGTAGCACTTGAATCTTGGTGGTTTTTAATGTGGAATTTTAAAATCTTATTTAATATGAAATTACATAAAAACAAAGGCAGTGGTCATAAACCAGTTTTGAAAAAATTGGAGTTAAAATAGAGAGGAAAAAACACCCGACAAGATCTTCCAAGGAAGCTGAGTAAGAGAACTGGCTACAGTAAAACTGATGTTTTACTGCTGGATTTTTAGAAGTATGTTCATGTATTTTATCTAAAAGATATCTCTATAAATCAACACATGATGAGGGTGATGTATACAATTATTACTGGAAAATAGAAGAAACAGGGACCATGCTTTTAAAAATGTTTTGTAATTTTCTGCATCTGATCCCGTTGGTTGTGCTGTTTTTCTGTAAACATTAATGACCAGACTGTAGCTTCTCAGCATGCTGGTGGTAAGTTCTTTGCATTTTTCTAGTTGTCAAACAAAAGAAGTTACGTCTTTGTGCACTAGAGCAATAATTTTATTATTTATTTTATTATTTATTGAATTTATATCCCGCCTATCTAGTCAGTTACGACCACTCTAGGTGGCGATAATGCCATCTATAAGTAATGCAAGAAAACCAAATACTAGAGAAGGTATAATTTTTCTGCTGAAATTATTTTTTTTTCAATTTCTGCAAATTTATGACCAAAACATGAATGGAGGACTACCATATATACCAATAAGACCAAGTTATAATACATCCTAACATTGTGGGTCTAAACATTTATTGTCCAATCTTGTTCCAGTATATAGTACTTTGTATACAGTGTATAGTTTGAATATATTACTATCTGTTGGGTGTTGCTCTGTAGTATTATTTGACACTGAGTGGAATTGGATTATATTCCAAAGGGTTTCCCAATTAAGCACCAAGGGAAACAGTAGAATGCTTTCCTCCATATTGCTTCTGAACAGTGCATCTCCATACAAAACCTGAATGAAAGTCTTTTTAAAGACAACTTCATATATAGTTTTGAAACAAGATCCTTTGGGTTTTCTTGATTCAAAACAATCAGCCTTTAATTGGGGTAAGAAACCTCATTTATTTTGTATTGTCAATTAAGCAAATAATTTTAGAAAAACAAAGTACCCCCTTGAAGAAAAATAAAAAGAGAACAAACAAAAATCAGCCCCCTTTTGAAAACCTGAAAAGCAAGCAAATAAAGGCAAAAAATACAGTCAAGCTGAATTACTAGAACATGGAAGGATTCCTCTCCCTCCCCCATGTCTCCTCTTCAAGAGTGTCATGTATAGAAGCAGGCAGACAGAATAAATAATGCAAGAAAGGAAAAGACCAGAGAGAAAAATACCCAAAGAAACCAGGAGAAGGAATGACAATTACAATAACAACAATAAATCCCCAGAAGGCATACTGGCACAGGCAGGCTGTCTGGTGGCAGCAGAAGAAATGGTAATTTTAAAAGGGGAGTTTCCTGCAAAAAATCAAGAAAAAAAGGCAAGAGAAAAAGATCTGAGATGGTCAGAGCAGGAAAAAAACAAAACAAGATGGCGGGCAACAGGAGCATGCACAGGCACAAGCAGCAACTGAAGTGAAAATGTACTCCTTTCTGGGTTCATTACTAACCTTTCTGCAAGGGACAGAGTCAGAAAGACCAAATGGAGCTAGAAACATTCAGGTTTCACTTGGAGTTCACATAAATGGGCTCTTCCCTGTTCGGTATATCATTACCTTGGTGAGATAGCTCCAACTGTTGCTGATGTAATTTCCTCTTCAGAATCTTTATGTGAAGCTGAAATGCCTTCCTTTGTTGTTTGTTTGGCTGAACAAAAATCCTGGTAGAGATTTATAGATAAACATTGTCTCTTAACCTCAACCCCCCCCAAAAAAAGCTGACAACAAAGTCCTCTGGCTTAACACCATGCTTATGCTTGGCTGTTTGAAAGAGGGAGCTATCTCTCCTTCCCTCTGCTTCTCAAAGAGGAAGGGGATTTGGCAGGCCATCTCCCAATAACTAGGCCAGGCTAAAGGATTTTGAGTCAAACTTCTTCTTCCTTCCCACTCTCATAGCTCCCTCCCCTTCTCTCACCCCAAAAGGAGGGTTTATGGGGTAGTCTTGACTGGCATGGCCTTTCAGCCTCAGCCCTGGGAGCTCCTAATGTGAACAACTCCCCAATCCAAGGGTCCTCGTGTTCCACAAACTCCCAGTCCTCTCAAAGATCTGTTAGCTTCTGGACTCAACTTCAATTTTTTCCTTTAGAATCCCTCCATATCCCTTCAATCTTCTCAGACTCCCCTCCTGTACTCTCTCCTTATCCTTCTCTGGAGCTTTCTTTCCTCTCTTTTATCCTCTTCTCCCAATTCTGTATCTGACATAGCTCTCGCTACATCTAGGTGAGCTAGAAGTGGACCACTGCAAAGCAAGATGGTCCACAGGCAGGAATTGGTATGTCCTTGCCCACATTCTCACAGCTGCTTTGTGTAAATTTATTTATTTTTTTAAAGGAGAAAGGCAAGGTAAAAATATTTTAAATAAATAAATAATAAACGGAACCAGAAACAACACCCAAAATGAGTATTTATGAAATGAATATCTTGAGAGTTATGGGCTCCTGCTACTGCAGTAAATTGAAAAACCACCAACAACGAAACATTTGAGGCGAGATTTCGTTTTATAAACTGAAGAGCAGCTTTTCCAAGTTAAGACAAATACAAAAAAAATATTGCACAGCTTCAATACAATATTTTACATTCTTACTTCAATAAAGTACATATTTGATCAAGAGAGTAAGGTTTGTTTCTAATGGAGAACCCCCATTACCAATTTCCAAAAGGTCAAAACATTTTCTATAAACCCCTAAAATGGTCACATTTTAATTTTTAAAAACATTACAAGAGCAAACTATCTTTAAAAAAATGTTAGCCTCCCATTAGAGAGGAACCAACAGTGGCAAGCCATCATTAAAACCATCTCTGAGTTGTTTGCACCACGCACCACCATTCTCTTTCAAAAATCTAGTGGACAATAATTGTTGTTAAGTATACATTTTTATTTAACATTCCTAAAATAAGATGTATTTACATATTATATAAATGTATGAAGTGTCTTATAAAATAGAAAAACTGCATTGACTGAAGAAATCACACTCCACATGGAGTTACTTATTGAAGACCTTACTGAATTTTTACAATAATTTATATAAATTATCCTCCAGATTAGATGATTATTCCTTAATATGCCACACAACTATGATGACTTTACAAATACTGATGTACAATGCACACTTTTAAAAACAGTTATAGCATCTTCTTCCGAACAACTGGCTTTGGATAGCTAGACAGTCTCTTCTCTTTCTTACAAACAGTCTTCTGATCAGACCTCTCTGCTTTGTCCACAGATTCTCTTGGTTTGCTCTTTGATCCATCTACTGGGGTACCAAAAGGAGAGATGAACTTTATTTCCATTGGGGGTGGAGACCAACTACTGTCTTTTCCTAGACCTCTAAAAGGAGGAGAAAGAAGTTATGTCAGAGTTTAATTTTACCTCACCATTCTCCTTAAAAGGATTCAAGATAGCTTACAACAATTAAAGCATTAAAAAGCTAAGAACAGTGAGTATACAAATATTTAAAAAACAAGTATATTAAAAATGATCAATAAAATCAATAATTAAAAAATTAAAAACAACAGAGCACAACAATCCATTAAAAAAGCAACACAAAACCTTCTCAGACTGCAAGTCACTAAGGAAAAGCTTGTCTGAATAGAAAGGTCTTTGTCTGCCTGCAGAAGGACAGCAAAGATGGGGCCAGCCTAGCTTCTCCTGGGAGGGAGTTCCAGAGTCTGGGAGCAGCAATAGAGAAGGCCCTCTCCTGTGTCCTCACCAAACATACCCATGAAAGTGGTGGGAGCACAAGAAAGGCATCCCCTGATGATCTTAATGCCTGAGTAGACTCATAGAGGGAGAAGCAGTCTGTTAGATAGCTTGGACCCAAGCTGCTTAGGCCTTTATAGGTTTATGCATTTTAGATACCCAGTGTGATGGGTATTTAAAATGGTTTGATAGATTAAAACTGGGGCTCTGTGCCTTGAAATAGACTGGCAGCCAGTGGTGCTGTTGTAATAGGGCAGTTATATGTTTCCTATAACCAGCTGCAACATTTTGAAACCGCTGAATAATTATTTCTTCAACCCAGCCACACAGGCAAAGAGGCCTCTTTAGTCACTTTAAATCCAGAAGACTAAATTAATGTTACTTTTTAAAATCACAGTTACTCACACAAAAGTAATACTGAACATCAGAGGCACACAATTATTTTTGGTTATGTCTCTACTTTTGCTACAGGTACTTATAAAAAATTGTATCGCTGCATACTTGCTTGTTTTTGTTGTTTTTCTGCCTCTTTTTACTTTTGGCTTTTCTAATGCTTCTATCGAGATGGCATCCTTTTCCTTTTTAATTGGCAATTCCTGAGGGCAAACAAAGGAGTGTTAAAGACACAAAAAACAAAAGGCTTCCCTTTTACTATTATCCTCATCTTTCTTGCATATCCCACCTCTTTCTTTCACCTTGCTTTCTTTCCTTTGCATGTGGTCCCTCCAGAGATTGAGTTGGATATGGCTATGGTTTATCTAATGACTCTACAGCTTCTCTAGAAAAATGACCTGATATATATAAAACAATTTTTTATTGATTTCTATATGAGAAACCTTAAGGCATCCATGAATATGAACCTTTACTGTCCCATGTAATTTATCATACAGTGGTGCCTCGACTTACGAATGTCCTTACTTACGAACATTTCGACTTACGACCAGCTCCGGCCGCAAAATTTTGCTTCTACTTGCAACCGGAGCTTCCACTTACGAACAGAAAAAGGCAGGGGAAAAAGGCAGGAAATTCAAATTGCTAACTGTAGGTGGCGAAAGAGGCTGATTCATTGTAGCTCTTTCACCCCATCAGTGTTAGAGAGTGTGCATCGGAGGAGGCTTCGGGACTGCCTGGCTTCTGCTTCTCAGTGTGTGTGTGTGTGTGTGTGTGTGTGTGTGTGTGTGTGTGTGTGTGCGTTTGCAGGGAGGCTTCGGACTGCCTGGTAAGGCAAGGTGCTGCTTTTTGCTTTTTAAACTGTTCTGGGTGATTTTTGCAGGGTGGGTTTGGGCTGTGGGGGTTATGTTTCTGTGTTGTGATGGGTCTTGGGTTTTTTTTTTTGGTCCACCCAATTCCTGATGGGTCGGGGGGCTTGGTTGCTTTTTTGGGTTCCTCCCTATTTCCGATGGGTCTTGGGGGGTTGGTTTGTTTTCTGGTTCTCCCCCCATTTCCGATGGATCTTGGAGGGTTTGATTGCTTTTTGGGTTTTCCCCCCATTTCTGATGGGTCTTGGGGGGTCTGGTTGCTTTTTGGTCCCCCCCCCCCATTTTCGATGGGTCTTGGGGGGTTTGGTTGCTTTTTGGGTGTCTCCCCATTTCTGACGGGTCTTCCATGATTCCCTTGCTTTTCCCTTTATTCTCTGTGCATTTCCAATTGGTCTTGCATGCTTGATTGCTTTTCTTTTCCCCTTCGGCCGGAAGGGATTAATCACGTCTCAAATGAGTCTTGCAGTGATTTTTTTGGTGATTTTTTTCTTTGGTTGGAACGGATTAATGGGGTTTCAATGCATTCCTATGGGAAATGGTGCTTTGACCTATGACCATGGTCGTAAATCAAGGCACCACTGTATTGGTTACTGTCCCCTAAGAATAAACATCGAGAGCAAACATTCTTTTCATAGGCTTACGTTGTTTCCTGACAGCATTTCAGCTCCTAGCATTTGAAGGAACAGACAGTATTCTAATTCATCCAGTTCTCATTAAATGTCCTGCAAGTGAGATTTAATATATCTGTTTTCCACAGCTCTGGGAACCCTAACCATTTATATATTAATATGTGTTGTTACTATTATGTAACATCAAATCAAAATTGACAGTAGAGTTTTCAAGATAGGCGAGATATTTAAGGAGTGGTATTAACCAGAGTCACTCTGCAGTGTTTCTATAACTAAGTGGGAACCCAGGTCTTTTGAGTCCTAGTTTATCACTACTGCACATTGGCTTTCATTAATATGTATTACAAGTGGATTTAAAAGAGTGAAATGGTTTGTTAGCTTAGAATGTAAATCAACTTGGTGTCCTCCAGATGTGGTGAGTACAATACTGCACTGGTCCCCAACCTTGGGCCTCCGGATGTTCTTGGACTACAACTCCCAGAAGCCTTCCTCACCGCCTCTGCTGGCCAGGATTTCTGGGAGTTGAAGTCTAAGAACATCTGAAGGCCCAAGGTTGGGGACCACTGCATTGGATCAGACTAAATATCTATTTAGTGCAATGCTCTGTTCACGTAGTAGTCAACCAATTCATACAGTGGAACTGTGAAGCTCACCCAACAAAATGGGAATGCTACTGCATCCTGTGTTACATGATCCCCAGCAACTAATAGGCAGTGGCATCTTGGCTGTTCTTAGAAACAACAGAAATTGCAGTCCATTACATTCAGAGGGTACCAGGATGGGAAAGGTTGATTTAAGATAGTAAGAGATTGGCCAACTTTATACAGTGGTGCCTCACTTGACGAGGATAATTTGTTCCGTTGAAATCACTGTTAAGTGAAATCCTCGTCAAGTGATACAAAAAAGCCCATTGAAATGCATTGAAAACCGGTTCAATGCGTTCCAATGGGCTAAATCCCTCAGCGTCCAGTGAAGATCCTCCATAGGGGTGGCCATTTTCAGTGCCTGTAAAGCGAGAAATCCATCCTAAAGCACAGCAGGGAGCCATTGTACACAGCGGGCGGCCATTTTAGAGCCGCCGATCAGCTGTTTTAGAATCATTGTCTAGCGAAAAATTGGTTCCCGAAGCAGGGAACCAATCGTCAAGCGAAATTTCCCTATCTAAACATCGTTTTGCGATCTCAAAAACCTCATTGTAAAGCGGATTCATCATTTAACGAGGTAATCATTAAGCGAGGCACCACTGTATTTTAAAATGAAATGGTGCATGTATTTATTTTCTCTAATCACTTTAATTAAAATAAAGCATTTAAACTAGTAATTACATACTAGTTTAACATACAATCCTGCCAACCTAGCAGTTCGAAAGCATGTAAATGCGAGTAGATAAATAGGTACCACCATGGTGGGAAGGTAACGGCGCACCATGTCTAGTTGCGCTGGCCATGTAACCATGGAAACTGTCTACGGACAAATGCTGGCTCTATGGCTTGGAAACGGGGATGAGCACTGTGCCCTAGAGTTGGACACGACTGGACTAAATGTCAAGGGGAACCTTTACCTTAACATAAAAAGCACGCTTTAAATCAAACCAGTAAGCAGATATACAACAATGTACCAATCATACTTCAAAGAGGTGTAGAAAATGTGAAGAAAAACCCAAACCTCAAGTAGATGCAAGAAGACTGTTTCACTAGAAACTTACTGGTTTCCTCTCTTTAAATATCTGAAGGAGCACAAAGAATTGGCAGGAAAGAGAAGCAAAAATACTACTTACTAACTCTTCCACGATCCGTGAAATACTGGAAATTTGTCTCTTCCTGGATCTCAAAACAGGAGGCGAGAAGACAAACTGAGAAGCCAAGTCTGTATCTAAACCTTTGAGCTGCACAGGCGTCACTGGTTTTTCACCTAAGATTAGGAAGCGTGCATTTATTTTTCAAATGAAAACTAAACAGGAAGATATGGGATCTCACACCTCCACGATATGTCAATTATATTTAAAGTTCCTCACGTTATCTAACCTTCAGTTACTGAGAACAAAACAGCTCTTAGCCTTTTTCCTGTCCCCAAAGCAACCATATGGGTTAGGGAGGAAGAACTGTGATAAAATCTTCAGGGAGACAGTCCTTTCCCTCCTATGCTGGTTGTGCTGGGTTTCCAAAACAAAAATACTAGCAGCTGCGCTCAGAGCACAGCAATGGGTAGGTTAGTTCTGGGCCCAATTCCCTCCTCTCAGATAGTCAATCTGAAAGAGATTATTTTTAGCTCCTCTTTATTCAAGATTGAATAAGATCGAATCCACGCGACGGAGTGAGCGCCCGTTGCTTGTCCCAGCTCCCGCCAACCTAGCGGTTCGAAAGCATGCAAATGCGAGTAGATAAATAGGTACCATCTCGGTGGGAAGGTAAACAGCGTTCCGTGTCTAAATCACACTGGCCATGTGACCACGGAAAGATTGTCTTCGGACAAACGCTGGCTCTATGGCTTGAAGAGCGGGATGAGCGCCGCCCCCTAGAGTCGGACACGACTGGACAAAAAATTGTCAAGGGGAACCTTTACCTTTACCTTTATTCAAAGGCAATCACAGTTAACAGTAGTAAACTGGGTGGTTCCTTTAACCAATTCAATTCTTCCATATTCCCAAGGGTTGAGTGTGCACCAGCGCCTTTGCTACTAGAGACATTTCACTTACACAAGAACAATTCACACAAATAATCCTGGTTAGGGGTCTCTTTCATGGCAATCATGCCTATTTTCCCATTTGCCTACTAGGATATGGTTCTCTATCTCCTATGAATCAAAAGATGCAAACACCTTTCCAGCATTCCTGCTCATGAGTGTTAGAAAGCAGTAATATGTCAAAATTAAACAACAGCATTCCCTCCATGATTGTGTGAGCCTGATGCCAGCCTCATCTTACCCACAAACCGAGAGCAGATATCACATTCCACATACTGCAAACTGGCAAAATAGTATTTGGAAAAGGCACAATCCATTTCCAGTTTTAATCTGTAAATGGATCAGGTGCAACCAGTATCAGACAGCATTCATGCTGGAAAAAAATCATCATTATTTCTTCCAATATGATTCTGGTGAGCTTTTATGTAAGGGAAGAAGCTTCTAATAACTCAATAATTTGTTTGCCTAGGAACAAAATTTTCAGTACCTTTAGTTTTTTCTGTGAGCTTTGTTAGAGGTGGTGAAAAATAAAAGGTCTCATCCAGAGAGAGGCTCTCATTTTCACTTTTCTTCCTGTATCTCCTTTTAGTATGAGTACCATGCTGTGGCAAAATTCTCCCTGTTTCTCCAAGTCTCAGTTTCGTTGTGTCTGTGGACTGCAAGCCTGCAGTGTTATCAGTAGCTTGTAACAAGTGTTCTGTACCCTCTTCAGACAGAGATGGGAGCTGGCTCTTCTTTCTTATTGTGGTCAGCTTAGCCTGTCTTCTTGCAGGACTCTTTGTTGAAGTGAATGATTCATTTGCCTGGAGATAACGTTCTTCTATAACCGTTTTATCTGCATCTGTTTTTGCAGATTTTTTCTTTGTGGTGTGCACTGTGGACTCTTCTAGAGGAGGTAAAGATCCCACACCTGAAGATAGATTTAATGGTTTATTTCTACTACTACTTCTAGTAGTGACTGATGTTCTGGTATCCATTTGAAGTGGATGTGATGACAGAGACAAATCCAGCTGTGTATTTGCTGAAACATCCAAAGAATTCTTTCTTGGTCTGCCTCTTTTACGCCGTACTGTTGACTGCTCAACAAGCTCCATGCCTCGATCAGGAACACTTTCTGAGACATTTGTGTTTTGTGCTCCCTCTAGTTTAGTGGGCACAAGTGTCTGTGGCACAGTTGGCTGTACATCATCTTCCAAAATTGCTTTACGTAAACTAGACTTTCTGGCATTACCCTTTCTACTTGGAGTAGGCAATGGCAGCTTTCCAGCTTTCGTTTCTGTCTCGGACTTAAGTTCTTTCAGACCACCATGTTTTCTTGGCTTTCCTCTTCTAGGTTTGACAGTCAGCTGCTCTTTGTGGAGTTCTACTTCCTGATCAGAAATTACATCTTCTGCTAGGTGAAAAGCAATAGTTTTTAGCTTCTTTGCACTTTTAGGATTGACTGTCATTTGGATTGTGTGGTCAATGACAAACTGACTACCTTCCTGCTCCCCTATCAAGCTTCTTGTAATTCTTGAAGTCCTCCTACGAGTAGATGGTCGCTCACTTGGGTGTTCATTAAGGTCTGATAAAAGCTTTTTTGGATTTTTAACCCCTCTTCTTGGAGTAATTGTTGCCTGAAACTCCTCTGCAACAGGAGATACATTTGCTGATATATCTGTTTTCCGGTCATCTTTGACTGGAAAAGCAAGAGACTGGAATGTCTCTTGTTCTTGATGTTTGCCATCAAGAATGACTTCTAATACCTCAGAAGTCTCTTTTATTAGTCTAGCACTTCTCCTTGGAGTGGAGAGCATCAACATTTCTGGTTTATCCTTCTTTGACAATGACTGATCATCAGATAATGAGACATTTGGTTTTTGTGTTGCCTGATCTGCTGTGAAGCTACCAGATGTAACAAAATGTTCAACTTGACTTACTTTTGTATCATTGTTCATTTCAACTATATTTTCTAGAGGAGCCTGGTGGGAAATTAATACCTTCTTGTTTATGTTTTCAGGAAAAGACTGTTCCACAACTTCAGCTGAAACTTCTTTACTTCTTGTGTCTTTTACTACATCTAACAGGTTTTCAGCAATTGCCATCTGAACAGGTTCAGGTACATATGGCAAAACTTCAGCTGTATTCTGAGTTATTTGACTGCTAGTTACTGTGGAAACTGAATTTGTAACGAGTTCTTCATTGTTATTTCCAGTTACATTCAGGGACACACTTTCTGGGTCTGGATCAGTGGATTTAAGTAGAGAAGTTTCCAACACAGTGGACTCTCCTATCTCAGGTTCTTTATCTTCTTCTAATATTAAGGAGAAGTTGTTCTGTGGCACAAGAATCTCTCCTTCGTCTCCTTCAGCAAAGAAAGATTCATCAGTCTCTTTATCAAGTAATTCACATGTGACACGTTCCTCTACAATGGCACAACTGTACTCTAATTTGGGACCGCTTGAGGCACTCAGCTCACTGTGCGGGCATGTCTCCACTACAACTTCTGAAATCTGTTCCTTGCGTTTTCCATCTGCAATAAGCTAATAAAAGAAAGGGCAGGAAATTAATTCTAATGCACAGTAGTATTTTCCAGATTATTTTTACAATGACATAGAATAACTGAGTTGGAAGGGGCCTATAAGGTCATCGAGTCCAACCCCCTACTCAGTGCAGGAATCCATATCAAAGCAGACATATAACAGAGTACTTCACATTGCAGAATTATAATCGACGTGTTTAGAAGTTACATGCCATTGACTGATTCTACCACTGGTATAATGCTATGAATGCAGCAACCCTAGGATAAAGCTGCCACCTCCCAGTTGCAATCAATGGGTATTTTTTCAGTTTCTACAGTCAGCCAGCAGTTGCTGCAACAGGGCTTCTTTCACATGAAGTTCAGAAACATCAAAATAATTCTATGATACACATGTATAATTATAAAAAGGAACTTTGAAACATTTATTCTGATAAAACATTAGTTTCACTTATAGTCATGGATTTCAAAAGAAGAACTTAAGTGTTGAACAAATAAGGACTTTACTTACATTTACTTCCTGCATTTGAAGTTGAGTGTCAGGTGTCACTTCTTGCAGGACTAATATAGTTTCCTCTCTAACAGCTTCTGCAGACCTGTTTGCATCTGACTCTCTTTCAAATTCATTTTTGGAATGAATACTGACAATATCTTCTTCACTATCAGGAATACTGATGACAGCTGAAAAACAGTTTTTTTCTATTATTTATATGACAATTTTATTGTTTTAAATGACTGACATTCTGGTAAGATTCTTCAACCATATTTAAGAATCATTCTACCTGTCAACATATCTGTGAAGATTCTCAGTCATCCAAGTGTGGCTATCTGGAAGTTGAGTCATGGCAACTGGACCTTCTTTCTTGTTAGGTTGAAATGTTTTGCTACTCATCCAAGTAGCTGATTCAGGAGTCCTCCTCCTCCTGAAGAAACTACTTGGATGAGAAGTGAAACGTTTCAACCTAACAAGAAAGAAGTCAGTTGCCATGACTCAACTTCCAGATTTACCTGTCAACATTTCTTATAGAGAATCAGAAGAACAGGGATTCTTTTGAGCTCCTGTGCTTCTCAGGCCCAAATTATTCAGTTTCTCTGCAAAGATAAAACATTTTGACTGCCCCAACATGAACCTGTCTCACTTGACATTTTGCAAATTTGTTTATTTTACGACTGGTCATCAGAAGGTAAACATAAAGAGAAAATACAGCAAGAGTAGGAAAATACACATCTCCCTTCATATGTGACTTCATCCTCAGTTACCATTATTAAACCAATTACAAAGGCAGGCTGGATTCCAGGGAAGTTGCCCACCTCCAATTAATACATATTTAAACCAGCCAATAATTATTAAATTGATGTGCCAACTGCACAATAGTATTTCTTCTGTGAACTTCTCTTCAAGTGATGGGGTGTTCAACTAATCACATGCCCAACATTGCAACAAAGCACACAGATAGTAGGGACCCTTAAGCAATCACATTAGTAAACAGGATTCTGGCCATTCTATTTCTTATGTCAAGATCTGAAAAAAATGACACAAATTACAGCTTTTGCAATGTTTGCAGGTGCTGATGTTATATTCCTATTTTAAAAATTGAAACCTTACCTTTCTATGGTGGTAAGACCAACTTTTTATTTGATTACTTCATTCTCAAGACCACACCAAAATGTAAAATCTTTAGACCTCTGGTGCACAAACATGACAGGCTTCACACAGGCAGTGTAACTTTCCTGAGTTCAACTTCATTTAACTTTACCCAGCTCATCCTTAGACTTGGTTTACTCTACTCATGGTCTCTAAATGGGTGGCAGAACAGTTCATATGTTGTATTCTGCACATTTGGTATGAATAGCACACAAAGTGGCCCATGGTTGTATCTTCTATGAAGAGGTCTTCAGAAATACAATATTGTTGCTTAATACATCACAGCTTTATCTATCCTTTCATAGTAGATTTTATGTCAACATGGTCTGTTCATATATATATATATATAGGAACATTTTATTCTGAAGTCTTCTATTAATTAATATGTTTAAATGAATTCTAAATGAGCAGATTTCTGAAATGTAAAGGGGACAACGGCTAATGAAATCCTGTTATTTAGCACAAGAAAATTTGTAATATTCAATCCATTTGTGGTCGACTATGAAAGTCACTGCTCTGACTCTTGGGGGGGGGCAGGGCAGGTGAATATACTATGTAACTGTGCACATGTGCTGCTGAGAATTACGATAGGATCTCTTTCCTATCGGCCAGGAATGAATTGACTATTACAAGTTTTCTTACACAAAACAACAGCATTTCAGCCAATGCTTCTCTTGGATATATGCTTACGTAAATATTTCATACAATCAAAAACAGTATTTCTGAAGTTGTATCAACACATTAGCCAAAATCTTTTTATGCAGTTCAGGATATAGATTTGACATTTGAAGCATGGTGGAAGTGCTGTTCACAAAGCACTTGTGCATACATGCTGCACAACTATTGCAACAGGAACCACACAACTGGTTAGACAATTGATTGTACTGCACAATCCTCATAATGCCTGGAGCACTTACAAAAGTACAGCATTATGTTACAATAAATAACAATACAGTAAATAAATCAGGCTTACAAGATATTACATTTATATGAAAGTCACACAAGGAGAATATAGTAACATAGTCTTAGTACTTCTCTTCATTTGCTAACAGCTTGCAAAAAAATCCTCCTGCTTGTTCTATTTTGTATGCTAATTCAAATACACGTACATTCAGCATCTGTTCCTATTGGTTCCAAGGCTTGGGTTCTAGGTTCAGAAAGGAGTCTGTCTTCCAGCAACGATGGCGCACTGGATTCTACTGCATTACTTTCACTGTATACACACACAAACAAGAGGGCTGTATAAATGAGTTTAAAAATTTGTTATTTTATGAAAAACATTATTTTTTTACCAACACAAAACAAATTATAAATGATTGAGCTGAACTGGAAAAGATGCAGCAAAGTAAATTGTATAGGAAACTCTGGAACCCACTCTTTGTTACATCAACTGCAAATATCTTTGGCTCCACATTAGGCTCTGAAGATGTGTAGCTAAAATTTGTACAGTGGTGCCTCGCTTAGCGATTTTAATTGGTGCAGAAAAAAACAATCGCTATGGGAAAACATCGCTAAGCGAAATGCGTTTTCCCATAGAGATGCATTGAAAACCGGATAATCCGTTCCAATGGGAACGGATTGCCGTCCTTAAGCGAAAAATCGCTAAGTAAAATGCGGTTCCCCCAGTGGAATGCACAGAAACCTTTTCAATGTATTTCAATGGGGGGAAAAAATCACAAAAAACTCAAAAAGAATCAGAACGAAGCCAAATTAGTTTAACAAAGGGTTTATTAAGTGCACTAACAATTTCAAGCGCTCTAAACCCTTTTAAAAGAATTTAACACATTTTAAAAATAGCGAAAACGGAGCTGTCAAAAACATCGCTAAGCGAAACAGGGGGACCTAAACTGTCATTGCTAAGCGAAGCAAGGTCCCGAACATCGCTATGCGAAATTCCCCCATTGGAAACATCGCTAAACGGAGCGCAAGATTGATCCTAAAACCTCAGCGCTAAGCGATTACATCGTTAAACGAGGCAATCGCTAAGCAAGGCACCACTGTATTTTATTATTTTGCATATTTAATTAATAATCCCGAAGTATAAACATCTTTTTTTTAATAGTAAACCTCACTCATTCACAGAAATGCCCATTGAACTCAGAACTAACTTCTGAAAAAGCAAGCCCTATGTTACTGTGTTGATCATACTCTTTAATTACAACAGAAAACCCAAATGTACATAACTGTCTAAGGATAAACTATATTGCTTTTTTACAAACCTGAATATTTGATACAAGTTGTTAATAATCTTTATGAAGGTTATTAGAGGGTCAAAAGAGCACCTTGGAACTATCACCATGCTGTTTGGGAAAGGATAGAAAATAATGAAGAAAATAGGGGCCGTTCTAGAAGCAGGATTGCAGAAGAGTGCACCAGCTGTGACCCTTTCCCCACTTAGGATGCATCATAATCACAGGAGTCAAACAGTTGAAGCAATAAACAAAAATGTTAACCTTAATGTTAAAATAGATTACATCTGTTATTTTCAAGAACTACTTGGTACATTTACCTTCCATTAGGTGGCCCAAAGGACACATTAGTGTCTTGGAAAGCATTTAAATCATCCATCACTACTACTCTATTCTCCGGAAGTGAGCCATAATCCTTGTCCTCCTTTTCGGGAAATGCTGTTTCTTGTTCACCTTTTCAGGAAACAATAGACATTTTAAATGCAGAGGATGATGCATTTCATATTTAAAAACAAACAAACAAATGCACATACTTTTTGAAGAGCACACATCCTATAACATATTTTACTTATTTTCTGCAGTTAAAAGTATTTATCCCCACTAAATTGAAATGCAAACAGAAATTAAGAGGTGAAGGTTATGTGGGTTTCTAGTTCTCAACAACCATTCCAAATGTTCTGTCAGACAGAGAGGTACAAAGGCAGGATCCTGGCTCACTTTATGCTAAGCTCCAGAGAAGGAAGAAGGAAAGTCCCATCTGTCTCTCTGCTACTGCCTTCTAATGCCAGTATAATGCTGGAGGCTAGTATCAATCCTTTTCAGACTTCTGTGTGTGCCAGCCAAAAAGCTGGTCTCTTGCAGATGGCACATGGAAACTCCCTGCCTTCACCCCCAATCTGCAGCAATGCGTGGAGAACTAAGGTGATTATGCTTGCCATCCAAATAGAGAGAAGTCACCGATGGCAACAAAATTTGTAGGCTCCTGTTGGTAGTATATTATGATTTTGCTGTTTTGCATTGAAGGGCAAGAAAAGTCATGTGTATTAATGAAGGAAAATCATTATCACAGAATACTGTATTTTATCTTAGATGTTCTTAAAGTAACAGATTATTTGTTTACCAATAGCTAAACAGTATCAATCCAGACTTGTAACAACTGATGCAATGTACTCCTACCCCCTAAAAGCAGACAGCTCCAATCAACTATTAGAATAGCTGGTTGGCTGAACATGTTTAGGTGGGAGCACTTAGCCCTGCCCCATTTTGTCACTGATTTCTTCATACAATGACAGAGGAGTCTAAAGAGCAGATATTCCTTCTTGTGGCAGCTTCTACACACAAGCAAGATTTTTTTGGATTCTTGGACACATGAAAAACCTATATACAAGTAATAACCTTACCTCCCTTCAGTCTCCATCATATGGCAAAAAATGGAGAGGAGCTAGTGCTCTCCTCTGTGTTCAGCCAACCAGCTATTCTAATGCCTGAATAGAGCTAGTTTGCTCAACTTCTGGTTTCTCCTATTTAAACTATTTTCAAATTGATGATCCTAGATGTTTAGGACTGTAACTGCTATCAGCTCCAGCTACCATGGCCAATAGTGAGAAGTGCTGGAAATCAAAATCCAGAGCACTTCTAGGGCACTGGGCTGAGAAAAAACTGGTTTAGATTTACCCTATTCCATTGGCACAGCCCATCTCCATCTATAGTGGAGAGAAGTGGAGATAAAGGTGGATAGGGGAAGACTGACTGCCTCTCTCATCTTAGTCTATTAATTTTGCTAGAGAATCAATAGTAGATTATGTGGAAATTTGTTCTGCTCCTATATGCTCATTCTCACTATCCTTTTCTGTTACATCTGTAGACAACCAGGTCAATGACACATACCAGCTGATTGCTCTTTCTCTGCAGATATTTGGTGTTCTATTTGCAAAAGATCACTCCTAACAATCCCACTGGTTTCTCTTACAGCTGATTGCTGCATATTTACAAGGTCTTCAGAAATACAGTGAACTGACTGAGAGGCTGCAAAAGTATCATTTCCCAAGTCAACTGGTGATTCTGTATCATGATACTCTGTAATAGTTTCAGATGAATCAACACAAGTGTCATGAGTTTCCTTGGAGTCCTCAGTTGTATTCAAATGTTTGTCTGGTATGCTTTTTGATGATAGCTCAACTTCTTCATGGTCTTTTTGAAGACTGCATACCGAAAAGGATGGAGCTTTTCTATTTTTGGTCCAGATATTCTCCATTTGAGTGTTAATATTAAATTCAGATAAACCTGCAGTCTGTTTTGCTTTATCATCTGCCATCTGGAAAAGGAAAAAATCCAGGTTACAATAAATATGTAATTCAATTTTCCAAGTCAACAGAAAATCGTGACCACATAATACTCTGATCTACCAGGAACATACCAAACCTTCCTGCCTACAAGAAACTACATACATACATACATACATACATACATACATACATACATACATACATACATACATACATACATACATACATACATACATACATACATACATACATACATACATACATACATCAAGTATACATACAGTATATTATTTGCAAATGGGATTCCACTACTGAAATTAGGTGATCACTCCACCTGAGTACACAATGGTTCTGAACATCTTGAATGCCTGTTTACTTGTATGATGTGGGTGCTTTTGAAGTAAAACATCAACAGAAAACACTTCTACTGTAAACAGAAAAGAAACCATTTGACAGAACTTCTGCACTCTCAGAAAATGTGCATGCTTTAAAACAATGCTTTACTTGACTGTTTCAGGCCACATGAAGGCAGGGTACTGTCCCTTAAGTCACAGGAAAAGCTACACATAATGAACTTTGTAGATATGCCCTATGCAAGCATGGAAGCAGGATGCAATCAGAACGATAGCATGTTTTGTCGGCTTGCCTGACATCTATACATTTACACTACATTCATATCTGTGTTCTATGCATGCAAACTCTAGTCTGGCCAATTTGTGTTCCCCTCACTTTCTACTTGGAAGAGTATCAACAGCAGTTCTCTGCATCAAACTATTTACTTTTTCTGCTTCACATCTTCCAACTTACTTCAGCAGTCCATTGCGAAATTTTGTTTTCTTCCATAAATGATATTTTTGTTTCTTTTGTCCGCAAAGGGGGTGTAACAGATCTTCCTGGAGATGCAGTTGGAGTAGCTAAAGGTGTAGTGCCTTTACTCCTCAAAATAGATTGAGGTGTAAAGGCAGGGAACCCATAGGAAGATGCGGATGTCAAAGCTTTAGCTCTCTAGGGGAAGGAGAAAACACTTTAAAACAAATGAACCAAACATCCAAACAACTGCCAAATGTTAACAATCTTCAGGCTATAAACCAAATAGAATCCTAAAACGTCTATTTATTATTTATTTATTTATTTATTTTATATGCCGCCCACACTACCCAAAGGTCTCTGGGCGGCTTACAGCATTTAAAATACAATAAAGTTATGTAGCAATTAAAATACAATTAAAATATATATAAAATTGCCATCGGACCCACAGCTAATATTATTTCAGTTAAAAGCCTTCTGGAACAGGAAGGTTTTGACCTGGCGCCGCCCTTTGTCTACAAGCCATCCCTCTTACCTCCTTGAGGGACGGCTCTTTCAAAAGGGCCCCCTGGCTAGATCTTAACTGCCGGGTAGGCTCATCTGGAAGGAGGCGGCCCTTCAGGTATCCAGGGCCCAAGCCATTTAAGGCTTTATATGTCAAAACAAGCACTTTGAATTGGGCCCGGGCAGCAACTGGTAGCCAATGTAACTTATACAGAATCGGCTTGATATGTTCCCTGGCGGCCACACCACTCACCAGCCGCGCCGCTCAATTCTGGACCAGTTGCAATCGCCGGAACGTCTTCAAAGTCTACAGCAGAGGTCCCCGGTCCCCAGCCTGGTGCTGGTCCGTGGCCTGAGCCAGAGTGGGTTGCAGAGAGGCACCATCCCACCCCTGCACACACTCCCTCCCACACAGCCAGTTTGTGCCTGCACGCAAGCACCCGGGTGCCCGCACGAGCGGTGCACCACCCTTTGTGCATGCGCCTGCATGAGTGCCCCTGCAAGAGTGCTCATGCTCCCTCATGCATGCGCACGAGTGCAGGGGGTGCCCGGCCTTCCCCAGCCGGTCTGTGGGGCTAAAAAGGTTGGGGACCACTGCTCTACAGTTTTGTTATACCTTGACAATATTCGGTGTTTCCAATAATGCTAATTCCGGTGCTCTTTTGACATTCTTATGCAGTAATGCTCTTAAGGACCATTGAGGGTTGAAATGCAATGGACTAGAAAGCACACTTGAAGCAGAAGCTGTTGGTGACACCTGCAGGCTACTCCGAAAGGGTGGTGAATCAAGAGAAATAGGCTGGACCACCAAGTCGAGCAATCTGTAAATATTTTAAAGTTAAACAGATTAGGTTGCTGTGTCTCAAGATGCTTCCAAGTCATGCTTCTATAACTACATTTTATAATTTATACTTTGATTGCTATATTACTATAATTCACTTCACATGGATCAACTTATTGGTAAAATGCTGCATTTTTAAGAAAAGACAACACGCAAGGCTTCACATAGGGCTAGGCTATATTATTCACCACATCCTAACTATTTGGTACAAATTCACTGAGCAATCTCACTACAGTAAGAATACTGTGGCTAATTTCAGTGGATCCAGAAAATACCCTATGCAAACAAATAAGCAAGTGCACTTCAAATATATAAAATTATTTTACCTGGAACATTTTCCTAGTGATTTAGTAACGGGTGTCCCCACAAATGGATTTGGCAACTCTCTGTCATTGCACAATGAGTTAGATGGCTGTTCCTCAGTGCTAAATTTTGAAAAAAAGCAAGAGGTCAGGTTCATAGAACTCATTATATTCACATGTCCATGTAAGTAGCATTTTCCCTAAACAGACTGAGTTAGAGCTCTCAATAATTATGTTAGCTGTACAGCTTACTTCCATTTTTTTAAAGAAAAAATATACATTGCTGTCTTTTCATCTGCGTATCTGATCCAAGTCCCACCTTGATATGCAAAAGTATTACATTTCATACAACACAACGTATAAGGAGATGCAAAGTACAGCAGTTTCTAAGTAAATTCTTCTACTGGCAAAATGAACTTTTCAGAGAATAACATCAATTATCAGAGTATTATGAACTGTTAATGGAAGGAGGATGAAGATTTAAGACAGTGCTAAAACAGCTCTATCTGTTTCAGCACTGGCACTAGCAAATCTAAAAGTACTTACATATCACTCTGAAATGGTTTATTTTTCTGTTCTGTTTCTTCCCACACCTCTCCAATTTTGGACAGTACATTATTTATGAAAGTTGATTTTGTCACCACATTTCCTGGAGCAGCTTGCTTTGCAACAGTTGATAATGGTTTTGGTCTTAGAACTAAAAGGATAAAAGAAAAGCTTAATATTACATACTTCAAAACAACTTTTTAGAAGTACCACCTCTCCACTGAAATGATAACTTACTTTCCCGCCGTAGTGAAGATGGTATGTGGTAAGGCTTGGCTCGCTCTACAGCTAGCTTCCTTTGCACTCTGGGTAGAACTTTTCCATACTGGTCTAATATAGAGTTTCTGACAACAGATCTCTCTCTCCAATGAGGATTGCGATCATGCTGGTTTAAGACAGCAGTGAAGAGGAATGAACTTTTTGAAGAAATAACTGAAGTTTCCCTTCAAACAAAGGCACCATATCCATAAAACACAATTTGTGATAAAATAATTTTGTTTGGAAAGCAAGAGCTTCAACATGCAAGTTACTGGCAGCAAAATTAAAAAAATGTTTAAAGAGTGATAGGAAACTTGGGATGCTAATGCAACCAATTCCTTCAAATCGCCAAAGGAAGACTTTAAAATTACTTTTGGCATAATTTCCATCTTTCTCTCTACAAAATGGTTTGTGAATGTCACTTGAACAATAATTTATGTCTCAATGACTGACAAATTATATTTCCAAGTACATTTTCTGAGATACTTTTTAAAGCATTAGTTTAAAGATACACAGTTTCTTTGTTCAGCATATCAAAGGCAATCTTAACTTCTGCTATTCCCAGTCAACTATTAAAAGTTTACCATGAGATTATTCTTCAGTGACTGATTCAGCTGCAAGGCAGGAATGTAGTTTGCACGCTGAAGATGATGGATTAAGAGGAACTCATGGTTGTTAACACCGGTGCTTGTCTGCAAGAACTTTTCTAGGCACTCCTAGAAGAAAATTAAGACTTTTTTAGAATACGCATAGCAACACTGTATTAACCCCTCCCTTTTTTTAAGAGTGGAACCACAATTTAAGAATATAGTTCACCTGTTCAGTTTCTGTGAATGGTAGTTTTAGTAGATCTTCCATGAGGCCTAATTCTTGACAGGTTTCATATATATGTCTGAGCATCTCCTCCACATTTAATCGAGTAGAATGTTGCCTCAACACACTCCAAGCTTCCACCATACAGCTGAAATTGATTTTGGAAATGTAAATTAAAATTGGGTTTAGTATTCTACAGGGAAATTTTTTAAAAAATATTACAAGTAAAATGTCTTGCATGTACCATTGAAAAGTAAATGAAAAATGAGCAGCAGTACACTGCCAAATGTCTTTATATATTGTTTTTAATTCAGGGTTTTCATAAACATGTTTTGTACAGTAATGTAGAAGAAAAGAAAAACAGGCTAACTGTTCATTTTCACCTGTTAAACAGTAAGACAGTAATGTGAAGGGCAACTTCACTGTTGCTCAACATGGATGGTTTCATTGTTTGTATGTATCGGAGGGCTCGCTTGTGCTCTCCTTGGGACATCAAGGATTGAATTATCCTTATGTGTTGCCAAGGTAATCTGACTGTAGCTGGATGGAACAGATAGGCCAGAGAATTCTGCAAGAGTCCAAGATATCAGTTAGAATATATGTATACTCAGAGCCATCTATATTAGCTGTATATTTTTATCAACTGCAGGCATGATTCAAAGAAAGACAGAATGCCACTGGATGTTTCCACAATTTTTGGAACAGGGCTACCTGTTTAGGAACGGTACATGGATGGGGCTGGAAACATTCCAATACATGTAACCTTTTGAATCCTGGCCTATGTCTAGATTTTTATTTGAGAGAAAAGCAAAATAAACATAAGAGGACCATGTGTATAAGAATTCTGTTAAAATGATAGTGCTATACTAAAGCAGTTGGCTAAAGGTGGGGATGAGAGAAAAAGACAAAAAAGCAAAGTAACAAATGTTCTGGTGCCTTGTTTCTTTAAACATTAAGGACAGAATTGTTTCAGTGTGATTTTTTTTACACTGAAACAAATTTGTAAGTCTTGAAGGTGCCATGTTTTGTCCTTTGCTTTTCCCCTCTTCTTTTTTCTCTGAGGGAAACAAGCTGAAACAGACTAAAACAGCTATCCCTTTAGTAAGCTATTATTAAGGAGTACTAAAGCTTTACAACTAGCAACAAAACAAATGGAATACCATTTTAAACCTCTTTATTAATAAAGTTTTGTACTAAAACTGGTTTATTAACTAATCCCATAGATTGAGAGACTCTTTTGACAGGCCTTGGACATGAGACTTTTCTCAAAATTCACTCAAGTCTGCACCTACTATTGTTGCTGCATGTTCTTGAAACTCAGTGGCAGAACTAACTGGAAGCCTACTTCCGCTTTTACATCAAACACCCCATTTTGGCTGAAAATAAGGTGTGCTGGGAGCGTGTGCCTTGCTTTAAAGCGATCTAGGACCACAATTTTCTTTTATAGCAAGCAAAATTGATTATTTCTAAATCACAGGTAAAGGTAAAGGTTCCCCTTGACAATTTTTGTCCAGTCGTGTTCGACTCTAGGGGGCGGTGCTCATCCCCGTTTCCAAGCCATAGAGCCAGCGTTTGTCCGAAGACAATCTTTCCGTGGCCACATGGCCAGTGCGACTTAGACACGGAACGCTGTTACCTTCCCACTGAGGTGGTCCCTATTTATCTACTTGCATTTGCATGCTTTCGAACCGCTAGGTTGGCGGGAGCTGGGACAAAGCAACGGGAGCTCACTCCGTTGCGTGGATTCGATCTTACGACTGCTTGGTCTTCTGACCCTGCAGCACAGGCTTCTGCGGTTTAGCCCACAGCGCCACCACGTCCCTTCAAATCACAGGTATCTAGCCGAATTTCATCAGGCCACAAAAATAAGTAGGGGGGGGGAGGCTGCATGCTGTTTAATCCCTGTGCATGTTCTTTCTCTCCCCTCTCACATCTCAACCTGTGACTGAAAATCAACTGATCTAGCTATAGAAGCATCCTATGTAGTTCCAGTGGGCCAACTGTGCCGTACAGCCCAACCAATGGAGTTGGGAATACTTCCCTGTGAATAATCACAAAGGATTCCTAATCATCTATTGTGCCACATGTTCTGGCACTGATATGCTTGAGATGCAATAGCAACTCTGACTGGACTGAAACTTGCTTGTCAAAAATTGTACATTTAGCTGTTATGAACTTGTAGCTTACCAGCACTACAATTGTATCATAAGTAGGTCAATTTCTGTCAATATAAGTGGCACTTTAGTATACAAACAGATGTTCCCAGGGTAATAGTCATGTTTCCCACAACTGCCCCAGCAACCTCTCTAGACTGACAGGTATTATAATTCTAGAATCCTGAAAAGTATGCTAATTCATAAGCCATCATCCTACACTTGCTTGCAGCCACTATGCTAGAGAATATAGTTCATATCCTGGAATTGCACTGTATTCAATAGAATCCTGGTATTACTGGCTTTCAAGCTGGACTGTTAGAAAAGAATAATTTCCACTACATATATTAATTCAATACACTAAAATTGATGTTATATATTTCTTTCTATTTTCCTTTAACTGCCATTTACAGAAAAAGATGAGACATCACTTAAAACACCTACCTCGTAGTCATTGTGATCCAAACACCAGAAACCTTGAATTAAGTTAACAAGACCTACAGGGACTGCAAAAGCAGTTGGAAATGAGTCCACAGAACTATCATCCCTGTTTGGGCAGGAATGCATGATGTCCAATAGCAAATAAATTGTCTGATTATAAATATTAAGGGCAATCATCAAGTTACAAAACTATTATTCTCTGCAGTTTTTAAATAAAGAATCTTATTCCTTATTCCTTCAAAGACCATGGAGATACAGAAGAAAGTATGGTCGTAAGAAACTCCATTCTGTCACAGAGGCAAGCTCTTATTTTCTCTCCCAGCTTAAATATGACACTCAGAGGCAGTCCTGGTGAATGCTAAAAGCCCCACATTATTGCCTTCTCTTCAGCCCTAAAAGTTACAATAACTCTCTATTTCAAAATCCACCCAACCCCATAAACTATACAGTTGTAGCCATCCTTTCTCACAGCAAGCTAACATGTTTAGCCAACAATACTGACAGAAATTCTAGCCACCTATAAATATGGTAGCTTGGGTGTTAACTATCACTTCAAACAAAAGAGAAATAAATCCCAATACATTTCAACAGCATAACCCTAATTCTATGCACATTTATTCAGAAGCCACAATGCATAAATAAAAAACTACTCCTTAGTAAGAGGCATGAATCCTCTGGCATAAACAGAGCAGGATGAATTCGTTAGGGACAGTATTAGCTTCTCTTGTCAGCAATAATTAAGACTCTGCTTTCACTGGAGAAATCTCAATGATAGATTGGCCACTGAAACACAGGTGTACCTCTATAGCGAATAACTCCATTGTATGATTAATGAACACAGTATTTTGCAGACTTAAACTATGTTATATTTACTGTAAAATACGTTTTGCTGAGCTCAGTGGGGCTTCATCTATCCACAAACATCCACTGAACCACAGTACATTCTTGTTTAAAATGCTGTACTGCACTATTTCTGATCTGTTTGTTTCACTTAAGAAAAAAAAGGGAATGTTTGAAAGTTTTAATCCAAGAAGAGAAACAAGATGAGTTTTGGGTACTGAATTTCTTGCCTATCATGTAGTTTTTAAGAGTACCAGGATCCAGCCATGGAAATCTGGAAATCTTGTATGTGCCACATCACATCTTAAACTTTTCAATTTCACTCAGAGTAGAAAATTATTGCAACAAATAATTGACAACAACTCTGGAGTCTACTATTGAGATGAATTTAGGATCCAACACTCAATCTCTTGCTTAAGACTTATAGCTCAAAGAGAAGCATGTTTACTGAGAAAAGTCTCACTATGTTCAAGGACACTTAATTTCAAGCTAGTGTGTGCAAGCCTGTAGCCTTGGTACTAGGCCTGTACTTTCTTTTTGGTTATATTTACATGTTGTTTTTATGTGTTTGTGAGCCGCCTAGAGTGGTTGTAAGATCAGATAGGCTGGATATAAAATAAAATAAAATAAATAGCCTTGCATGTGAACGACAGTCTACAATGGTACAGAACATCTTTCACTGTGCCAAGTTACACACCGAGTCAAAGTCTGGGTCCAATACTATAAACACTTGGGCTGAAGAAAAAGTGAATTTCTGTGCAATGGAAAACAAGTCAGAAAAGAGAAAAATGGGAGGAAGCAATAAAGGGCCTGCAAGTATATAAAAATGAAGGGGTGCAGGAGCAAAGGCTCCTGGATAAAGCCTATTTAGGTTGGGTTTATTTTGTATTTTTTAACCTAGGTGTAAAGGATTGTGCGGTTTGGTGATGAAACAAGGAACCATGTATTTTTCTTGTTTGCTCCCCTGTGCATGGTATGGTGTTAGTCATGGGGCACAATGAGCCTTAGTTTATTCTACCCCACTTTATGGTACGACTAACAAAGGGAGGAGCAGTGGACTACCACCAAAAAATTGATGTGTCTGCAGTGAAGCCAATAATGTGGGAGGTTTTCAGCATTCAGTAAGACACCCTTCTGGATATGCCAATTGCACGCTTCACGTATCAAAAAAAATTCTGCTTCTGCCTCACAAAATTACACAAGTTGGGGACGTGATTCAGAGGATTTGTCGTTTACACATCTGTTCTCTATTCTCCCCTTATGTAGCAGTTATTGTTATTTTCTTCAATGGCTTGCTCTTGGGTTTTTCAGTTATCTTGATACTGTATCAAAAATACTACAAAGAAACATGTTTGTATGTGTTTTCTTTTGAAAAATTAAAAAACCATTATTCTCATTGTGTTGCAGTAAGTTTTGAAAGGATACAATGGCATGCTTGTAGAGTTCGTCAATATTTTCTGATAAGTAGAGATCAAGTAGTGCCTACAACGCAAAACATCAGCATCAGGTGCATCATTTCTCAAATTTTTAACATAATATTATTTATTTATTTATTTATATGCCACCCACTCTACCCAGAGATCTCTGGGCAGCTTACAACAATTAAAATTCAATTAAGATACAATAAAAGATTTGCCAATCATACTTACATGTAGCGAAGGAGGAGGATATTTCCCTGTTCCTCCACCATCTCTCTGCCACAACTTCACAACCAAGTCACCTAGCTGAGAAATTAGTCCATCAATCATTAAACAATCAGGGTTCCATTTGCCTCTACAACAAAAACAAAAAGGAATAATGCAATTTAAAACTGCCAGACATTACAAACGAATTTCAAATTTCTATCAGATAATGGAGATCTGTCTCTCCACAAACAGAAATAACTCTGCAATAAAAATTTAAAAGGCAAATGAGTCAGTCTGAGAGTATGTATAACAGAATACAATTCAGACACTGCAAGGAAACCAGATACTGTAGCATTTTAGCAGTCACACATATGTACACAAAGGTTTCACAAACATTAGATGTAAATAGCCGCTCAGAGTGGTCGCATAGACCAGATGGGCGGGATACAAATCAAATGAAATAAACAAATAAATTCATATGCCTAGCATTCTGAACATGCCAACCAATCCTTAAGGTGTCTTGCTTAGATTTCTCTTCCTGATCAACAGCAGATGCAAGGTGGACAGCTAACGGATGGTTGGTGACTCTTCATTATGTTATTCAAACATTTCTTTTAAAAATCCTCACCTTGATAAGCGTTCCAGTTTCTGACGACAACTAGCATAAAAGCATTGTATATGTTGGTAATTATAAAAAGGTTTGGACAACTGCATATCTTCATCTAGGCAAAAGGAAACATAAATTCATTTTTAGAAATATATGAAACAATTCTAATTGAATACAGAATTCCAAAGTAGATTGCCTTCTACACTGACAGCAAGTAATTCAATTAAATTTCCAGTGCTGTCATGTCTTAAAGAACATAGTACCTGTTAGGTTAAATCACCTTATATATGGTTGTTGTGGGTTTTTCGGGCTCTTTGGCCGTGTTCTGAAGGTTGTTCTTCCTAACGTTTCGCCAGTCTCTGTGGCTGGCATCTTCAGAGGACAGCACTCTGTCCTAGCTGTCGTCAGAGTGCTGTCCTCTGAAGATGCTGGCCACAGAGACCGCCGAAATGTTAGGAAGAACAACCTTCAGAACACGGCCAAAGAGCCCGAAAAACCCACAACAACCATATATAAGGTGATTTAACCTAACAGGTACTATGTTCTTTAAGACATGACAGCACTGGAAATTTAATCACCTTATATATCTGCTTATCTATGCTTGGATGTACTTGTTATCTAATCACCCCCTTTAAGTTTCTTAACAGCCACTGTTAAGATCCCCCCACTCAGAACTGTTAACACGTTTTTCAGAGTGACTGAGAAGATCATCTTCATGTGGGACCTTTCACACTTCTTACATTTCAAATGCCCTCTGCTTCAGCTGGACACAATTTACAATTTTTTTTTGCCAAATACTAGTCTTTAAGGATCACAAGAAGTCCCTTAGTTATTGTTGTTTTCTTCAGTGAGAAACTTCTAGTCCTCTAGAGAAGGTTTTACTTGGTGCTCTAAGAATGGTAGCAAGAATGGAAACTGTATGGAATATCCACATAAGTTCTTATTTGATATATTCTGCACATCACCAGTGAATTCATAGCTTTTACTGTCAGGTACCATCATTTTGAAAGTAATCCAGAATTTACATGTCACTTTTTGTTGAAACAGGAATTGTTATTATGTTTGACAACTGAAACAAAATGTTTTTTTTACCTAAGCTTTCTGGAAGAAGACTCGATCGACAAAACCAGATCACCACCTGCACATACTGTAGAAGGAGACCAGTTACAACCTGCTTATTTGTTAGATCTGTAAAGCCTGAAAAAAACGAACACGTCACTTTAAAAAAAAGCTCTTTGAAAAGCAATAAAAGTTCAAAGCAAATTTGTAAAGGACAAAGTACGTATTTATTCACTTTATGAGATCTGGCCAGCTATAATAACAACAACAAAGAAACACACTTCCCCACCAAGCAAGTGCTAGAAAAGTTATGTATGAAGAGTCTTCAAAAATATGCCTATTAGAACCCTATTTAAAATTGCATATCCAAGGTTATCCTGCTGACATCATTTTTTAGCAAAATGCCACTGCAGTTCTGTTTTACAAATTAGGGTTTAATTTGGTCTATTACGCTAACTATTGCATTTAAGGGTCAAATCATGATTTGCCAACGGGGCTGGTTAATCAAAAGGCCATGCTACATTTGACCGAACTTACACACCTTGTTCTGTCAGTTCTTGAGTTTCCATTACAAAACAGTTCAAAACTGTGCTGAGGTTATTAAGGAGCAACTCGCAATGCTGCAGAGACTGTAGAGTATGTGGGCCAATAAAGTTTGATGATCCATCAAACAATGGGACACCTTACAAAACAAAGACAAAAAAAATGGAACAATATTAGCTTGGAGTGAAAGTTAAAGATGTTCTTTTTTTTAACAGCAATAAATAGAGATGGGAATGGTGGTTCAGCCACACAGATGTTCCATGGGCACACCAGCTTCCCTTGCTCTGCCTCCTATGGCAGGCACCCACTTAAGAGACAGCTGTGTGGCTTCCTAGCCCTGTCTCCTTCAGTGGGAGCCCACTCAAGAGGTAGTGGCACGGCTTTCCAGCCCTGCCTCCTCTGGCAGGTGCCAATGGAACAGCTGTGTGGCCAAACCGCGGAGCATGCCCGTCTCCAGTGAGAAATGAACCAGCAATACAAGCTAGTTCTGAGTATATTTAACATACAGTGTTTTGACTGTGATATTTCCAAGATAACCTATACTACTTACACAGACGAATGAAGTCTTCCTTTGTATTCACCACTTTGTTCCATGTCCATTCAAGAACAAAACGCAAGTTAGGTGAAGAATCTGGTTGCTCTTAAAAAAATAAAAAAGCAGAGGATATAAGCATACATTTTAGGTTTCAAAAGACAATTTAATCATAAATTAAGGCTTTACTTACCTTCCGCACTCCACTGTTTGATGCAGCTGATGAGGAGTCCCAGAGAACTGGTTTGGACAGCGGCTAACAGTACAGCTTCAAACTGCTCTTCCTAAAAACAACAAATATCAAAATCCTTTAATGATACTATCAATGATCTTAGTACCAATGGTAATATGAACAATGAGCAATGGTGGTCCAGAGTGAGACATATGAACCACCATTAAATGATGGCCTTCATGAACATATAGAAACTTGCTTTTCTGTACAGATTTCTTGGTTAGAGAATGAGTTATAGCTGAATGCAACCAGATTTGGATGGGGAGTGGGGGGAAATTCACACAAAGGCAATGTAACATTTTCACCCACATATTTATTAACCAAGGACTTACCTGACTCAGACTTGAAGGCTGCACATCAATAAACCGCGGAGAAAGCAAACCAGCTACAAGGCATCTATTATAACCATCAGGAATAGCTTCATTTAATGAACAAGCAGGTTTCTTTAAGAAATGTAAGGTCTGTAATAAAGCACAACAAATTATTTATTAAGGCAATAATTAAACTGTCAGTAGAAAATTGCTAAAACTGGGCCATTGAAAAGATTAAGCATACCTTTGCAAAATACCAGCAAAGGCAAAATTGCCTGTGGCAAGCAACCAAGGGGACTTAATATAGAGATGATGTGCATGACAAAGATTTGTGCAATTTGCTGTAGCTAACTTATGAGGTGCCAGAGCACATCAGATGCACAACCAGACACATGACCAATCATTTGACTGAAATGCTCCCCTGCATCTTGTCAACTACCCATGGCAATTTACACAATTTTAGGTGAACATCAATATGATTCTAGCCAAGTTACAACTTATTTTTAGTGTCTACCAAGCCAGAATTGCAGGGTAGCCTACTTTTTAAGCAAAATACACACAATAATGGAGTCAGGGCAAGTTACACAGCAAATATATTTTATATAACGCAGGGATCGTAAACATTTGTCCCTACCCTGATCAGCCTCAACCAGCACAAACAATGGTAAGAAATGCTGAGCTGTAGCGAAAGCACCAGGAGGGACAAATGTTTCTTTGGTGCCACGTCTGCTTAAACCTTTATTATTTTATGTGACATTCTACATGTAGGCCCATTTTTATGCTTACATCTTATTACACTACTGAATAACACATTGTAAAGTGAACATGTTTATAAAAAGTATTCTAGACAAATCACTGAAGGAATTATTTCCTCCCTACTGTCAATCTAACATCAGCTTTCCCCTGTCCCTTCAGCCCCCTGTAACCCCAGCCTCCCTTTGATTTGTCTAGACTTCTCTTCTGCGGGCTAAACCGCAGAAGCAGGGACGTGGTGGCGCTGCGGGCTAAACCGCAGAAGCCTGTGCTGCAGGGTCAGAAGACCAAGCAGTCGTAAGATCGAATCCACGTGACGGAGTGAGCTCCCGTCGCTTGTCCCAGCTCCCGCCAACCTAGCGGTTCGAAAGCATGCAAATGCGAGTAGATAAATAGGGACCACCTCAGTGGGAAGGTAACAGCGTTCCGTGTCTAAGTCGCACTGGCCATGTGACCACGGAAGATTGTCTTCGGACAAACGCTGGCTCTATGGCTTGGAAACGGGGATGAGCACCGCCCCCTAGAGTCGAACACCGTCCCTTCAGCCCCCTGTAAGCCCAACCTCCCTTTGATTTGTCTAGACTTTTCTCCAACTTCCTAGGAAACCCATCCTATCACTCGCTTTCTCCGTTTGCCTGTCTTCATATTCTTCCCTAGAGTCGAACACGACTGGACAAAAATTGTCAAGGGGAACCTTTACCTTTTACCTCTCCAACTTCCTAGGAAACCTATCCTATCACTCACTTTCTCCGTTTGCCTGTCTTCATATTCTTCCATCCACTACGCAAACACACATCCACCCATTTTACCAGGTGGTTAAACCCTTTGCCATTGATTCTTCTGGACACACTGTAGGGTAGTGCTCTGGCCTGCAGCCTCCGGTCATCTTCATTTCCTAACCAATGTCTCTTGGCCTCCTGAGGAAATGAAATTGGCTAGAGGTGGAGGGCAGAGCTTTGTTTTGAAGTGATTGCAGCCAACAGCAGTGAAAATATTAAAAACAAAAGAAGAAGAGTTGAGCTCCTCACTGACAATGTGAGTGTAAGAGTGTACCAAAAACTGACATATGAGAACAGCAGTAGTCTTTTTCCATTTGTGATAGCATGCTTATTCCCAAGTCATTTTCGAAATAAAGCTACAAGGATAGAAGCAACATTTTTAGCAGTGGAATTAGATAATACAATAATATAAAGATAATACCAATAGAGAGTGAGAGCTGTGAGGGCAGCACTATAATAATTATAACTTACATCCTTTTGAAACCCTGTGCAGGTCACATGAACAACTCCAGAGTTCAGCAAACAAGTGGCATCTATGGAACAGAGTATTTCATTAGGATTTACACTGCCAGCAGCAAGTAATAATTATAACACTCCATTTGCTGAAAGGTCAAAAACTCTCTTCTTCTGACAATATTCAAGTATTTGTCTTGAGCAGCTGTGGGGAAACTGTGGCCTCCAGATATTTCTGGACTTCATCTCTCATCAGCTACAGACTGATAATAGTGGACAGTTCCATAGAGAAGAGTCATGCCTTGCATGTCATCAGATGGGTAGGCTGTTGGGACCCTTCAATCAAGCCCTGCTACCCTCTTCTTCTACAAAATGAGGTTTCTGAGGCTTCAGAGTGGTAGTTGGAGGCAAGATATCTGCATCCCTCCAAGAATCAAGCTGAACCTCTAAGCATCTCCTTAAGGCTTTTCAATATTAATGCTGAGAAAGTATAAAGCTCAATGCCCAATTGTACTCCTTCCTAAAGGATTCCCTACCCTTGCAGAAAGGTATTGACCCAAATGTCTCAATCTGTCTTCCTAAATGCAATCCCTGAACAGATCCATTAGTGGACAGAGCATGCACACTTCTTGTCTGCTGCCATACTGAAACCTTGACAGAACACAGGGATTATCCCACATTGCTTATCTTAAAACTATAGTTTTCAAAAGTGTGTACAAGAGAAGAAGCAGTTTTTCTGGTGTTCTGTGCTTCTAACTCCAACCACCTTGGTGGGAATAGATTGCACTTTGATACACTGAAACCTTTAAGTATAGTTATGTAGTTGATCCAAGTTGGACCTCTCTCTAACCCACCTGAGTGGGGCCATATCTTTTGCCACATCTCCTGTAATGGTGAGTACCTTCAGCCCAATGAGGTCTACCTACTCTATGTCTGTGAGATGGGAGAAGCCTGTTTCTCTGACCTTCAGGTTAACCTAATGCCACTTTAACTGCAGATCTATGTATTCACTAGGGAAGTTTGGTTAGAGAACTTAGTTCTGAAGAAAGTAATACTGGCTTCAAATGCACCAAGATATTTAAATTAGTAAGAACTTTTATTTTAAATAAAATTCCTACATTCAAGGTAGGCACTCTTAGCATATTCTTAGTATGCATACCATGTATCAGATTTTTAGGACTCATGGTTAAGCAAATGCCCCAATAAGTTTAAATGTAGCACTGAATATTTTCCACCATAAAACAGAACACACAGATTTGAGTGCAAGACAAACATTATGTTTTCCTGCAACATAAATATTAGTACACAGAAAGACATCAAGTTCTTTTTCAGTCAAAATGGGCTGTAGAGTTTCTGCCAGGAACTATTTTTACAAGATCAGTGGACGTAATAGCTAGAAATTTGTTATTACAGTGTAAATTATCTACTCAACAGATTCCTGCAGAAGTAGTTGATGCTACACCTACCAAAACTGTATGTACTTGGATTGAAAAACTGTTCAGGTGGAGGACATGAAGGAGGCACACCACGACTAAAGCTTCGTTCATGTACCAAGACATCTAAGATGCGATGTGGAGATGTCATGTTCACTACAGCATCTAAGGACCACAATGCAAAATAGGGGCAATTGTGCAGAAATTCCCCTGGCCTAGAGAAAACAGAAAAAACACACAATAAAATAAAATCAAGATGTGAATATATTACATATTCTTTTGGGACATTTATGGAGAAAAGCTGCTTCTGCTGCTTACCTTAACGAATCTGGCATTTGAGCATGATACCAACGATTTATGTCAAAAATGCCCAGATATGTATTTGGTTTGCCTTGACCATAGGTGTTCACTTGCCAGCTGAAGACAGACACACTTGTGTCTGGTGATATGACTGTGGGGTGAAAGGAAAGAAAAAAGTGAAAGTTCTGTATGTCTATTTGTACCCTCCAAATACATAAAAGCAGTTTATTTTCTCATACACAGAGACAAAAATGTTTCAACTCCTCTTGAAGATGAAGAAATTTCACTATAACATGATAAAATACTTGGTTATGTGCCATGTATTTACTTAGACCTTATTATCTTCCAGTTTATTCATCTACTTGAAACTCAATCCAAACTTCATTTATATAAATATCAACATACCTAAAATACAGTGTGGTGAAATGGACAGAATTATGGACTAGGACATGACACAGGAGGTCTGGGTTCTCTGCTCAACCATGGAAACTCACTGGGGGAGGAGAACTGGTAAAACCACTCCTTTAATATTTCACTTACCCTGAAATCCTTTTTAGGGTCACTATAACCAATTCCAACTTGAACGCATATAATAACAACAGACATCAATACATACCAGCCTTCCTCTAATTTTCTGCAAACAGTCCTTTTAAAACAAATAGTCTTGAGGTTTAATAGAATGGTATAAAACTGTACATTTGTTAATTATATAGAACACTGTGCCATCTAGCTGTTTGCTACAGATGTGCTTCCAAGAAGCAAAATTTAATTTTGGATCAGGGACCAAAGACAAACGATTCACAGTTTTAGGCAAAGTTGCAGGCCAAAATTATGCCATATAAAAAAAAGGACTGTTTCTTCCAATTGTCTAGTTTCCTAACTTTCTGCATAATGTGCCACTGATTCTGATTTATGGCAACCCTTTCCAAGATTTTCTAGGTATACAATATGCACAGGAGATTTACCATTTTTTTTCCTTCTGGCATAATTTTTGTGGAAAACGAGGGTTACAACAACACAGTCACTTCAAGATATACTGCTGCCTGGAGCAGAGTTGCAATCAGTTCCCTCACACGCCAAAGTCAAGGTTTACAGAACTTAATGTATTTTATGAACGAAGATATTTTGCTGTTTGGCGTATTTTTACAAATGAGGCAAAATCCAAAAGATGCCTTTCCATCTCCCTGGCAGAAAAATGCAGTTAAAACTAATTAATCACAATTCTCTGTGCTTTTATGGCACATGAAAGTCTGTTGCCAATTAGTTTCTTTACCAAAAAGATTATCTTGCAATATACAGTCATGGCCAAAAATATTGGCACCGTTGCAATTCTGTCAGAAAATTGCTGCAATTGCAAATTTTGTGGTATACACATGCTCATTTCTTTGGTTTGCGTTGGAACAACACAGAAAAAGAAAAGTCAAATCTGATACAATCCCCCACAGAAACTCAAAAATGCACTGGCCAAAATTATTGGCACCGTGTCTAAACTGTAAGAAATAATTGCTTTTCAAGTATGTGATGCTCCTTTAATTTGTATTTAGACACACCTGTCGCAAGTAAGAGGTGTGGGCAATATAGTAATCACTCTTGCAAGCAGTTAAGATTGAGAAATTTGACTCAACCTTTTTGTTGTATGTGACACTGAGCATGGAGTTAAGAATGAAATGTCTCATTCTACCTGAAGAGTTCTCTGTGGATTTGAGAGAAAAAATGTGGAAAAACATCAACAATCTCAAGGCTACAAATCCATCTCCAGATATCTTAATGCTCATGTGTCCACTGTGCACAATATCATCAAGAGGTTTACAGCCCGTGGCACTGCAGCTAACCCCCCTGGACATGGATGGAAGAGCAAAATTACTAAAAAATTACAACAAAGGGTTGTTTGAATAGCAGAAACAAAACCCAGATTAACTTCCAAACAAGTTCAAGCTGATCTGCAGACACAGAGTACAACAGTGTCAGCTCGCACTATCTGTTACCATCTGAATGAAAAGGGACGCTATGGTAGGAGACCCAGGAGGACACCACTGCTGACACAAAGGCATAAAAAAGCAAGATTGGAGTACTGTATGCCAAAATGTATGTGACAAAACCACAATCCTTCTGGGAAAATGTACTGTGGACAGATGAGACAAAAGTAGAGCTTTTTCGTAAAGGACATAATGGCACTGTTTATAGAAAAAGAAATGAAGCATTCAAAGAAAAGAACACAGTCCCTACAGTCAAATATGGTGGAGGTTCAAAGATGTTTTGGTGGTACTTTGCTGCTTCTGGCACTGGATGCCTTGACTGTGTGAATGGTATCATGAAATCTGATGATTACCAAAGAATTTGGGGGCGCAACATAGTGGCCAGTGTCAGAAAGCTGCGTCTCCAGAGGTCATGGGTCTTCTAGTACAACAATGACCTGAAACACACTTCAAAAAGCACCCAGAAATGATTACAAAGCATTGGAGAGTTCTGAAGTGGCCAGCAATGAGTCCAGATCTGAATCCCGGCATAGAACACCTTTGGAGAGATCTCAAAACAGCAGTTGGGAGAAGGCATCCTTCAAATCTGAAGGGCCTGGAGCAGTTTGCAAAAGAAGAGTGGTCCAAATTCCCAGTAGAGAGGTGTAAGAAACTCATTCATGGTTACAGGAAGCAATTGATTTTAGTTATTTTTTTCCAAATTGGGTGCTACCATATATTAAGTTAAGGGTGCCAATAATTTTGGCCAGTGCATTTTTGGGTTTCTGTGTGGGACTGTATCAGATTTGACTTTTCTTCTCCTTTTTTTTTTTTTTTTTGGTGCTGTTCCAATGCAAACCAAAGAAATGAACATGTGTGTACCACAACATTTGTAATTGCAACCATTTTCTGACAGAATTGCAAAGGTGCCAATATTTTTGGCCATGACTGTAAGGATGTTAATTGTAAGGATGTTAAAATATGAAAATATTCATCCCACGAAGGAATTCTACGTTATTTTCTCACTGATTGCATTCCTGAAACCTTGAAGGCTTACCCATATTCAAATACCTTCCTAATGAATACCACCTCCATATCTTCATGGAGATCCTGCCTCTAGTAAGTTAAATAATAAAGGACTTAACAAAAATCCCTCCAGTGTTTAATTATCTCTACTTGTAGGGATCAGGTAATCCCTTAATGTGATTTCTTGTCAATGTTGTCTAAACCACAAATGTTATTCCATCAACATTATACGGATATGAACCAGCTTTGATTATAAAGAGCAAAGGTGAACCAAATTAGTTGCTTCCTTTTTGTGTTAAGAGAAATTATGTTTAAATTGTGTTTTGTTCTCCTTAGGCAATGTTTACAACCATCCTGAGAAGAGAGAATGATTAAGTGAGTGCCTTTTGTTTCTGGCTGCTGTGGAGTAGGACATGATCAAGAGCAATTTTATTTAATGAACAGTTAAACAATATTAAATCCGTATTTAATATAAAAAGCCAGCTGATAGGAATCTGTCTTTTGTTAACAGTAACGGAGAGCCTATACATAGGCCAGAAAAAGTGATACAGATATATCCACTTGTTGTTTCCAGTTATGGGACAGTCAGGTGTTTCAGAGATTTTTCATATCATACAGCAATTAGACTGAAATCCAGCAGTGAGTTGCAGCCAGAGAATGCCCATTGAATCCATGGGGATTTGGTGAACCAACTCTTCTATAAGTTCCACTGAGTCAATGGGCCTAATCTAGTTGCAATTCAGTACACGATTTCAGCCCATATCTTGTAACATTTGAAGTGTACACATGTCATACAAACTGGGATATCAATCTGAGCAGCTGGGTTATGCTTGTTCCACACTTACAGACAACTGCTTGAAACACTAAAGTGTTAATAAGAGTGATCTAAGTGCAATGCCTCAAGCGCCTCACTTCCATTTTATACAGACGCTTAAAAATCTTACATTATAATTTTCCCCATCACTGGTTAATCTCCAAGAAACTACACTCAGAGCTCTGCTTTTCCGCGCAGTCAAACAATGGGATGTTATTCTAAGTTCTCTGGTTGTTCCCTTCCTAACCACCAGGTGTGAGCTGTATTTTACAGTCTTCTAAATCAGAGGTCCCCAACCCCTGGTCCATGGCTTGAGCTGGACCGGGCCGTGGAGACAGACCTCCCCCCCAGCCCCCATGCAGCCCATTTGTGCCTGCTCCCACATGAGCACTCCCCACCCCTTTGTGCATGCAGATCAGTGCCCCTGAGCGCCACCCCGTTCCTTTGCACAGGCATGCACTCTCCTTCGCGCATGCGCACGGAGCCTTCCCTAGCCAGTCCGCGGGGCTAAAAAGGTTGGGGACCACTGTTCTAAATAGTCTATGTTAGGGATTAGACAGATGATGGATTAGAAACTTCACATGTTAAATATTCTTAGATAAGAATTAGCATGAAAACCAGAGGTCATTCATTAGCTGTTCTCTGTGTGATATCTTTTTGTCTGTGTATATACTGCAATGGAATGACATGTTCTGGACTAGTACGCAACTGATATTTGTACGCCTATTCAGGGTTCTCTAATACTTTCATGCAAGTAAATAATGTATTCATATATATTGCAAAGCAACTGCTCTAATTTTATTATCACTATTTAAACCAAAATGATAGAAGCCTCTTTATCTCTTTAAATATAAGCTACATGTTTTCCTCCCAGACATTCTAACCTGAAGTAATGTTTTTTTAAATTGCTTCTATGCTCCAAATTAAAATTCTAGACTATATACTGTATGTGGGTGTTTCTAACTGAAAATGAAAAGAAAACACCATTTTGACACAGAACTAGGATAGATTATAAAGTTAACAAACATTTATGCAAAAATATGTTTTGAATGCAGGATCTTCAGTGGAGAATTAAACTTTTGATAATCAATTCTCATTCCAAGCTAAAATAGTAAATGTTTAAAATGTGCTCTATACTTACTTTCATTAATGCTATCCTCTCTGTCAACATGGCTTCGGAATTTTTCTACAGTTTGACAACCAATTAATTTGGTGTTGCTGGTCTGTCCTCTTAAGGAAAAAACTCCACCAGTGAGGTCTAAACTGTATCTTTCTTCGCAGTACTCCAACCCCTGAGGAGAAACAGAGATTATATTAAAGAAATCACCTGCCTCTATTGAATTAAGTGTTTTTAAATTCATAGATATCCTACTGTCTTAGCAATTCCAGACGTCTTGCCGTGTAACCTCCTTGCATTTAAATTAGCATGCAACAGAAAGATTAATCAGATTGTAAGTTCAAATTTACTAAAACAAGAAAGCTTACATTTAATATTCAATCCGCACAAAAATATTTTAAACTATAATACAGAATAATAACATTCAATACTGCATTAGAGCAGAGGTGGGAGGCCAGCTTCCTCCACCCACCTGGTAGGTGGCAGACAGCAAGGCTGAGACCCCAACTCCTGCAGAGTCCACTAAGGTCTGGACAGGGTACTTCCACTTAAACATGAGGAAAACCTGCCTTACCATAAGATTCTTCCAAAAGAATAAGCCATCCAAGGCAGCAGTGACAATCCTACTTAGATATAATCTTGTTAAAGCAGTTGATCAGTATATACTGCTGAGGATGTGATGCCTGGATTACAGACATTCTTTTACAGGCAAAACACATTATGCTATGCATGATTATAACAGAAATACAGAAAATGTAAACAATAAAATTGTTGATTTTACTAAACATTTTCTTCTTACTAAGGTACCGACAGATATCAGCACAAACATTTGGTTGGTATTAACTAGACAAATAGAGGAAATTTTGCTAAATGTTGTCAGGTAGCATTAGACACTATTTAATTTTTTGGTTGTCAAGGAAAACTGCTTTAAAATATGATAGTCAACGATCTATTATTTAAGCAAACATAAATGTAACTACTTCTGGAAAAAGAAAAATCATTTCTATCTGGATTTAAATAGATATAACTTTCCCAATCAACACTCCCTGAAAAAGTCACTAAAATAACCAACATCGGCAGGTAATCCAAAGGAAAACTCAACAAATAAAAATAAATTAATACAAATGAAACACTAGAGGTACTGTTTCATAAGCAAGATGTATGCCTTGTTTTTAGGTTCCAACAGACATGGTAAACTCGGTTCAATTTGTTACCATGTTTTCCCGAAAATAAGACCAGGTCTTATATTAATTTCTGATTCAAAAAACACATTAAGGCTTATTTTCAGGGGATGTTTTATTTTTTCATGTACAACAATCTACATTTATTCAAATACAGTCATGTCATCTTCTTCTGGTTGCTGCACAATGGTGGAGGCTGGAGTTTCACTTAACTGGGGCTTATTTTCAGGGAAGGGTTTATATTACGAGCATCCTGAAAAATCATATCATAGCTTATTTTCAGGTTAGGTCTTATTTTTGGGGAAACAGGGTAGGCAGATTATTGTTGATTTGTCACAGTACTGTGTGATTAGAAGCCAAATGTTTAAAAAAATTATAGAGGCATTGAACAAACAAACAAAAAGCAGAAAAAAATCACTTCATGAAGAGACATAATATTAAAACAAGCGGCAAACCAGAAAGCATTTGAAGAATTGAGCCTGGGAGGAAGAAACAAATAAAGGTTGAACATTCCTTCTAAGTTAGCCAGAATGCTTGAGGCACTATACCCCCCACAAGATTCATACATACATATACTATGGTGGGGATATTACTGTATTTCCCCTTTATTAGGTTGCTTCTTTTTATTACTTTGAGGGGCAGAAAAGGTAGCTCTGCTTTTTATTTTGTTTTTAATCCTCTATACATAGCGGTGGTGGAGTCCTGTCTGCTTGTTTTACATTGCTTGATTTAATAAAGTGTTCTACATCAGGGGTTCCCAACCCCCAGTCCGCAGGATTCCTTGAACTGGGCTGTGGAGACAGATCTCCACCCCCCCACACATGCATGAGGTATGTCGCACTCACACGCATGGGTGACACACTCCTCTGTGAGCACGACAGGCCTCCCCACAAGTTCGGGGGGCCTTGCCCCCGCGCACAGAGCCCACACCCCCAACTGGTCCGTGATCCCAAAAAGGTTGGGGTTCCCTGGTTTACAGACATATAGTAGTTTCAGATTATAATGTTTTTTTCTTCCTCATGCCTGATGATGGTGAATATAAATTAGTGCCACCAGCACATGTGTGATGATCATTTTAAAAAAAAAGTTGCCCCACCCTTCTAAAAAGGCAGCCAAGCCAGCTTACATCATTAAAAAGACAACATTTAAAAGTAAAACAGTAAGTTCACAAATATTAAAAAAGAACTGAACAAATATATTAAAAACAGTAAATAAAACTAATGCTAAAACACATGTAAATACAACAAGGCACAACAGTCCATTTAAAAAAACCATCTCAGACAGCGAGTCACTAAGGGAAAGCCAGTCTAAAGAGAAAGGTATTTGTCTGCTTGCAGAATCATGTATTGTTGCCCACTTTCGGTAGACCGATTTGAGTCTCTCTCTATTACCTCGCCTTTCTCTAGTTTTTGCTTTTAAAAGGTAGAACTTTAGCATGTTCAAAATGAAAATGAAACAAAAGGACCTGAAAAGACACAGGTCCATAGAGCAGTGGTCCCCAACCTTTTCTGAACCGTGGAATGGGTGAGGGGCTGGGGTCTGTGTGCAGTTGGGGCGGGGCACCCCCGCTTGCGGAGGGGTGTGGCGCACTCATGCGGATAGCATGGTGCACTCACAGGTGAGTGGGGCACACTTGTGCACATGCGCGGATAGGCGTGGAACGGTTGCAGGTGAGTAGGGCATGCTCATGTAGTAAAACATCAACTGTGTTTAACAGTGCAAAAGCAGAAAGGCCACCAGTAGCATACTAAATTCCCCTCTTCCTGTACCCTGAAATCATGCTCTAGATAGAGGACTGGGAATCCCAGGATAGATTGGGAAGACATGGGGGACCTATAGCTGGATGAAAAGAAGGGCAGTTGTTACTGTGCATCACTCTATTTAGCTCCATTAACAACACTCTACGCCTGACTCTTCGTGACATATACATAAACACACAATAGACATAAACTGTTTCAATACTACATTAAGGTGTTTAAAGATAACCAAATTACTCTATTAAAACAAATATGCTCAATTTCAGTTTAGCCTTCACTATTAATCATGCCAAGTGATTTTAAAATCTAATGGCCAGAATCCTATTAGTTTGTAAAACCAGTGTCATATTGCCCCATGGAAAGTCACTGTTTATAACCCTCACCATGTACCAGTTGAATGAGTTGGTGAACAATAGGGCATCACAAGCAGCACCCATTAATCTGTGACCATGTGCTACTGCAGTTTGTGCCACTGCACTTATGCCAGTGTTATTAACCATTAGGATTCCAGCTAAAGTGTTAACATTAGTTGCATACTGACCAGCAGCTCTGTAGCAGCTCTTAGATAAACATCATAACAAGTACTGTGTTGTAATATGCATGAATACTTTACCTCGTACATTACTTGTCCTGATGCCAGGCGTCGTCTGTCACTGAAGGCCAACTGCAGTAGATGCAAACTAACAATATCCCCTTCACTAGAAGAACACAATAAAACTTAATTACAAAGTTTAACCACCTTTGTATTTTATCAAGCAGCATTAAGTGTCTTACAAATATGAGGTATTACAAATATAAGGATTTAAGCATAGCTTTAAAAATGTTATTTCATTGCAGCTATACTATCTGTAGCACAGAAGGTCATCACTAAACAATGCCTTCTCTCTAGTTGCAGAAGTTCCAACAATAACAATCAGTAGAAAACTAACCAAGAACATCTGCCATGTTAGTTTCAATAGTTGGTCTCTATGCTGTCCCAACTTTAAGTATCTATTGATTCTACTAACCCAAATGGAAATCCTTGCACATCTTTGTGCAAGTAAAAAAACAACAACCAAATCTGTATTACAAATATCTAGCATTTTAACCACTGAAAATTCACTTCCAAAATTAGCTGTCTTGATAAATGTTTTAAGTATAGAAGCCTTAATTAACCAGATGAAGGATACACTCCTAAGAAAAACATTTTATACAAGATTCAGAGACACAGTCAAATGGTGTTACTACCATGCTGCTCTGAACAGCTCCCCATTCCTCTGGAGCACATAAGGCAGGAGATGGGGAACACCCTTCCTTCATCAGTAAACAGCAAATAAATGAAACACAGTTACAAAATTAATCAGTTTTTGATAATCATTGAGAGCCTAAATCTGGAATTCGGTTTCAGACTACAGTGGTGCCTCGCATAGCAATTGCTCCGTATAGTGATGAAATGGATTTGCGATGGACTTTTTGCCATCGCAAGAGCGATTGCTTTGCGATGGCCCCTATGAGGAAATTTCACTTTGCGATGATCGCAGGGAAGCGATCATCGCAAAGCCCCCATTTTTGGCCAGCTGATTGGAGGTTCCAAAATGGCCGCTTGGTAAACAAAATGGCCGCCCGCTGTTTTGCCGCGTTTTAGAGGCACCGAAAATGGTTGCTGCAATGGAGCATTTTCGCATAAGGTTAGTTTTTAAGCCCACAGGAACGCATTAAACGTGTTTTAATGCGTTTCTATGGACTTTTAAAAATCGCTTAGCGATGAAATCGCTTAGCAGCGATTTTTGCTGCACCGATTAACATCGCTAAGCGAGGCACCACTGTACTTGGTAAAGCATTCCATTCCAGCTAGAGGGTTACATACCAGAATACAAGGTCTATGGACCATGCCTGTTAAGGCAACAGCAAAAGTACAGAGATCATGAAAACAGTATCAGTTAAGATTTACTTGAGACACAGTTAACAATATTTAAAATAGCGAGCTATATTTCTGCAAATTTGTCAAATAGTTGTAACCCACCTTTCTTGTGTTGACTGAACAGCCCATAAGTAACAACAATTGCGAGGATCATTTTCAGGCTCTTGAAAAGTAACAGCATATACAGGAATTCTACCTCCTTCTAACTGTGAGTGGTATCTAAATATGGAGAGAAGGAAGAGATAAAGCAAGATCTGTAAAATGATTTCCTAGAAGACTGCATGCTGTAGACATGTATGCTGAGTCCTTGACCCTCACAACCATGTACACCGTGTACAGAAACCTGGGGCTTCAAAATTCTATTCCACATGTCTGAGAAAATAGATTGTAATATACAAACGTTCATACTGAAATAAATCTGTTGGTGTTTAAGATGCTACAATACTTGGCTTTTTGAGAAGTGTAGGAACCATGCAACTGAAGTAGGAAGTTTTAAAAGTTCCAAAAATCACCCTTACCAATAATGCCATCAGTCTTCCACATGCATAGTTACACCAATAGGATTTCAGCTGTTATGTCTTAGCAACACAGACATTAAACACCATTACTAGACTAATCTGTTACAGTACAGTGGTGCCTCGCACAACGAGGTTAATCCGTTCCGGATTAACCCTCGCTGTGTGAAAACATCGCTGTACGGATCAAAAAAAGCCATTGGAACGCATTAAACTTAGTTTAATGCGTTCCAATAGCAGCTTTACTCACCGTACAGCGATGTTTCTCCGATGGCCGGCAGCCATTTTCGCGCCCTCCCCTCGCTTAACGAGGGCGTGAAAACGCTGCGCGCAGCCATTTTGTGGCTTCCGGCGGCCATTTTGAAGCCGCCTAACAGCTGATCGGTGGGTCGCAAAGCAAAGGTCAGTAAGCGAACCGCTTACCGACCTTCGCTCAGCGATTTTCGCCCTATGCAGGCACTGTTTTGCGATCGCATTTGCGATCACAAAACCGGCCTCGAGGCGCCCGTTGTGCGAGGCACCACTGTATTTAGAAAGAGCATTCAATATTGGATAGCTTCATTGAGGTAACCTAATAAAATTATACAGTCAATGTTTGCATTATACGTGGGTATCAAGCTATATTTAGATCACTTGAAAGAATGCTGCAGGAAAACATCTTCCATTTGTCGCTGAAGGGAACTGGAATAATGATCTTGGTCAGTCCACATTTCTGACCCTTCACTATCTTCCACTTATTTCTAGAGGACACTACCAACCATCCTGAAACAGAGATTCAGAATGCTGGAGAAGTTAAATCAGTGGAAATGACTTGGGCCTCTTTTTCTTCCAGTGAGAGCATTTGAAAATAGAGTTCCACTCACAAGAACTCTAGATCTGAGCCATTGTCATCTTTACATTTGTCTAAACCTACTTAAGCATTACAAAGGTCTGTCCACATGTTAAGGTGACAAAAGGGATAGAACATAATTACTTTAGCTTCATCCATAAAGGTACTGTTAAGCAAAATAGTGTGTTTCACATATTGGATAAACTTGAGATATTTCTAATTTTAATTAACATTTAGGAAAATGCTAATGCAACAAACATATTTTCTGTACTTCACTAAAGCATTAAAGAGCTTCTATAATTACCATACCACTCAAATGCTGCCTTTACATTTATTTTAGTGAATGAAATGCTTCACTTCTCATGTAAATAAACTTACTCTTTCTTCAAGCTTTTCATGTTCCACAGTGAAAGATATCCATCAGAAAACCCCACTACTAACTGGTTACTTCTGTGTATGTATGAAAGAGTTGTCACAGCAATTCCTGAGGGGCTTAATAATTGGAAACAAAGATGTCGACTTTTCCTTGTCACAGACTCCCTTATTTTGGGGATTTCAGGAAGAATTCCAGTAATAACTTCTAGATCTGTGAACATAGCAGGGTGAAAAATAAATCCAGTCTCAAGCTGAATAGCTTTTTTTTTAAAAAAAAAGTTTAGATCAGGGGTCTCCAAACTACAGCCCCTGGGCCACATCTGGCCCACCTTGCTTTCTTATCCAGCTCAGTGGGCAGGCTTGCAGGCACAGGCATCTTCCTTCAGCCCTCAAAAGTGTGGAGCATATATGTGGCCCTCCTGCTGAAAAGTCTGGAGACCCCTGGTTTAGATCAAAGAGTAAATTGGGCATAAAAAGGCAGTTCAAAGCGGAAGTGTGCAAGGGTTCCCCTCCCATTTGTTTCCACTCAAATGGTTTTACGGATTTTGTTTTCCATTCATTTGAACTGCTTTCATTCATCAGCCCAATACAAAACAGTGTCTCAGTTTCAGAGCAATTAAAAACTAATATATTAGTCAATAAACACATTTTTGTTTCGTTCTCAGATCAATTCATATCCCTAGTTCAAAAGCACTTAAAACTACTTAACAGGTCACGTTATAGAAGTTTTACATATGAATCAAAATATTTCTTATGCAAATGCCTGCACAAGCACTTATTACAAACTAAAGGATCAAAATACATGACAGCACCAAAGAAATGTTATACTAAACAAATGTTTCAAATAAAAAGGAGAAGAATGAGCTAGATTGTACCCCACAATTTTGACATAATTTCCAGCACAGTAATAATATAATGTATATGACTGTTTATTAAGCCAGTCAAAATTTATGAATGCCCCTTTCCCAAAATGCACTAGATGTCACATAAACACAAAGACTTTCACTTGAAAAATAATTTCACTCCTCATCATGCACCATTCTATGCCCAACCAAACTGTTCCAGAGAACCCACCAATCTGCTGGTGCAGATTTAGGAGGTGTGGAAAGATGATCTATGATGGTACTTTCTATCAGCAGTGTCCATTCTGTTGGTTGAACATACAGACAGAAATAAACCACTAAGATTCCTAGATGCTTTTAAGTGCAATACAGATTAGAAACAGCACTAGATCATATGGCGCAGTGGTTAAATTGCAGTACTGCAGTCAAACCTCCGTTCACTATCTGAGTTCAATCCAAACAGATTCAGGAATTGGCTCCATGCTGATTCAGCATTCCTTCGTTCCTTTCTTTCAAGGTTGGAAAAATGAGTACAGTATCCAGCTTGCTGGGGGGCAAAGTGCACCTCACATAATTATGCTGTAAACTTCTCAGAGTTATGCTCAGAGAGTGTTCTAACACCATGGGTTAGTATGTAAGTCAAAATAATAACAAGCACTTTATTGCATATCAGATCAAAGCCAGTCATCATACTGAGGATGAAAAGATGTTTAACTCTTGTCTTAACAATAAATATGTCCTAGCCGTGTTGTATGTGCAATTTATGTTCTCCAGAAATATGTAAAATGGTGAACGTATGGTCTTGAAACTTTTACTCCTTTTTCAACCAGCATGCATCATTACAGAGAAAAAGGAACAAAATTTACCTGATGCCTCTATTTCATTTTGGCTACATGACAAATCGTCCAGACAAAGATCTATCAAGAGAACATGTCCAACATCTGTAACCACAGCAGCCACACCAAACAGCCACCTGAGACTCTGGTGTAAGTGTTGGGTTGTCAAGCTAGCTCCTCCATGGTTAATTATGGGTTCTATAGCAGTGACCTACAGGAAAAAAACTACATTTTATTTTTACTGTTTGAAACCATAAAACAAGCATATATCACTGATTTAAAAAACCAAATTCCTCATTAATGCAACCCCAGCACCTTATTTTAGGACACAATTCAGGCACTTAAAAAACCTCACTATATTATGAAACACAAGGGAAACAAGCATATTGTACTATAGCAAATTACTATCTTCATCTTTAAACTGGAATGCATACCTATGTGTACACAAAAAGATTTTCTCCCACATAATTTGGAGAGGTCAGTGCAGTTTAGCTCCATCTGAAGTTCATACTGTGAATGTTAATTTTTCACTGAACTCAAATCCAAAACCAGAACAGTTCCCCTTTTCTCTCAAACTTTTCATCTGCTACTTTTGTTTTACCTCCCCATTAAATGAACTTTTGTTCATCATTTAAAGGCAATTATGTTCCCACAGGAAGAAGTTTTGCTAAGCTAAGAAACAGCAGATTTTTCCCTATAATCTTCTAATCATAATTTTATTTTTATCATTATAATTTAGGATAATATTGAGATTACTAATTAAAAGGAAAATGAAAGCAGAGTGAACACAAAAAGAGATTTCCCAGTGCACTTATTAAGTATTTGCATCTGAAGAAAATTTGATGAGTGATATTTCTATATGTTTTGCTAGCTTAGTTTTTACCAGGGTAGATACAAATCAATGATTTTAAAAAAAAATCAAATTGATTTAAATTGTGATTTAAATCAAATCCACTCTAATTTTATATTAACTTTTTGAAATTATTCTTGACTAAACTGGTCTGAAGGCAGTCCTATAGAAAGCAAGGAAAAAATCGGATACATAAATTAGAAATTCCCCCACCTTCTTTTCAGTAGCTGTTTGAGTCAACTACTGTTTTAGCAAACCCAATTATCAAAAGCAGCACGTAAGAGAACATGTATCTAATGAGATTGTGTACAATTTTCCGTGCAGTGAGAAGTTAATAGTCCTGTCTTTTGCATTACAGTACAGTACAGTGGTGCCTCGCTTAATGGCGATAATCCGTTCCAGGAAAATCGCCATTAAGCAAAAACATTGTAAAGCGAAAATAAAAAGCCCACTGAAATGCACTGAAAACCTTTCAATGCATTCCAATGGGCTTAAAACTCACCATCCAGCGAAGATCCTCCATATGGCAGCCATTTTCGCTACCTGTATAGCAACGAATCCATCCCTAAACACAGCGGGGAGCCATTTTATTTACCCAGTGGCCATTTTGAAACTGCCGATCAGCTGTTTAGAAAACATCGTTTTGCGAATAATTGGTTCCCAAAGCAGGGAACCGATCATCGCAAAGCGAAATTCCCCCATTTAGACCATTGTTTTGCAATCACAATTGCAATCGCAAAAAGATCATCGTAAAGTGGATTCGCTGTAATGCAGGGCAATCGTAAAGCGAGGCACCACTGTATGTGCCACATGTCAGAAGAATGTACTACAAACCAATCATTTCACCATACTGAGCAAACCAGTTATGAAATATTGTAGCCCGTTTAGCAATGAGTTAAAGTCACAACATGATGTTGGCACAAATGCTTTGCATCTAGCCAGAATTCAGAAAGGTATGGTTGAGGAAGCAGACATGGTTGGGAAAGTAAAAGGAGATTTAATTTAACAGTTAAGCCTGAGTACTGCAGCCAAGAAATACTTGCATTCATTCTATAATAGAGGAACAGTTCAGTGGATTAAATTAGGTATTCACTGGTTATTTCTGCCAACACACAACCAAAAAAAATATACCAATTGTAATAGATGTGGGATTAACTTCTCCTCTGGACAAAACCAAAAATATCTGATTTCCCTTGAAATGAAGTTCATCACACCCCTACTGGATTTGGTATGCTTCTCCATATCTTTCTCTGCTCCACACTGTTGCTTTTGTATTTGTTTAGCCTTCCTTTAATATTTACTTGAATCATAAGGTAAAACCATGAGCCTAAATAAGCACAATCATTTTTATGGAACTATGGCAGGTCTCTGAAAATTAAAACTCACAATGTGCTTTTATATAACATTAAAACAAAGCATCTAATACTTCAGGAGATTAGAGGTCTGTAACCATGGCTCTTGTAATTGGTTATGAAAATAGGAAAGCACCATATGGTTGCAGATTTTTCTCTGGTTAACAGTAAGAAACCTCATGCTCCATAACTTCACCACCGAGTTCTCCGTGCAAAAAGTCTCAATATACTGGCTTTATTAGCGAAATGCTAAGAATGCAAAATATATTTATGATGAGGTTGAACAAATTAGATCCACAAATGACTATGTACACACTAGATAATATAACTTGATGTTCTAATTTCGCATAGGTTGGGGCTTTTTAACCAGGAAGCTTAAGAGACTTCCATGCTGATCTAATATCTGTTTTCAACTCTTCTCTACACTAGGCAAAGTGGAGAATTACTACCAAAGGTAAAAAAAGAATCCAGAATAATACATTGGGATTACTTGTATAAACAATTGTCACACCAGGCAATTGTCTCTCCAGCCCACCCTACACAAATGCAGTGCCTGAAAAGCTAATCCAAAGAATCAACAACAGCATGGGGGCTGCAGGAGTAGGGAATCCACACTGCTCTTGAGGAATGCCTGCCTTTCAGAAGAGATGATTTAGGTGCCACAATAGACTGTAATAAAGGGGCAATGGCAAAATAAAACCACTGGGTTGAGGAAAACATAAAAAATCAACATGAAAAACAGCATTTGAAGCATACAGAGGGCAAGACTTGCTTTTCAAATTTAAAAGTTTTTATGTACCCTTCCAGGAAGAACAACAGCTTTAACCACTCTTGATATTCCAAGGTCATATAAACAAAGAACACTCCCTTCAGTTTCTTCCAAGCCAATCAGTAGTCCAGTTCTCCTCTGCCATGAAAATTCCTTCACTGCAAGGATAGTGGGAGGCTGCTCATTCAATCCACTGAAACGATATGCAGATAACCGTTCTCCATTGACAGCATTTACTACCTCAAGTTGAGACCCACATGCTAAGCAAGCCAGACCACTTCGTCCTAGAAGAGGAGAGATATACATATGAAGTAGGCAAAATACGGTAGAATCAGTAAAGTTGTATTAGAAAATCTAAAAGCAAGGTGGATAAAAATCAGTGATTTTTAAAAGTCAAATTGATTTAAATTACAATTTAAATTAAAAATTAATTTTTTTCTTTAAATTGTCAAAAAAACTAATTTTTAAAATTTAAATCTGTGTTTACATTAAATCCACCCTGCTTCAAAGTTATTTGTACACTGAAGATTTTAGCAGCCTATTTATATCAATACTTAATTTTGGATTCAAGGTTTTTCTCTGAGTTTTGATTGTTTACTGAAAAAAACAATTCCTGAATAATCACCAGAAATCACAGGATAAACAATACCAAGGATTATTAACACCCTTTCCCAGCGGGAAACCTATGGCATGCGTGCCACAACTGGCACACAGAGCCGTCTCTGCGGGCACGCAAGCCATGAGTCGCCAGATCGCTATCTCTGGCAGCCAAACCTGAGGGGGCGGCTGCAGCCATGGTGCTAGTGCCCTGACAGGCGGCAGGCCAGGATCTGGAGCAGCTGGTGGAGGATGGGCACTACTGGAGGTGGATCCGGAGTGGGGTCCGAAGGCACCTCCATGCCTAGCATTGCCCCTTCTACCGCCACTTCTGCTTCCGCAGCCTCCACTTCCGCCGCTGCCCGCTGGGTTTTTGTTTTTTTCCAGTCTGTGCACTTGGGCTCAGAAAGGTTAGGCATCACTGCCCCATCCCCAATTAACTTCTAAAGGGCTGTGGTTTCCCTCACAAAAATGTTAACTTCTAAAAGCTCCTTACTGGACATATGCACCCTAATGCTAGAAAAGTCAAACACAAGAAACTTTTTCTAGTGGGCTGCAGAACCAGCTTCTATGTTCTTTAGAGCAGGGGTCCCCAACCCCTGGTCTGTGGCCTTCCCAGAACTGGGCCACGGAGACGAATCTCTGTCCCCCCTGAACGTAGTGGGTGTGTCATGCTCACACGGGGGTGTGTGTCGCGCTCGTGCACATGCACGACCCCCCCCCGTACCTGGAGCCTGCCCCCGCAACTGGTCCACAGTCCCAAAATGGTTGGGAACTGCTGCTTCCGAGAATGAAATCCAGAAAGATAATGGAGTAAAGATAAGGTGGGTTGGATTACAACTAAAGGCTTAGAAACAAATGTCTATTGCCAGGAGATAGGAAACTTCACTGCTGGGTTATATTGGCTCAGGTACATAAGTAATATGATGCACTAATTTTAATGTAATGTAGTAGACTCTATATCTACTCTTGACAGATGTTACACTGTAAATGTATACTATATAGAAAACTTTAACATCCAGTGCTCCTAACCATGATTTGAAATGCAAGGTGAATATTACATTTTCTGAAGAATATAACACAATTGAAACCTTTTATACTGATAGTCATAAAATCCACAAACTACAAATGTCAGCAAAGATGGATGGATAATGAAGATTAACTTTTTCCAATTAAAAGAATACAATTTCACTAAGTCAGAAGTACAAGGTAAAGAAAATAGAAACTATCTACACTCTTAGGCCATTGCTATTCTCCACTGGAGTAGACCCAATGACTCTGTCGGGTATGCATAAGAACTGACTTACCATCCAGCAATTGATTTAAGGGTCTACTCTTCTTTGGGATTAACAATAGGATACTGGCCTTATAATCTACTTTTTACTGTTTATTTATCTATTAATTTAAAATATTTTTACCTCACCTTTCTCCTTAAAAAGACCCAAGGTGGCTTATACCATTGAAAAGACAATTCCTTAAAGCTCAAGAAATTAAGGAATGTTGCCAGCTAGATTTCTCCCCCCTCCACTTTATCATTTACAGAACCGAATCACAATTTCAATCTGTTTGGTTATGTACAGAATGAAACAATTCTGTAAGAACAATACCATTAACAAAGGAGTCCAGCATCAAGAGGTAGTGCCAGTATTCCAAAGTAGGTCAGCACTGAGTGTGTTGTAGTAATCTAATGAGATGTTAGTAGTGTGAGGGCTTGGAGCATATGTCTGCAGCTGGTTTGCTTGCAAAGCTTGTGAAGATATCTCCAGGCAACTGATACCACCTGAGAATTTATGTGCTAAACCAGGGTCAAGATGCATTTCAAGTTGTGCATTTCTTGTGACTCTGTCCAGAAAACATCTTTTTCTAGCATTTCCCAGTATTGGGACCGCCACCTTGCTAAAATTTAACTTTTGTTTCTACGAAGTCACTGCAATATTCAGCTCAGCTCCTGCACCTGGATCTACAGAAGTGGTCAACTGCTGAACAACTGAACTAAATATTCAAGAAAACTGCTACCTACATGGGTCTAATTATGCAATTTGCTATTTACAATGTATTTGTGAAGGCTTTCATGGCCGGGATCTAATGGTTGTTGTGGGTTTTTCGGGCTCTTTGGCCGTGTTCTGAAGGTTGTTCTTCCTAATGTTTCACCAGTCTCTGTGGCCGGGGATCACTACACACAAACGATCAGCTAATGACACCCATCAATCACAGTGACAGATAATCTCTCTTCCTTATCTCAACAATACACCCACAAGACACACTAATCACCCATCTCCTGAAAAAGGACAAAAGCCTATCTCACAGCCATAAATACTCCACTCCCAAGCAAACTACACCACAGCACAGAGTGCTGTCCTCTGAAGATGCCAGCCATAGAGACTGGCGAAACGTTAGGAAGAACAACCTTCAGAACAGGTCCAAAGAGCCTGAAAAACCCACAACAACCCTTGCTATTTACACTCAATATCCTTCTTTACTAGAACCATACATTTGTATTAGAAGCCTTGTAAAAGGTAAAAAGTTTCAGAAATTTACCTCCAGTGAATTTCCCATGAAGTACGCAGTCTATTGTTATCTCATCCTCTCCCAGAGCTTGTACAGTCACCTCTGGAAACTGCAGCAGACTGCTAGTTACGTGAGCTGTTAGGTCTCGCATGCTTCACTGTAGATACACAACAGAAAGCTTATTCAGCAAGTTGCCAGTTCTGGTAAATTATTACAGCTATAACAATACCCACAGGGCAAGGCGGTTGTACTACAAACTAATGACATCCAAATTTTATTGTCAAATAAGTTTGCATGTTGGCTTATTCTGCGTAATATCCCTCTTCAATGACTAACATCCATTGAGCATCTGGAATGTGTGGCAAAGTCTGGAGGAAATGAAGTATATTAACTGACTTGAGAAAAGAAACTGTAGGGATGAGAGACAACGGACAGAAATCTATTGCCAATTTATCCTTGTGTTATGGAAAATCACACAAGTCTTGGTGGGCAATTTCACCTTGCTAACAAGACATTTCAATGTGAAATCTAACTCTCTCAACAGAGGAGTCAATGTGAAGGAACCAGTTAGATGGGTTGGACTTTGGCTTCTGTAAGCACAGCTAATGACGAGGAATGCTGAGAGCTCCAGTCCAATAATATCTTGATACCTCTAGTCTGTCTACTCCTGTGTTATGCAAAGGAGACTTACACAGAGAAACATGTTATTTTTAAAAAATATAGATTGCAACCCCAACTTCACTTTTAAACCTAGTTTAAGACTGCAGGCTCACTGGCTCTACTGTTTTCAAGAGAAGTAAACATGCCAAATTATGCAAGTGTTTAAGCACAGGTGCATAGCTAACAGGCTGTGAATGGTTCTATTGAGTTCACTCTGACTGCTGACTCTGTAGAATGTCCTCAACTGGCATATGTCTTTACCAGATTAAGCCATGGGATCTATGTCCTCAATCCTCCATCACTAAAGTTAAGGAGGCCTTTGTTACCAGCTTTCATAATTCCCCAAAACTAGCCCCACAAGACTTATTTAATTTCTTTTTTATTTATATGCTGCCTTTCTCTCCATAGAGGAACCAAGGCATTTATCTCACTTTCAATTAAACTATAATTGTCATTAAATACACCCTAAGAAACAACACTAAACAACAATTAAACACAGAGCATTAAAAACAAGTGTTAAAAATAATTCTAAAAACATGGTTAAAATCTCTGAATTCAATAACAGATACAGCATTCCTACCTACCCACCCCCCCGCACATATTACTTAAATATTGTCTGAAAAGTAAGTCCTCTGCCCAGCAATGGATGACTGCGGGGCTGAGCTGGCATCTCAGGGCAGTGCATTCCAAACCCTGGGAGCAGTCACTGAGAAGGTCCTCTTTCATGTCCTCACCAAACAACTGTATCAGGATTGTGAGACTGAGAAAGGCTACACCAGAAAATTCTAAACACTGAGGAAACTCATATAGGGTGATATTACCCTTCAGACAAACTGGACCCAAGCTGCATGGGGCTTCATAGGTCCTGACCAGCATTTTGAATTGGATGTGGAAACAAACTGGCAGCCAATGAAGCTACTGTAATAAGGGAGTTAAACACTCCCTGTCACCAGTGGCAGTCAGCAGCCTGCACGCAGCATTTTGAATCAGCTAAAATTTCCAAAAAATTACAGTACTCAAATGCAGCCCCACAGTGACACACTAAGGAGTGTGTCACTACAGCCAGATCAGACATCTCAAGGAACAGGTGCACCTGGCACACTTTAACTGTGCAAGTGAACTCCTGGCCACTGCTGAGATGTGTGCATCCAGGTTCAAGGCTGAATGCAGGAACAAACTCAAGCTGTGGACCTCACATTTCAGGGGTAGGGTAGCCTCATCCGGTACAGACTGAATCTATAGCTAGTCTGCCTTTTGACTGACCAGGAGAGCCTCTGACTTGTCTGAATTAGGTTTCAGTTTGCTTGTTCTCATCCAGTCCAGTCTATTCCTGACAATAGACACCAGTCTAGGCCCAGAACAGCTTTCTTGGAATCAGATGGAAATGAGAGATAGAATTGGCAGTCATTAGCAAACTGATGAACAACTTCTTCCAGAGGTTTTATATAAATGTTAAATAGCACAGAGGGCAGAACTGAACTCATGATTGGTCCTGGAAGTATGGGGACCCCACGAGACAATGGCCCAGGTGTCAAATAAGACCCCTCTAAAATCATTTTCTGTCTGGCCTTCCAGGAAGGCCTCAAACCCCTGTAAAACCATACTTCCAGGACCAATCATGAGTCCTTCCGCCCATTAATATCCATTTCTTTTAAATCTCTTTTTCTAGTTTGGGTAACTTTAAATATGAACCCATCTTTAAAAATTAAACTAAATGTAAATAGGTACACTAAACGTATTTGTCAATGTATCATAACTGAGTGGGTCTCTAGATCAAACTGTCAGTAGTTTTATCACTAATGTAAATTGGACAGCAAAGACACTGCTATGACTTTCGAAACATACAAGCTGCTGTGGCTCTAACAACATGTGGAACATGTGGAAAAGGGTACCAATCAGGGAAGAACATTAATGCCCGAGGGCTTGTTATATACCACACTAGATTGCAAACACACACATTTATATACCTAAAGAGAAGGAAATACCAAGTTGTCTGGAAGCGAACTCAAGGACCAAGGTAATGTTCTGAAAGAATGTTGCTTATGGCAAGGACAACCCCACATTTACACTACCAGAGTCAATGTTTGGATTTGTTTTGTACAACAGAATGAAAAAATTATTTCCCAACTGCATTTCTACCATTACACCTATGCTGTTACCTACACAGTAACAGGAGTACACTGGAAAATACATACAATAAAAACTGCAAAAAGACAAGAATTGGAAGTCATTTTAAAAATATTTTTAACATATTGATCATTCATAAATTATGCCTGTATAAGGGTGATAACATCAGCAACAATGAGATTGTTCTGTAATTAAAGACTTCCTGCTTGTATCTTGTGTTCACTCACCATGTGTACCACTAATCTCACTGTGCATGAGCCATGTGAGCTCTGGGATGCAAGCAGGAGCTCTTGTAATTACTGAAAACCTTATCCTGTCAGAAGTATCTTCTAGGAGAGATTGTTGGTAAATAAACATGTCCTACGTCTATTCCAGGACTCACATAATTCTTGCAGAATGAGACTGATTACATGTGAGTCTGGCAAACTGTGGGACAAAAGCGGACTCTATTTCTTGAAACACTTACTTGCCAGTGACATTATCACTGCTACACAGTCTTTTACAGAACAGGATCTCGGCCAATGCATTAGAGCTAACAAAACTAATACAGACATCCCCACTGATCTGACAACTACAGTGCTCTCATAATAAATCATGAGAACTTACTAAGTAACAACACATGCTTTTAAAAAAAGCAATAAGGAATCTTCACACTACTACAATAGTGTTATCTGATTGAATCACATGAAGATCATCTAAGTAGGCAGTTCTGCATATCAGCATGTTTAACCATACACAGAATTGGGGAAGAGACTGCATATTATTAAGACTGCTATCGTATGCATCTGTACCGTCCAGAAAACTCAACTGCCTCTCTTCTGAGTATAAAAATACAAGGTTAGGCTATACTAAAATTAAATTGCAACATTCTTACCCATAAAAACATGCGGCTGGTAGAATTCCAATAAAAATGAAACCTTATCAGCTACAACTTCCAAATCCTATAAAATCAGTACACCATCTAATGAAGATTACCAAATCACTAATTTGTAGCGTGCTACAACCTTTCACCTTCAGGGTATCCCTGTGTGAAGTGGCCAGAAGTTGTTATCCATCCTTTGGCAGCTAGTTATTTAAAAACACATCAGAAATATTATGAGCAGTTCAATTTAATTAATCCTAAAGGAACTTTTTTCTTCACAATATTGTTCAGCCAGCAAACCATTAAAAATGACTTTTTCTAATAGTTACCTGTTCATACTCCTCAATGCAACCATCTGTTTCCCTTAAACGTATTCTGTACATCAGAGGTCCCCAACCCCTGGTCCGTGGCCTGAGCCAGACCGGGCCGCTGAGACAGACCTCCCGCCCTACCCCCAGCACTCATCCCGCACAGCCCATTTACACCTGTGCTCCAGCACACCCATGTGAGTGCACCCGTGTGATAGAGAGCACATGCTTGTTCGCACATGCACACTAGTGCGGGGGTGCCACCTTCCCCAGTCAGTCCATGGACCGAAAAGGGTTGGGGACCACTGCTTTACATCACAATATATGATACAAGCAATTTAGTTTCTCACATCAACTAAGAGAAAAACAGATTACCACTTTACAGGCTTCAAGGTCACACAGCTCATTTCTGAAATTCCCCTCTCTTCTACCATTACTCAGTCCCACAAACAATTATCACTATCACTAAAAAAATGGACCCCCCCCAAAAAAGCTTAACAGTCACAGCTTTTTTTTTTTCAAAGCAAGAGTAGGCAACTGTGACCCTCCAGACATTAATGGACTGTAATTCTCATAATCAAGGCTTGAAAAAATTTAGAATGTCTCACCAGTCAGTCAAAAAGCCGCCTAGAGTGGTCTTAAGTGACTAGATAGGCGGGATATAAATAAAATAAATAAATAAAAAGTTCACCAGTCAGCATGACAGACTATAGCCTTGCAATTTATTGGGATTGGGAATCACTGATTTATACCCTCAAATTTGGGTTGCTTTATTACCTGCGTGCCTATGGGGCCATGAAGCTTGTATTTTGAATGCCTTTCTTTTGAATGTCTCCAACAAAAATAAAACTGAAAGCAAAATGCACCCAGCCTCTTAAGGAGCCACAGTTCCCTCCCACTCCAGGATGTGTCCTCTTTCGGTTGAAATTGGGAGCAGGGAATCTCCATATTCTCCAGCATAGGACTACTCTACATTCTCCTGCAGAGCTATATCTCTATGTACTACTCGAACTCTCTTCTCGCTAGAAGAGGGCAGCTTTCCTTTTGCAATGGGAGGAGGACTGCAGGATTAGAGAGAGACAGGCGGAGGGGAAGGAGGCAGGCAGGGAGGAAGCAGTGACTCCTCAAGCACTGACCTCCTTTTCACTTGTCACAAATGAGTGGATGAGTGCATTTTTCACGCCCTGCTCATAATACCTCACGATTGCCTAAGCTACCTAGTGCTGGTAGGTGCCGACCACAAACATCTGGAGAGCCACTCTAATTTAGAGATTTAAAGTTCTACCGCAACCAAATTTCCAGAAATCTTGCAACAACAAAACCTCATCATAGTAATAGCTACTAATTTAAAGAATTCAAAGGTTAACTTGAAGACCATGAAACTAAGTCATTAAAAGTAGCAGTATGTTTATCCAAGGATCTAACCAGCAGTATGAACATCTGAGGAACTACTTCACTAAACAAGCAAATACAGATATCCAGGTGCTTATATTATTATATGCCATCAAGTTGATTCTTTCTACCATTTTCTAGACATAAAATATTAAGAAGTGGTTTACCAGTCCCTCCTTCTAGAGGTGTTTTGGGATCATGCAGCTTACTAAGACATCACCAGCCACACAAACTCTCAGTAATCTTATTCAGTCCCTCTCCTGGTAAACATGATGGGGATTCGAAATCCTTGGGATTTGGTATAGCTTGGTGCTGCAACCTACCAAGCTATATCAGCTACCTAGTGCTTGCACAGAAGCAGGATATGTGCCTGTACAAAAATGCAGGACAAGAAATAAATAAATGCAGACAGGGTAATGGTCTGTGTTAGGAGATCATGGTGTCTAATTCCTGTTAAACTGACTCACTATTTCACACAGCTCAAGGGCTGGGTATGACCAATACTTCCCGATGACTGGAATTCTAGACTTGTTCCCAGAGTACATCAATTTTTCTCCTTTTTCCTATTAAAAAGAACTTATGATTACAGCACACAGCAAGGTTTTTTTAAATCACCAGGATCCAGTAAACGTGGTCTAGAGGGGCGGGGTATACATTTAATAAAATAAATAAATAAATAAATAAAATACTCAATATTTTCAACAGTTTTGAGGAAGTCAAAGGTTTTCTAGATAAAATGTACAGGATGCCCTTGTAAATTTATTTTTGCCAGCAAAATAAAATATTCAACTACTTGCAAACAGCAGATAAGAACATTAAAAATACAAAAAAAAATTAAAAATAAAACTTTGATAAAACCCTTTTTATTCTACCATATTTCCTAACACTAGAAAACTCAAAATGGACATTAACAAAATCTCCTAGTGAGCATATTACACAGATCTCAATTTTGTAAACTTATCTGCTTACACAGGTTGTGTTTTTATTTCACTTAAATTGAAAGACTGCATGCAGTATTTCTCCCACTCTCTCAGTATATTTAAAAATTATATAAGTCTCCTTGAAAGTTTCCTATTTCCTCCACCACCAGTGGCCTCTTTCATAGTCTACTGCTTAATTTCAATTGCTTTCACCTGAGTATCAACTGCCTACTTATTGTTTGCTCCCTTATTTTACATGCCAGCTACTCTACAGATCTATCAGATATGTATACCCTCAAAATGTACATAGAGACAGGTGCTAGAAAGTTACAGGACTTCAATACAATATTGAATAGTAATACTGTACTTTGGCCATCTCATGAGAAGAATCCCTGGAAAAGACCCTGATGTTGGGAAAATGTGAAGGAAAGAGGAGAAGGGGACGACAAAGGACAAGATGGTTGGACAGTGTCATTGAAGCTACCAACATGAATTTGGCCCAACTCCGGGAGGCAGTGGAAGACAGGAGGGCCTGGCGTGCTCTGGTCCATGGGGTCACGAACAGTCGGACATGACTTAACCACTAAACAGCAACAAATGTAATGTAAGCTGGTACATGGTTCCCACTTACATGATCAAACCACCAAATGCAGAATACCAATAATCTAGAATCCATACTTGGATGCAGCGGGGTGTAAGACACTGGATGCCAGCTTGGAAACTATTTGCATTAATATGATCACCACTCAAATGTTCAGTGCTTTTTATGAAACTCTCTTCTAATCTGCCACACTGGTTTGCAGTCAGGTTTTGTCTTCTGATGTCCCGTGGCTAAATTTCTTTTAAATGAAATAATTTCACAAACTTCCATCCACTGATACCTCAAAGCACTGAAAGACATTTCTCATATTCATTCATTCTTAAAATCCTAAAAGACATCACGCAGAATATCTTCCCTAAAAATTGTGTAATTAAGGATAGACCATTATCCTAAATTAGGGTGCAACCCCACCTATCTCTCTGTGGGAGCTACTTTAGAGATGACCTACCTAAGATTCTGCAGTTAATCTTATTTGAAAGATATGTTACTTAAAATTTGACTGTCTACCATAAGTGTTTGAAGTGCTTAAGAACATTATCCTTATTTCATATGGCACTGAAGCTGAGATCACACACAGATCTAGCTCCCACATGCTCAATCCTCCACCTCTTTGATCTCCACTGTCAGACTGCTGCATAAATCATCATTTCTTGCTTTGGATTTGTGTGATGACCTGGATTAGTACAAGACAGGAAGAAATCATGGTCTGATGCTGCTTTAAGAACTTGCTTTTTTCCAGTCATGGTGATCACAGACTCCCAGTTTGGACTGACCTGGAAACCAAGGTTAATTAACCCAGGAATTGGTGAGTCATAGTGTGTTGAGAAAAGAGGAAAGGAAACCACAAATGAGAAACAACTTAACTTGGCTTAATAAACTGAGATGTGCGCAGATGAACTAGGCCAGAGAATCAGCCACAGATGAAATAACAAAGATTTTTTTGACTCAAAAGATACAAACAGTGAGAGGGGAAAACATAATCAACTAGTTGCCTATGCAAGCAGAAAGAAAAACAATGAAAATCGTGCATCAGGTACAGGTTCCAGAACAACCCTCTCCCTGCTTGGTTAACGCCTCCTTGCATGAAGTTGTGGGCGGGTGGGTTTAAACCAGAGCAACAATCACACATGTCATCTGCCCGCTGCAGAAGAAAATGTTCAAGCCCACACGACCGACCATTGGTGTCAAGGTGTTGTGGCACAGACAGGCCAGCCCATTCACACCAGTCTCCCATGATGGCCAGCCAGGAAGAACCGAGCCGAAGCCGATTCATTCCAACGGGGGGTTCGTCTTGAATAGGCAGCACGAGGAAATGGAAAGGCCCTCCCTAGCCCTCCCCCCTTGGAAGGAAGCAAGCCGGCTCCGCGACGGGCAACGTGCCCCAGTCGCCAAGCCCTCGGGAGCTCGAATCCCAGCGGACGGCAGATCCCTTCCTCACGCCGGCCCTGGAACATGGCTCTTCCTCCCACCATTGCGGCCGCTCGCAAAGGCGGGCTTGTCGCGTCGTTTGTCGGGAATCCGCCGCCGCCGCCGCCAGCGGTTCCCCGGCAAACCCCCAACCCCCGCAACCCGCCCTTCTCCTTAAAAACAGGCCAGAGTCCGGCGGCGGCCCCCGGGCGACCACGATCTTCGCGCCACCCGACACCCCGCCACACACATACCCCGCGAACCACCCGCGAGGAGGCTTTCGGGCTCCCCCCTGCTCAGCACGTTTTCCCTAGCCCGGCAACTGCCGCCCGGCCAGCCCGGTTCCCCGCTCTGGGAGGCAAGGCAAGGGCTCCCTCCCCCCTTCCATTTCGCTTTAAAAGGGTGGGCGGTCGTCGTCGTGCGTGCAGACACACGCGTACCCCTCCCATTTCGCTTAAAAGGGTGGGCGGTCGTCGTCGTACACACACGCGTTATGTGGCGGGTTGACGAGGATAGGAGCGAGGTCGGGCGTGCCACAGGGGAAGACCGTCCCGAAGGAGGAGGGAGGGAGGCAGGCAGGCAGGCGGCAGAGCCGCGTGTGGCACTGGGGGGGGGGGAAGACGACGCTTATATAAGGCGCCCTCGGCGGGGGCCTCCTTCAGGCCTCGCTCTCTCCGCCAACCTAAAGCCGGGCCTAGTCGGGAAGGAAGCTAAGCGCGCCTAACCCACTGGGCTCGGCAGACTCGCCTTCGCCGTGTCGTACCTGCTGCTGAGGCGGGTGTCACCGCCTGCCTCGCTCGGGTTCGGCTCAGCGCGGCGACATCGCGTCGGCCGCAGCGGTTGAAACAGGGAAGGAAAGGAGGAGGAGGCCGGCGCGCTCCCCCGGGCCGGGCCCGCTCGGTCTTCCGCTACCGCCGCACTCGCTCGGTATAATCGGTCTGCGCAGCGGCACCAACACCAACCTCTGCCGCCGCCGCCTCTCCCCCCCACCCACGATCACTCACCGGCAGGGAGGGAGAAGGGAAAAGAGACCGACTCTCGCGAGAACAAATCCCAGCCGTCGCGGGAACTTTTAAATTTCTTCCTCCCTTTCGTTGTGCGTCAAAGCCTCTACTAGGAAGGAGAACCGGAAAATTACCCGGACGTAGATTTCGAAAAACTACACTTCCCAAGGCGCAATGCGTTCCAACGGAACTGCGAAGCCGCCGTTTGAGGGCGGTTAAAAGCTTGACCCTTTAAGTTTGTTTTCAGACTTAGAAGACTGGTGGGTAGCGGTTAGTTGGCTTTTGGTGCGGAATGAAGCAGACTTTGTAAAAGATATTTTCCGCTGTCAAACAGCGGTGCTGTCTTGTCCACGAAAGTTTACATTAAAAAAAAAACACCGTTCTTAAGATGTCACCGCGTTTTTGTCTTTTTTATTTGTTCTTTTGTTTTATTTTTACCTATAATACTTGAGCGTTATTGTTCAAAAGGTAACTTTTATGGGGGCCATTTAGGAGTAGCCACACGAGAAAACCTTTGTACAATGCAGACTAACGATAAATAGGTGTTTTCCTATTGTAGTTGGCCGTATTAACGCTGTTCCCACGAGCTCAAACTGTTGAGGGTAAAGTGTAGTCGGTTCCTTCTGCCTGCTTTACCCGTGAAGAAATAACAGTATGGGTAAACCAAATACGTGATTGAGGTGGAAACCACACGTTACGTTAACATCTACTACCTACAGGTCTCTCCCCCCCCCTTTTAAAATAACCGCGGCTACGACAAAAATCGGCTTACCTACCTCGCACTATGTATGAGAAAAATAAAATGGGGAACACGTGGTGGCATCTTAAAAAACTTGAGTGCCACTTCATATTGGAATAAAGATGCTATGGGGAGGGATTCAAAGCCACGTGCTAAAGTTTTTTAAATACCCAAGCAGTAGATTTTAACAAAGCCCACTATTATAAACAACCGCCCAAAGGTTACAAAATCTTTTGAGTTTGCTACCAATAAAGTTAGCTTTGTGCTGGCAGTCAATTGCACAGGGTTACCAAACAAAAAAAATTTATTAAACATTTTTCTAAAACTCAGCCTTATATAAAGGTAAAGGTTCCCACTGACATTTAGTCCAGTCGTGTCCGACTCTAGGGCACGGTACTCATCCCCGTCTCCAAGCCATAGAGCCAGTGTTTGTCCAAAGACAGTTTCCGTGGTCACGTGGCTAGCGCAACTAGACACGGAACACCGTTACCTCCCCACCGTGGTGGTACCTATTTATCTACTCACATTTTTACATGCTTTCGAACCACTAGGTTGGCAGGAGCTGGGACAAGGGATGGGAGCTCACTCCGTCGTGTGGATTCGATCTTATGACGGCTGGTCTTCTGACCTTGCAAGCACAGAGGCTACTGTGATTTAACCCGCAGCGCCACCAGGTTCCCTTATATATTTAGGGCAAATGTTCTAAGAAAAATTTGGCCTCTCAAAATTCAGTGAGATTTGCTGTCAAATAAAAACCTGTAAGCAACATTTGTATGCCACACACAATCACCAATTTAGACAAACTGCAAGCTACAATTTTATTTAAAAATTAAAACCGTGAGACTGCAATCTATCAACACTGGCTGTCTACTCAAATGTTAAGGAGATGGGATGAGTATAATTATACATTTAAAACTATATAAGTTTTAATTTAATTTGCAATTTAAAACTTATCTGATTTATATTCTGCCTTTAATCTAAGGCAACATACATGGCTCTCTTCCTCTTCTCGCCATTTTTTTTCAACTAAGCAGTTCTGATGTAGGGCTATCTATAAATGTTTAAGCATATTCCTTTACTTATAAACACACCAGCATACAGTTGTGAGTCAATATTGTTAAGTATGAAATATACCTTGTTTTGCCAAGTAAGGATTCCACATGTCTTCATAAAGTGACACCAATCAATGGAAATTCCAGAACCTGATTCCTTTTTTCATCTGCTAACCATTTCTTACCTCAGCACAAAGTAATTGTTACGGCTTTTTATTGACAAGTGTGAATGGTAGTGAATAGAGATGGAGGTATTTGTATTCCTGTATGAATACGAATACTCCCGCACAGCTGGACATAACAGCTGTCCACTCACACTTCTGTGGATGGCTCCGCTCTCCCTTCTAGTTGTTCGAAGCTTGCAGTCAGCTATCCACTTTCAGCCTGACAGGGAGACTTGTCTTCCCTCCTTCTGCCAGGAGTGGATAGCCGACTGGGAGCTCCAGAGCAATTGGAAGGAAGAGCAGACCTGGCAGCAGCAGGGGACTCATTAAGTCCAGCTGTGCAGGGGTATTTGTATACATATACTGCCATCTCTAGTAGTGAACAGAAGACGGTATCCTGTTGACCAGTAGTTCCCAACCTTTTCTGAACTGTGGACTGGCTGGGGGGCAGGGTCTGTGCGTGGGGGGCAACCCTCGCTCACAGGTGTGCGTGGTGCGCTCATGAGCGGGCGTGGCACACTTTGCAGCCTGAATGTTGACAACACCAATGGCACCAGTCAAGATTGTCTACAGCAGGGGTCCCCAACCCCCGGCCTGCTGTTGGTCCATGGCCTTGGCAGGACTGTGCTGCAGAGACAGATCTCGCGCACACCCCGCACGCACTGCCCCCTGCCTGCCCAGTCCGACTACCCACATGCATGGGTGCCCCACCCACCTGCAAGCGTGCCACACCCACCCATGTTTTTGTTTCTGCCTTCATCTAGCAATCACAGGACAAATCGTTTGTAGCGTATTGTGCTTCTGTGTCCATGATTAAAAATACCAGCTTGGATAAGTCTGTAATCCCTTTGAGCCAAAATATTTTGAAGGACTATTTTGGACTTAATGAAATGGTGAAGCAAAGGTATGAGTAAGTACAGTACATAAAAGAAACACACAAACTCCTTTAAGCTCTTAGGTAAACTAATGTTCTGCTCCGCAGAATAGAAAGCTATGTTTTAATTTTCAAACCCTTTCTTTGGAATAGGCAACCTGAGGAAGAAAGGATATATTGAACCAAAAGATCCAGGAACATATTGTGCGCATATTTTCTAAAAGATGTCCCACCACCTTTTGAAATAAAATTAAAAAAAAAAAACGAGCTGGGAGATAGCAAAGACTGTAAATTTAAATCAAGGTCAAAATAATTCATATTATTTGAGAGAAAGACAGTGAAGAAAGATGGGCAAAACCCATTTGAAATGTAGTGTCAGAGGAGAGCCATACAAATATGAAAGACAGCCAGAAAAGCAGAAAAAATGGGTGCTTAATGAAGTCAAGCCTGAACTCTCAGTAGAGCAAAAATGAGTCAACTGAAGCTATCCTACATTGCACATATAATGAAAATGCAGAACTGACCAGAAATGACAATATTGCTGGGAATATTGTCTCAGAAAATAAGACACGGGTTAGTCGCTGGGAAAAGTGGTGTGTGCGTGTGCGCGCGTGTCTGTGCAGGCGCACACAGTAGGAAGAGTGAAACACCTAATACGAGACAGATTGTCTCAGAAAATAAGACACGGGTTAGTTCGCAAGACTTGGGCAGAGCTTACTGGAAAATAAAATACTGCTGGAGGGGAGCAATAGGAAGAGAAAACAATCTAATATGAGCTGTTGGTTTGCAAGATCTGAGTAGAGCTGTTAATTATATCATATTTTAAAGATAATTAACTCATAATCACCATATATCATAAGTGACTTGATGGCACATAGTATCTTTGGAATTTTTTTTCTTAATTAATAGACAATTGTATAGTGACAAGACAAGTGGAATGGTTGAAACTCTGACAGAAAATAGGCACCAAAGAAACTATAGTATTTCTCAGCTTACACAGTTGGGCTTCTGAATATTTGTTCTTTATTATTTTTAACATTTCTTTTTAAAAAGTTTTACAACCTGACACAGAATCCCTTTGCCAGCATTAATGCCTGATTGGCCAGGAA